CTCTTAAAGGTACTAAGAACAGCTTTGTTGACAGCTCTCCTCCAACTCCAGCTCTCTCGCCGCGCTGCCATCCAAAAACAAGTCAAGTACGTGTCTTTGATGGGCAAACACACAAGTAATATCCCTGCAAATGCTGTTACCGTTTCTTTCACATATCTTGTCAGAAATTTAGATCTTCAGCTTGAGAACTGTAACTTGGTGGTCATAGCTTTCTGAAATGAAAATGTCGAAATCGTGGCCACAGCAGACGAGGAGCAGATACCACTCAATACAAGAGGCCTGTCAACAAGCGAATCCCAGAGAGGCCGTGATATGTTCACGAAATGGCCGCTCTGAATGGCACAGTTGCTGTCCAGAGCTTGTAGATATTCTCTTTAAGTTTTTTATCAGATCTGTACCTTGTATCTATCTCTTACATGTCACCACGGCAGCAACGATCAAAGGAAGAACTGAAAACCGATACCAGTTATCAGGGAACATAGTCAACACTGTACGTAGACGTCCATCTTAGGACTGTCATTTAGTATATTAGCATATTGACGTCAAGATTTAGCTAAATGGATGGACTTACAGAGCTTAATTAAGAAGGCGCTGGACTCGCTTGGCACTTTCAGACCGATCTTGGCCTAACATAACAAAAGACAGCCCACTCATTCATTTAGATGAGGCCAGTTCAGTGTTGCACAGACAGCTCCATCTTGTTCTTACTTTGTGAAGAGATGTCCCTCTGCTTTTACCTCGTGGTCAGGATTGAAATAAAGAACGTTACAGTGCAGTGACTTTCCTGTGAAAGCTTTCCATTGCCAACACAGATTCAGCTTAGTTTCAACTCAGATTTTGCAGCTTTGCTTTTAAAGAGTAAAAGCACCTCAACTCTTATGCTGTGTCTCTTCCATGCTGTGACCCACCAAAGGTACACTGTGCACCCTTCCTGCTGAGCTCCTCCATCCAGGGATTAAGTGACTCTCAGACTGTCCAGACTGATTTCTGTCCCTGTCAGACAACGGCTACCTAAGCCAGACACAAACTTTACTTACTCTACTGTCACAGTTCCTTCAGGCTATCGTCTGGTGTACTGCAGTGGGAAAAAAAATACTCTGGATTTGTGCTCGCAGTACCCACAGTCCAACTTGTACACAGACACAAAACTAAAGGCTTTTGTTCACACTCACATAAATCCCTTTTTGTGCTCCCAAGACAAGCAGCAATAATACTGCTAATGCAATAATATGCAGCAAACACACCAACGCGCACAAAGAATCAATCATTGAAGAATTTGGAGATGCGTTATTTTTCCGTTGGATGAGTGTCAAGAACATTCTTAGCCAAATGTGCTGAAAGAATCTACAGGCCTAAACTCTACAGATTTATGTTGAATTATGTGTCACGGTTATACATTTAGCTTTCAGAAGAATGTTTCGTGCTAGGCGGTAATTGTGCGGTGAACTATTGTTGTAGGTGGAGGTGTGAACGTCCCTCTCAGCTTTCTCAAAGGACACTTGTTTTTTTGCTGCCTGTGTCCTAATCTGCTGAGTATACCTCAAGAAAAACAAACCTCCAAACCCTAATTTAGCTGCACCTAAATCCCTTTGTGACAGCTGTTCCATAATGAAGCGCACTCGAACAGCCTTTTGTTTCACTTCTTATGTTCTGTTTCTAACTCTTCTTTGGGCTGTGAGGTCATGAAACAGTTTAGTTTCCATCAAACGGTTCAATAAACCTGTGCGCATCAAGCATCTTTTCCCTTTAAAAGTTCCTGGTCCTTCAGGGGCAACAAACCTTCACAACAAGCAGATGAGGGCTGATTCTCTGTGCAGTGCTTACTGTTCAAAGCTTATTTGATATACAAGGGATTTACGAGCAATATCTGCAACAAACCAATTAGATGCTGCTGGTAGAAAAAAAGAAATTGTTTCAGGGCTTTATTCTCTTTGATGTTGATTTAATCCAATCAGAAACACTTATAAACCCAATTACATTTATTAATTTTAACAGCACAGTGCTTTTGTTGCAGACATGACCTCCTGTTTACACGAACCAAGCACTTTTTAAAAAAAAAAAAATGAAGAGCATGTGGATGAAACATGATTGGACTCTAGACTGATTGGTTTGTTTAGCTGTGTTTACCTTTAGTGTCTGTATGTCTGACTTTCCATAGCCTATACCATTAAAAGGTTCCATTTTCATGGGCCTATAGACTGTTTCAAGCTTGGAAGCATCTCAAACTGAATAATTGCAGAAAATATTTCTTGCTCTTTTGATCTTTTTTTGGTTTGTGCGTCTTCGTGTTTTCTGAGAACAAAACAATAAACCTATCTGAGCAAAAAAAAAGGTTTCACAGAATTTTGCATCACTAGAATGATAAATGTTTTCACACTGCTCTTTTTTTTTTTAAAGAAAGCACAAAGGGCATTCTGTATACATTCCCTTGACCCTCTGCCTTTATTATGACGCACAATACTTTGCTGAAGTCTACAGTCTGACTTATGTCACACACTGATTGGATGCTTAAGCTACAGAACTGTGTGGAACTGTGCCCCAGTTTTTGTTGAATTATTCAGAGAAAGTAAGGGTGTGAAATCATAATGGGGATGTGTGATAAAGTTATGTGCTTGTTATGTAAACAAAGAGTAATCACTCTTCTACTCTCCGGTACCGTGTAACACTTCTCCTTCTGCCTCCGCAGAATTCAAGTGAGATCAACAAACATCATGCTCTCAGAGATAACACCAAATCACTCAACTGAACCTGGATTCCAACTAATAACAGTAGGACGCAGTAGTGCTCATCAATCCCGTGTCTTAAGTGCATAACAGGGCTGTTATTGGTATCACTAGACAGAATTACATCCTCAAATGTGCTTAAATGAAGCCCCACCATCAAAAGTGTATTTCTGAGATGCAATTTCATCCTACGCTACATTATTTGCGCCTCAGCTTTTTCATTTTGAAGACTTGTTGCTCTCGTGGCACAGAGCGCCGTCCCCGCTGCCTCCGCAGACATGTAACCACAGTTTTGAACATCTCTTTTTTTTTCCTGCTGTTGTCTGTAAGAGCGTAATCTGTGTGAGCTACAGGGTGTTACTGAGAGCCCGTCAGACACAGACTCCGCAGCCGATATCTTTCTTCTGTTGTATCAGAGTTAAAAACAGAGTTAGTGGAGCAATTTTTTTTTTCTTTTGCTTTTGTGTGATCAATTCTAAAGCCTCAGTTTGAAACGTTTTTCAGAGAGAAGTGCTCATCAATATGAAGATCTTTAGTGACAGCTTCCACCTCCCTGATTTGGTGCCATCCCAATGGCAGCAATAAGAAAGTGAGCAGCTCTCTTTCTTTCCTCAGCCTCCATCGCCGGAAAGACTTTCATACACTTCACAACAGTCATTCTGGTTTCATCCTGTGTCATAAAATGTGTATAACACATTTGTGAGTTTTTGGAAAAAAAAATATTTACAATTATCCTGCTTTGCTGAGGGTAGAGACTTATGTTTGACATCATTTCTCTCTGTGTAGTGGGTGTGGATTGGTCCTCCACATCATTCAGGTGCCTTTTCTCTTAAGCGGAAGCATCTAGTTGACACAGAGCTTGATAGGGTGCTGTCACTCTGCCTTCGCTACACGGGAGGTCGATTTCTCCAGAGTGGAAGGCAGGAGGATTTAACACTTTTTGAGATTTCAGGAGAAGGGCTGTAGAATTTAAGGCAATGGAAGGAGATGGGCCACTGCTTCGATACTGTTTAATTAAGTCCTCAGAGACCACTAGATGCATGGGAATAAGGGCCAAATGAGTTGCTGGGTCATGTGCAAGTGTTCTGCCACATGAATAATACAAAACACTGCGGGCTCACTCAAAATAATCTGAGAATACTGCTCTTTCCTTGGCTCGGCCCATGTGACAGGAAGATCCAGGGTGTTTTGTACCTGCTTCCATGCAGTTACTGTCCTCCAGGAAGCAGTTGGTAAAAATTCATCCTTGCAAAAGAAAGAGCAGATGACTCTGAAATGTAACAATGAAGACAAGTTTATGTTAGTATAAAGAAACTTAATTTGATTGTGATTTATTTTTGCATTTGATTAAGTTTTAAAGTTTTTGTAGGATGCATTTTTGGTTGGTATAGCCGGTTATCTTAACAAATCAGTTGTATTTTCATTGAAACTGTGGAATAAATATCTGTGTAAATGTGAAAGGGTGGATTCGACATACAAGCCCTCAGAATGATCGTTTAACTCTGCAATTTCCCCAGGTTTCTGTGAGTTTTCGATGTGTTGCAGCTCAGTCAGCTCAGCCTCTCTGTTCTGATTCACTCAGGCTCTCCAGCAGCCGGCTGGAGCTTTACAGCACAAACGCTGCTGATAATTCCACTGAAACCCACCTGCACCAAACAGCCAATCGTTACCTACAAGAAGACACTGTGAAGCCTGTTGGTGTCAGTTTTGACTTTTGGACAAAATAAGGAAACTTCAGGTGAATTTGTGGCCATACTAGTGATGTAACCCTAACCCAGTTAAATGAAATCTTTTTTATAACTGAAGTTTTTTTTTGGTTGAGCTTTCATTGCAAGTAGCTTCTCTTAAGATGCACTTAAACTGAGAAAATTCTATTTTACATATGTAAAAGTGTTTTCAGGGCACTTTTCTTCTCATATTCATGGCTTTTAAGTATCTTCTGTGCTAGCTTCCAGGGTATGGTCACACATCCATACATAGTGACAAATGCCTGTCAGTCCTTTTCAATTACCTGAAATTCTGTGTTTATGGTTATATTATAACCATAAACTTAACCATACTAAACCATAACCACATAACCATAAACTAAACCAAAAATTTAGAGGGGGAAAATAGTTTGGGTTAAGATACAATCTGTCATACATTGTGATTCGTTAACATGAGCACTCATGGAGTGAACCAGTAGGCAGGAGGTACCAAACAGTCAGTGTAAAAGGCAAAACTCTGTATTGATACGCCCACTGAACAGTTGTAATAACACCAGATTCAATTTATGATTCGTATTGACAATACACTCACAGGAAAGGTTTATTTGGAAGAATTTAATAGTGGATTTCATAGAAAATGAACATTTCTCTAACATTTCCACATTTCCATTCACAGTTAGTCATGAGAACAATCCTTCAAGGACTGATCAGATGCAGAAAACTGCTTTTTCTTTCAATTTTTATCAAAGGAATCTTTTCTAAATCCATTTAATAAAAATAATCTTTTCATGTTTTGAAAGGTACTGATGAATTTACACATTTAAAGTTAATTTAGAAGAGAGCAAAATATATTCATTTGTTTAATACTTTCCAATGCTGTCAGCTTCTTTTATTTTCACATTCCCTTGTCAATCCTCTCCCTCTTTTAAAAGAATGATCTACCTGATACTTTCACCTTCACTTACCTTCACACAATGTGTAGTATCGGTGCAGAAACTTTCACATTTACTAGATTGCACCGGTAATTCTCCTTTTTATCTAAACCCTTTCATACACTCACAAAACATGCTTTAAAAAGGAGGAGAGTCCACTCGTAGGAGATTAATTTAAGTCCTGAACGCTCACTGTACACCCACAACGCCCACCCACAATAAACGCAGCAACACGTGAAACCACTACAGCATATCTTGTATAAGCTAAACATTAAAGTGAGGTCTCTGCAGGCTTTTGAATGGCTGATAAAAGAAGGTAGGAGATATGCTTTGTACCGCGGCTGATAGACCAGAGGAGATACGGCGTAGCAGTGAAGCGGCTGGGTCTCCGACACAAAATAAACTAATGCCCTGTGTGACTAAAGGCACCTCTGCCAAAAAAAATAAAAACACCATGTAAGTGCATCTGAAGTGTTTAAAAAAAGGAACCGAGTCCACTGAACCGAGGGAAGAACCGAGGAGCCCGTTTCTTTTTGGATTCGGCCTCCTTTAGCCACAGCTTCTTCCTCTTGGAGTCCATGTGTCCTTTAAAATGGAAGAAGAAAAAGTAATGAGTACTGTTAAATACAAGAATCTTTACAATGTATTAAGCTCTGAAATAATGTGATAAATAAAACATTTGAACCTGTATAGGCTTCCTTGCAAGAGAAATCTGATATATAGCACCACTAAAACTAACCTTTATGTGTCACAACTAACAGTTTAAACTGCATTTACAAGTTGTTATGGTGCTTTCGTAATTTTTTTGTGGAGGAAAATGGCCCTTCTAGCTTTTAATTGTAAAGTCTAAGCCTCAAGTTTTTCAACAGTAAGATGTTTACAGTTTTTCAAACCAGGAACCCTGCCGCTTACCACCATGCCAGCATGCAGCGTTCAAAAAGAGTCAATGAAGCTGTTGCAGATGTCCAGGTTACCAGACTCTGTGCACTAATGCACCCCCATGCCATCACTGATGCTGCCTTTTAACTGCATGTTAAAAAGGATGGACCCCCACCTCTGAAGCCTTGAGAGCATGACATCCATGATTTCCAAAGGGCATCTTGTATTGATCAGATCTTAACGTGGGGGTTATGGGTTATGTGACTGTTTGGAGATTTCTGATTTTACAGATTGATAAAATCTCGTACATGTTTTTGATAAGAATTCTGGTGGAAGGCATTGTGTAACACTGTGTCTAAAATTGGAAGGAAGTTTTTTTGTTTATTTAAAAAAAATACATATATAATTTATCTGAAATAAAAAAATGTTTCCATGATTTGTTTTGCAGTCTTAATAACCCATTTTAAAAATTAAATGTAGACTTATAGATAGATATTTAATTGTTGTTTTGGTGCAGCTTTTTCAGGAAGATCAGTGTGATGCCAAAGGGGAACGAAGACAACTTAAACCTGTCCTTAATGCCACATGTTTATGGATAATTATTCCATTTCTTCCATTTTCTTTGTTAACTTTAAGCTCTAACTTGCCAGAATTTTGGGCTGCATTTGCTGTCATTGGAAAGTCCAGAAAGTTTCAGACAGACATTCTTGTTAAAAAACTCTCTGAGGAGCCATATTGGCGTAGCTTGCGTCATTATCTCAGAGAGACATAGAGAATCAGGGGCTTTGTTTGCATCTCAGCAGGAACTATGCACACCGAAATTAAAGGTTCCCTCCTTAACGAACCAAGCCACCATTATAATACATTCAGCCACTGAGTGTTGCAGATAATTGCTCAGCTTTTGTGTCTGACTTCCTGACCCTAAGTAGGAAAACAGGGGGCGGACTTTGACCTGTGGTTGTAGCCACATGGTAGAACAGAGCTGCCTAATGAACACCTCCGTCCTCTGTGTTTACATCTGCCAGTCAAACATGCCACTCTTCTTTACGGTGCTTTGTGTGGCCATCAGACACAAAAGCGGACAATTAGCTGTGCTCATTAAGGCTCTTTAAAGTAAAGCTCTGTGTGCGGGTAATTAATCAACCCTGCAGTGGCAGGTGGGCGGACCTCTCGTTAGTCCCAGACTCTGTGGGCTGTGCTCCTCCTCTTCCTCTGAGGGGTTTTGGGCGGAGTTCCTCAGGTAGCGCTGGTGCAGGCCCAAGCCAGGAAGTGTATTCTGTCTGCAGCGACGAAACTCCTCCTCAAAGGGATCTTGGGCTGCAACATCTGTGGGTGTGAGCAGAGCAAAGCGGGAGTGAATCACACCTCAGTTTTCTGCTTTCTGGATGGATTGCCTTAGGGGCTAGTTGCTTTTTTTTTTTTTTTTTTTCTCTCAACGCGAACCGGCTGCAAATTTCATCCTTCTGACTCGAGATGCATGTTGCAAAAAAGGAAAACATATTGCTTTCTGATGCCCTTGGCAGTTGAATACAATCAAACAGAAAAATAGATACACACATCTATTACAGCAAGTTGAGTATGAGTCCAAAAGGTATATTGATGTAACCAACAAGAAACAACAAAAATGATATAGAAAAAATCCCTCAGGATACACAGACCCCCCTTTCTTTCCAAACGCCAGCCATATATTTCATTCATATTTCATCTGCCTGACTTTATTATGATTAGTCATGTAAATAAAATGAAATTTGGTTATTCTTTTCTCTAGGTAATTTACATTTATATTGAATTAGTGGCAGGCAGGGAACGGGGTGGAGGTGGTGGTGGTGGGGTTATTATGCTGGGAGATTAAGGGCAGATCTCATCGCCATTGTGTTGTGTAATTAAGGCAGTGGAGAGGAGAAGAAAGGAGGCCAGATGCTCGCCGTGTTGAAACCGCTCCCATTTATAGGAGGATCCGCAACTGCATTTCAAAAGTCCCCTGATTGGTGTGTGATAGTCCAGACTCAAACACAACACAAGTCATCAGAGACGTTTACTGATAGCAGTGCAATCCGTACCTGTGTGAGCATTTCAAGCAACACCACAATCAATTCATGAATCTCTTGCTTTCTCTACTGATTCATATCAGTTAGGTGTACAATTTTATTACAAATGATTGGCAATCTAAACAGTTTTAAGAACACATTGACAAATGGACCAGTGGCTGTGAAGCTGCATTGTTTTATGAGGATTCACCTGGCTGTTGCTACACAACAGCACAGACCAGCGAGGAAAAGAATCAACGGTAAATCCTGACCTGAATCCAAATGATAACCTTTAAAAGGGAATGTAGAGCTGCCATTGCAAAATGAGTTTCTGCAAATTTTGAGGATAATAAACACACAGAAATGTAAGAGAGACAAACATATCAGCAGCTATGAGCAAGACACTTCTGTTTGGCCACATTAAACATTTAGAGGTTGAGAATGATGAAGGCTGCTGTAACTGCAAACTTAAGGTGCCAAAACTGTCCAGCTCCTGTCAGATTATGTGCTCGAAGGTCTTTTTTTACTATATAAAGAACGTGTAGTTGTTCAGTGACTTCAGAAAAATAAGTTCTTGCTTCACAAAATTGGTTGATTTGCATTTGATTTTCAGGAGGGAAAAAAAAGAATTGCAAAATTCTGGAGCACCTTCGGTTCTAACTATCTCTGCATACTTCACAGGGACTTCACTTGATTTGTTGAAGAGAAGCTCAAGGGTTTTGGGACAATCAAAGACAACTGCCTGATCCTTGGCTCAGGCCTTAGCAACACAAAGACATAGCTGGATTTCCATTCTCTTTGAATAGGCATCTTATTACTGCAGGTCATTTACTTTGACCCGAATCCAATTTCTTTGTCACAAATGCTTTTCCATTGGGTAAAGGTTGAAACTGGCTCGTAGTTAAAACCAAGTGTGGTTGTTTTCTTGTTGTTCTGAAAAAATACCTAAGCTACATGAAGATTTATGTAGTTGTTGACTTGAAATTTTTTATTTTTGGAGTTTACAAATCAGCACCTTAAACAGAAAATACCTTAAAAAATACAGAGTTGACCCTGCCAGGAGGCACCAGCTTTCAGAGGACCACTGGACAACAGGACAATTGGGGGCTTTGCACTGAAGGCTGTAACTAACAAAAAAAAAAAAAAGTAATCCCAGCCTGCATTTGTTTTGTGATCCTATCAGGTAAAGTTAGATGGCTGGATTAAGCCAAAACGCTTGTGACTTCAAGGTTGAGTGCTTTATTCCAGCATTGTTTACCCCTGAGGATCAATATTTGCATCTATTAAGATTCTGGTTACCTGGGTGATAAGACTCATTCAGCTATCAAGTTGCACAATCCACGAACAGTTAATTAATCTAAACAAAGATGATATTAAAGAGCAGTGATGATAATGAGACTTTTTAATGCTCATAAAGGTGCGTCTTTTATTTCATGCATCAAAGACTTAATTCAAAAAGCAGCGAGCACAGTGAAGCCCCTAAATACTTCCATTTTCAGCTATTGTCATGAGAGTGCCTGTCATTTGTCTCCCTGCTAAACAATGCAGCACGGGTGTGTTGAAGCACACTGTCTAGACTGAAATACAGGTAATACACACCTCAACACAAAGAGACATACGTGACGGACACACGCAGCCTTACATGCAACAGGCTGGAGCTTCAGCTGTCCACTGTGGAGGCCTAAAATAAATCATTGCTCAGAGGGAGGCTAGCCCCTCACGACAACTACAACCAGATTATTTCTAACAGTCCATCTTCCCCAGGTTCAAGACGTCTAGCGTGTTGTGATGTGACTCTACTGCTGGGCCCTGACAGATAGTCCTTGTTTGGACTATCCAAAGAAAAAACGGCAGCTTATCTTTGCCATCGTTCATAAAGTGGCTGGGGGCTCGGGGCCAGGTCGTGGTCTCGTGCTAAGCTGTCAAGCACACAGGGTTTTCCAAATGGGCAGGGGGATTTCAAACCGGATGCTGCTCTCTGCCAGCAGGTAGCCATCGATCATAACATGGCGTAACTGACAATAAATCACAACACTGTCATCTTTTCAGAGGATCAAATGAGGGAAAGGAGCAAAAGTTGTGAGGAGGACTTAAATTTGTAATTTATCAGCTTTTTCCATGGCAGAGCAACATGCCAATTAAATCAAATATTATTTTAAGAATTGTTACTTTTAACATGTGTGTTTTTAATCAAACGTCACATTTGTTTTTCTGGTCATAATACATCACTCTCCAGCGTTCTGTAAGGCCCCAGACTCCCCGACTGCTCACACAGAAATCATCTCGGGTCCTATTTGGGCTTTGTTGCGTATACAACAGTGCCACCTAGTGGCCAGACAAAATTACAACCTGAAACGTATTGGGCATTTTTACTAAGAGTTCTTAACTGATTTTAGTCGATACGTTTATTTAGGTGAGCTCAAGACAATAATTAAAAAATAAACTATTTGCAAAGGAATCCATTGGCTATGACAACTTTAAATTCGTTGCTAAGTTTGAGAATGAACTTTTGAATAACTACAAACAATAGTTTGTCAGCCTGGTTTACAGTCATAAGTCCTAATTTGATCAGTTTCAACAGACAAGCATGGCTACACGTATTTTTCAGACACATTGTCAAGTTTTTCTCTCTGATGCCCACTGTCCCACAATGACCGTTTTTTTACATTTACTATATATTTAAGGGGGGCGGGGGGATGTAAGAGTTTTACGCTTAAATTTGTTTCAGATTTAGAAAAAGCAAGATACTATTACTGAAGTTACGCTAAATGTTTCCCATTGTGCTAATCAACGGATATATACCAACCTTTTTCGAATATTTGATGTTCTGTTCATAATGTTTCTGAGACCAGACCAACTGACATTTAAGCTTATTGTCCATAAGAGGGCGCTGCGGCGGCACAAATTCAACCAACACTTCATCCCCTTTTTTGTGTAACTGCGTTTCTGAAAAGTGAAAACATTTCTATAAATGCAAAATGGAAAACACCTGTCTTCTTGACTTTTCACGTTCAAACACAAACAGGAAGAGACGATGTTCAGGCTCTGTAGGATAGGCTCGCGCGGAGCAGCGACTTGGAGCTGGCGTCTCCTAGCAACACGACCGCGCACGCGCAATGGCAGCTTCAAGAGAAACGGGAATTGTGACAACCTATCTCAGTAGAAGTTTCTGCATTCAGCCTGTCGAACCTTTTAGATTCGTCACGGTATCAACTCAGTCTGTATCGACCTTTTAGCCTGATTCACCCTTGGCCTCACCCTGCTCTTTCTCCTCAGTCCCCCTCTCCTGATGTCTCACACAAACATGCACCGGGGCGTGTGTAAATAAACTAGCCTTGAGCACATTCCACACAAATGACTTATTTTTCTCCTCTGAACCAGCTGTAATCACAGTCTCTACCTGACTTGACCAGAATCTGGGCCTGCCATGCTGGGTGTCTAAATGCAAACAAACTTAAATTATGTCTCCAAATATTATCATGTTTTAGATCTGCTTAAAAGTATAACGAGATGTTAAAACAGACTAAACAGCTAAACTGAACTATTTCAGCAGGGTTTAGGTCCGTTCCAGGGCAAATGAGCACTGTAGGCACTTATACATCCTTATAAAAGGTCTGCCCATGGGAGGGTTGAGGAGAGGAGAAGTACAGAGAAGGGCAGAAGAATCCGTGAGATTGGTGTTTTCTTTTTTTAAACTGATTTGTAAAGGTTAAGCATACCTACCACTGAAAAAAAACACACGAAATGACCGACTGAAGACAGAGTTGTCTTTACTGTTAACCACTTTCTACCAATATTTAAAGGAATATTTCTTGAGAGAGCATGTGCACTTCCATTTCTGGTGTTCTGTGCTGTAAAACGCTGACCCAGCCCTAATGTGAGTCGAGGTGACAATTAGTATGTTAAGATACTGAACAGTATGGATGGTATGATGAGTAGTGAGTATGCAGAAAAAAACAGCCGGTGGGGATTTCATTCATGGCAGTTGTGTAAAGCAGATTTTAATTGTGATCAGGCACAAGCACACGCATCCATAAGCAGTGAGAGGATTCAGAGGCACTCAAGCAAAAAAAGAATCACACAGACACCAGGTGATTGCTGTAGTTTTTTCATGAACTTCCACAAACCAAACTTTATTGATCAAATCTGAGCTTTTTAAAAGGACAAAACGTCAGCGACGTGTCTGCCAACAATGTGTTGTGGAGCAGATTCAAGGCTCGAGCTGCTGGCGTAGTTAAAGTGAAACGATACCACAGCCTCCTTCAAACAGCAATCATGCAGCAACAAATCAAACACACATTAAAAGAACATTTCAAGGTGTTATAATTAATTTATTAATAATCTATGTCATCCTTATTACACTCGCATGAACAGTAGCCAACAGGTTAGCGAGGTGGGTGGAGTTTGTGTTAAGGACATTAGGCTGCGGGGTGGTTAAGCGTCTCACTGACTTGTTAAACTGGTCAAATGAAAAGAGCAAAAATGACTTGCATTGAGTCAAATGTAAAGCATTTTGTTTTCCTGCTACAACATGACAGATAATACACACCTCAAATGGAAAAGAAAAGGGCACATACTCAACTTTGTGCATATATTGGAAAAAAGTACAATTCAATCATTGTAGAAAACAAACACAAACCCCATCAAGCTGGTCCCCCCAAAATAAAGGAATAAATACAAATATACAAATACTGAGAAAATATCTCTCGCCTCCCTGGCAGCTAAGCTAAAATGAGAAAATAGTTATTTGGGAATGAGATGCAGGAGGAGAGAGAGAAAGAGAAAAGACTGACTAAAGGAGATTTTCTCAGATGAGAAAAAATGTGTGCTGGTCAGATGTCGTGATGTCAGAATTACTTGTTATCCAGTCTTAGTAGCTGCTCCTTACCATTTACTGTTAGAGATTTTAACTGACCATCCTCCACCACCTCTACCCGCTCCTGGCCATTCTCTACAATCCTTTTCACACAGAGACAGACAAAAAGACTCGTCAGATACAAGGAAGAAACAATGATAGAAAGGTGTTTTAAATACTGACCCGTGAACATTCAGTTACCTTTTCGTGGTAATTTTTCTGCCATTTATGATTTTAGTGGAGGTTGACACTGACTTGAAGTTCCCCATTCCCCCTCCACCACTACCGCCAAACGAAGAAGAGGAGAAGGAAGTGAATCCTCCTCCACCCATGTCTCCAAAAGTGTTAAAACCTAAGGAACAAACATTTTAAGAAAATAATCAATTACACTCTAGAGAAAATACCACAGGAAAATGGTTCAACCATTTTCAAATTCATGACCATCATCAAAACACCTTTTTCTTATTTCAAACATTAGCAGGAAAAAAAACAGGAAAAAAAACAGGGTGTGTGCAAAAGTAGCAGTGACTGGTCCTGCTCCTTGATGCATGCCAGCTTCACCAGTAGGACTTTATACCGAGTGTTCCTTTCATTCGTGTCTGTCAGGGCGTCCACACAGCGATTGGCGGCTGCAGCATTTTACAGTTCATGTTTACCTTCATGGATCCCCAGCTTAAGACATATTTCAGAACATCTTCCGTACTAAAAGATTATACTTTCATATGTGTAAAAATGTATGTGAAAAGTGTGCTGCTTGGATATTCCCACCTGAATCAAACCCTGAGAAGCTGGGCCCAAATGGTGGAAAGCCGCCGAAACCAAAAATGGGCCCACCCATCCGGCCTCTGCTTGCACCTCTGTGACGACTGCGACCGCCACCGAAGAAATCGTCAAGCGGGTCATCACCTGTGAGGGAGTCCCAGAGTTAATGTGTGAGTGACAAACTCACAGCACATTATAATGCACTGAAGACAGCAAAAATACAAAACCTTTTATCTTTTCACTCCATTTTGGCTTTCACTTATTGGGAAATAAGAAGCATCTGTGTCTAAAAAAGGAAATATCTGTCTAGTTCCATCTAGTTGTTTATCTTCTAAATGATTCATGCCGATCACCCTGGAACTATTTTGTCAGATAGTTTGTTTTTGGGTTGGTGTATTACAGGCTTCCCCCCCCATTTTCAACACATTTTTAGTAAACATTCGCTCCCTCTAAAAGCAGCAATGAATTATACAGCATTTTTTCATTTGAGGAACTCTCTCATACTGGAAAAACTGAAAGTGCAGAGAACCAATTCTCATCCTCAAGCCCTGTGGACCTGCTACTAATTGTGTTGTGCCAATCTGGGTCAGCCCAGCAGGATAAGGCTGGATACTGGCACCATTTGCTGAAAGAAGACTCCTCCTTCAACCTTGAATGCTCTCAGGCTGCAGCAAGAAAGCTTTGAACAGAAAGCTTAAAATAAAAGTCTCCCCTGACCAGGGTTGTTATTGTGTTACTGTCTGTTTACCAAGATGACAACCTTCCAGGACAGATACATGAGCTCTAACAGAGCTGTGCAAGAAAGGGGAATGGAAGTGATGAGGAATGTTGTTTAAAGTCTTAAACTCTGGTTCAATTCTTGAGTTAATACTGGTGAACAGAAATAGATAACCGCAGAAAATAAAGGGGATATTAAAGGTTACCCATTCAGATTAAAGATGTGTCAAGGACAATTTCTGGAGATATGATAGTCAAGACGTAGTTAAATTATAAAAATAATTCCACAGATTCAACATTTCAGAAAAAAACATCCTTATTACCAGACAACCTTTAACAGAAGCCAAATATACAGAAAAGCCCACATGATTTAATCCAACTGTCACAAACTGAGTTTTTTTCTTTTTTTTGTCGGGGAAGTGTCAAATCCCTGCTTTACGTCCAACATTTGAGGAGTTCAGAGGGGAGTCCGCTCACATCTCCTCCTGCTTCATTTCTTCACGCTCATTTGAAAATAAGAGTGCTGCTCTTGGCAGACAACTGGGACGTCGTCCCTGTGAGTATCGGCCTGAACAGTTTGCCTGGCCAGCTTCACCCCCTCCCCTCAGTCTGCTGGACACTGGGGTGGCTGAGTGACAGATCTACAGGACCAGCTGCTGCTGCTCACTGAGACAAGCTGCTGGACAGTGAGGACTGGAGGCTGGATGGGACTTTAAAGCACGTCTGAACTGCTTTTTCTGGCTGTCATCTTGCATAGGATTGAGAAAACAGAAATGGATCTTGAAGGGAATACATTGAAGTGTCGAGATGAACTCAATATACCCAGCTGCATGCCAGTCAGTCAAGCATAATAAAGATTACCTTGAATGAAAATAGAATTTGAACTTTAACCCTCTGTATGGTGCCGTTGACAGCTTTACGCGTAGGTTGTTTTTTAAGAAAATACACATAAGAAATGGGACATGAACAGTCGAGAGCTTGAATCACCACACGTATCACATGCACTCTGACCCAGAGCAAACACTGGGCATCATTATAACCGTTTTCGTTTTAATACAGAAGCTATTTTTGAAAGCATTCCAGCTGAGTGATGTAGACACTTAATTCCATCCTGTGCCTGCATCCAAAGTCCTTATTTAGAGCTGCATGAGGTGAACTGCACATGCCTCCCAATCAGCCTCTTGCTGAACTCAGACGCCCTGGGACAATCAGCGGCAGTATATTCTTCTATAATGCTGAACATAACTACTCACTGTGCCCTGTTAGGGGCCCAAAGACACAATTTCAGCCCCTGATCAAAACTGTATGACCCTGCTTTTTCTGCTACTACAGTAAGGGCAGAGGGACGAGTAGATAGAAATCTATAACCTTTCACTGCCAATCTTTTGAATCATCAGGGAATTATTTAGCCTGAACTTTCAACAGTACAGAACAATGACATGGCTATTTCAGTGCACCTTTGCATGAAAAACGATGGATTTTAAAATGTTTATCTTTTCATTTAATCGTCCCTAAACAGAAGCACCTTCTACTTTTCTGTAACTGGGTGACTTATATTTGTTTAGGTTTATGGAAAAGGTTATGTAAACTAAATGAAAGGTGTGGATCTTTTCAACTGGAGCGAGGCTCCATAATGAAGCTGAAGACGAGAGCCTGCAGAGACATTCAGTGTGTGACATTTAGTGGCAGAAGACCTCCTGAGGTGAACAGTGCGGAGGGTTTTAAGGATGCACATCACGGCGCAGTGAGGGATTAGCACCGGGACCTTTCCCTGGGTCTAACGCCCCAGCCACCACATTTTCACACCACAGGAATTGGTGGTTAATGAGCAAACTAATTAGGAAGTCTGTGCATTACAAACATAAACCTGCTGCTTATTTTCTGTCTGTTGAGACTTTCCAGGCCAAGAGTGCAGATTTTTATGGCAGGTAAAAATAAATGAGCTACAGCATATCCCCACCTCGCCGTCTATGAGGACAGCAGACACCATTAGTGCCTGTGAGTGCCCAGACACAACTTACCAAAGAAATCTGCAAATGGATCTCTGCTACCAAAGAATTCCCTGAAAACGTCATCAGGATTACGGAATGTGAAGCCGCCCCCGCCACCAAACGGATCATAGTGGCCTCCTGTGAAACATAAAGAAATACATTTTTCTTCTTAAAACCGACAACTTTACCAAGAGACTTCATTACAAAGTCATAACAGTACCATCCCAACTAAAAGCACCTTCCACCACAATTACAATGGCACTAATAAGTTAATGCAGTTATGAATCGAACATTGTCTTTTGTCTCCATAGTAAATTAGTCTTTTCCATGTTAAATCTGGAAATGCTTAAATCTATGACATCCAACGTATATTTTGTTCTTTGAAAATGATGTCTGTACCTCCGCCGCCTCTTCCTCCTCCTGAGAGGCCTTGTTTGCCGTACTGGTCGTAAATAGTCCTCTTGTTTTCTGCAACAAAGTTAAAAAAGCTTAATAAAAGAGTTATCTGCCAAAAAACAACTTTTGGGTCAGAGAAGTGAACACCGATTAAAAACATTCCCAACATATTACTAGTTGGTCTCTGACGCCCTTTTGGATTGGGAATGAGAACCGGTAAAAAGGTCTATTACCTAAGAGTACAAAATTCAAATCAAACTCTGTATCATAAAAAGGGAAGCCATTTGAAGCAGAAAATTAAACAAAGCACATATTAAGTGAATAAAAGAGAGAAAAAAAAACTATTTGACAACCATGTCATGTAATACAAACCTAACTCTGAACTGTAACAGTTAAAACTTGATTATTTGCCACTGAAAAACAAATGATGATTTTGATCACTTCTGCCTGGACAAGCTTGTACTTTAAGTAAAATTGACAAAAACTAAAATAAAAACTAAAACAAGTACAGTAGATATTTTATGTGATAATAATGATGCACATCCTCGATAGGCAACTAAAACTGAAGATCATTGTTTCCTAAAAATGCTACAAAAACTGTCTTGTGACTGAGTGTGTGCTACAAAACAGCCACTGAATAAGTGTACAGACGTCCTCTGTCTGCCAGACAGTTCATATCTGTGCTATAAGGTTCATCCACTCGTGACTAGAATTGCTGCATTGTGAGTGTATGCCTCCTCTATCCAGTGTGTGCCAAATGGTTTAGTAATGGTTTACTGTTTTTTTTAATGAATATTTGTGGTCTACATATCTCTTAATCATAATATAATTTTCATCAATTACTTTGGGACTTTTATCAGACAAACAGAGGTGACTCGTTGCTGTATCACAATGTACTCATGAATAGCAGACGATGCAACACGGAGCATTATAACTCAACATGAAATATTCAATTTTTGACAATTTTATCAAATTATAAAATATCCCTGACAGAATTTCAAAGAAGAGATGTGGAGTTCTGTTATTGCTGGTAAAAGAGACATCATTTTCCCAAATGTTACACACCCGGGTTTAGGAGAAACAGTCTGCAGACGTGGGAAAAATATTTCAATTGATCGTCTGATGAGAAACATTATTTTCTTTCCGTAAAGTGAAATCTTACCATCGGAGAGCACTTCATAGGCCTCTGACAGCTCTTTAAACTTTTTCTCTGCCTCCTCCTTGTTGTCTGGGTTCTTGTCTGGATGCCATTTTAATGCCAGTCTTCTGTAACTAAAACACAAAATACTTCACAGTTAAAGCCCCGTGCAGAAAAGTAGACGCAAAACCACAAAACTTTACCAGCACTACACAGAAGATGGAGGATGAAAATGCATAGCTATGTATAACCCATTACGTGAGCGGGTCTTATTTTAGAATGACAACCATGGCAGCACCAAACACATGCACACAACCACAGATCTATACATGCCGGCCTTCTCCCCACCCAGGCAGAAATAACAAAGACTGCCAAAACTGCATTGACAAGCAGCGCAGGCCGCGTCCAGCCGCTTACGCTGCATCAGCTGTTTGTTTCTAAGCCCGGCAGCAGTGGACAAGATTAGGGACTGAAATTCAGCAAGAAAACAAACCAGTAGTGAATGGTCTTTGTAGTCAACATCTTTGTTGTGGAGTGTGACATTATCTTGCTGTCCAAAGCCCGGTCATCAGCCAGCACAAGGTGAACAATGATGTACGGCTGATAACTGACCAACATACCAGTCTTTGTAGTCAGAGGGCTGTTGGTTCTCCAACAGAAGTGAGAGCCGCCTTATCAGAGCAAACGTTCAAGCTAAACATCACTGATGTCATCGTTATCCCCCCAACCTTATCCTCCAGGCTACAATTTACAACCCATTAATTTAACCAACAAACAAGACCAAGAGTATTAGGACCATACAGTAGGTCTGAGATGATGCCTCTTCTGTTAAATATGTACATTAATAAGATAGTTAACAGCTAAAAGCTGTTGGTTTGTCTGATAATGGTGCCTGGGGAAAATGCAGGGATCACGAACAGTATCAATTCTTTCAGGGTCGGAAGTGAATGTTTACACTACATTTCACCACAAATTCATTAGAGATGGAAGTCACAGGGTCACTTTATGACTCATTGATTAATGACACTTTTCATTCAGGTACAGCGGAATCAGAGCTTTCACGGTAAGACTTTTAACATCAACGACAATCAGAGCTGCTCTCATGCTTTTACTGCACTTATGATTCACTGCATTACCCGAAATAACTTTGATGTCCCCACGACCACCAAATTTTCTACTACCAGGCTTATCTCTGTCCGTTAGTCTTCACTTGACATGAAGCTCTTCTCTTGTCAAAATAAAGACTGTTCGAGAGAAACCAGTGGGGAGGAAAAGTCAATAGCGAGAGCCCTCCCTGTTCACTAGGTGACTGCGAGTAATAGTGGCTGAGTGAAGGGGGAAGGTATTTGACAGCAGAAAGGTTACAGGAAGAGTGGAAACTTTCTGCACGGCATTCTCCCTCTCTTTGTGTCAGTTTATACAGCTCCGGGGGGATATTATTAACTTATTACACCCCAGGAGTGGCCGACATCTAACAGTAACAGCAGGAGAAAATGGAACATGAAAAAAACTCAAGGGCACTTACGCTTTTTTTATGTCCTCTTGCGTTGCTGTGTTCCTGACTCCTAATATATGGTAGTATTCCCCCATGGCTGTGGATGTGTGTGTTTGTTTGCAGGTGCTGTTTTATGCGCAGGTCGTCTGCGTGGCCACTATGGAAAGAGAAAAGTTTCGTTAGGACGCGTGAGATTGGTGATGTAAAGCTCAACAAACTGTAGCTGAGCATAGCCACGTGTGATCAACATGATATCTCCTTTACTGACTGGGGGGTACGCTTTAAAAAGAGGAGGAAGAGGCTATTGGCAGGGAAAAGGATGGAAATACCCAGCGATGTTACTTATCCCTGAAATAGCAATGCTGGGAAGTACACGGTAATGCTAAGACAAGCCCAGAAAAATCATACAATAACTCAGTGATCATCCCTAACCCTAAGGCTATATGAGAATGTGAACCATGTGGGGGTTTTTATTTGAAGCCAGCAACAAAACCATGAGGGTTTTTTTCTTCCACACATGGCCTAAAGATCGAGTTATGAAACCATAAAAAACAAGACACAACACGTCTGACACAAAAGTTCAAGGAGACATTTCAGCTCTTTAAATCAGCATTTTTGTAGGGCAGAAAAAAGCCTCAATTTACACCAAGATCTCCATGGAGATCGTGTTCTTGTGTGAATAATTGCGCACTAGGAAAAATTATCATAGAATACAAAATTAGCTGCATTTAGCATTTTAGGCTAACACACTTACTATCTCAATAAAGCAAGTACTGTCATGACCAATGATTACCAAACTACATTAGAATTGACTTGGCTGCTGTTGATTTAAACTTTTACTGATCAGAATTTAATTTGCTTCCAATGCATGATATTACACCGGGAAAGCAGTATTAACTCGGTAATACTCAGTTTTTTCTGCATTTCAAGAGGCTCGCTGAACATAAATTCACGAGTATGAAGTTGCATGGCCGTTAAATGGATATCAATTTTCCTCTTTACAGGATTCTAAATCTGGCAAAACATTAACGCAACAGCAGTTTATGACATAAGCTGGTTTTCGTTCATTTTCCCAGTAACTAAGTTTCCATTTAACCCCACAAATGTGAGGCTACAGAATCAACCCAATTTTATTCTGAGAATCTAAGTTCTCTAAAAACACTTCAGTTTAACAAGTCTTTCACATTATAAAAATGTTGGTCTTTATCTTACTTAGTCATAGCACAGCATGGAAGGAAGAAGCATGTGTGCTTAGAAACAAACCCAAACTATTCTTGATCACGTTAGAAAAAAAGGAAAGCCCAAAACAAAAGTGAGGCATCGGAGGTATTGAAAAACCAGGATCTCTTTTCACCTAATGAAACTTACACAAGCATTTGTCTTTTCCAGAAGTGAACATTTGAGCTGTTGAGGATTTCCTGTTGATTATCAAAGTTTTTTTGTTTAAAACAGTGAGGAAAACACAAGTATACTGTGTCCTGTTTGTATGCTATTTATAACCTCTGGCCTTTGCGGTTAGATTGTGTTTGTGTTATGTGGGGGGCAGTGGGTGTTTGGCACATGGCGGTGCCAGCGAGTGTCTCTTGAGTTGGAACATGGTACAAGCACTTGACTCGGCTTTCAGATGCTCGCTCCCAACGGTAATTTCAATTCTTTCTGTGACACTTGAATATTCACCCCTGCTTCGTCTGCAGAGTATTCCACTAAATATAATTACACCAAACAGCTACTTTATCCATCTTTCTTTTATAGGCTAAGACCTAAAAATGGGATTTAACCCAGAGAGATGCTTTGGGTTTTTGTTAAAAAAAAACAACAACTAATCAGTCTCTTTTTAATGCTCCTTTTTCTACTCCAATGTCAGCCATTATTGACCCACTCAAACCTCACCTGTTAAATGCAACATTTTAATAGACAAAAGCGACAAAATATATAGTTCATGGTTCTGGACTTTGCCATGTCCATCTATGTACCTGCATACAGAAGTATGCCTTCCAGTTACAAGACCAGCCCATATGGACGGGCTTCCAGCCATGCTCTGTGTCCACTGTCCCACAATGTAAACAGAGCACATGTGGGTCAGCCAATCCCATCATGCACCAGTGAATGAAATAGGATTAAAGTATAGTTAAAGCAAAAGGGAATACTTAAAATCAGATAACTGATTACACGTTAGAAAAGTAATGAGTGGTTTACAATGTGCTCTTTAAAATGTACTGCCTGAGCTTTAAGGTGAAGTTCATGCACAGACACAAGCTGTCTGAATTCAAACTAAACTCCAGCGGCTAACAGGAATCGACTGAGATCATGTTAGCTGATGATTTAAGGCTCCTCAACGAGTGTAGAAAAAGCAACTTTCCAGGTTTGAGGATCATCAGATCATGCTGAAAAGTCAACAGCATGGTGTGCCTTTCAGTGCTCACATTTCCCACATAGCAGTGACAGAATGGGAATCCACACGAGTAAACACTTCAAGGCAAGTTGGACAGCAGTACGGTGCAACATCTGCTGTTTTTTTTCCCAGTTGCACCGTACTGCTGTGCCAAATGAGTTTCCCCTTCAAAGGGTACTATTATGTAACAGTTGATGAGCGAGATTAAAAGTCAAGTTCTTGCAACAGCAAATCAGAAGAAAGGAGAGTGAAGCCAAAAACACAAAGATGTTCAATCATTTCATTTAGCATCTAGGTTATTTGGATTGTGTGAATTATTTATCGAGTATCTTTGTCTTTTCATTACACAATTAACATGGTCAGATCTTAGTCATTCTGTGTGAGCAAATCCTTTGGGTAAGTTTCCATGACAGAATATTCTATTTCTAACTTCCTGCTCAAAAAAGAACAAGCGTCAGAACACACTTGAATAATAATAATAATTTGAAAACACATTGTATATGTTGGTATCAATACAAAAGATCATCTCAGATAAAATGGTGTATAAGAGGCTGTATGAACCTTTTGAGCAAAGACTTTACTGACTAAATTATTAGACTTTACCCCCATCACAGCACCTGCTAATTTTGTCCAAACTGCAAATGAAAGAGAGATTTTCAAATGTGATCAAGATCAGCAACCAGAATTAAATGTACGCATTTTATATTTCAGGAAGCCACAGATTGGTAAAACTTCAGTGTTTCTTAACAGAACCTTACTCATCATATTTCAATAGTAATGTGAAGCGCCGCTGTGAAAGGTCTACTCAAACACAAATGAGGTGTTCAAGGGTTAGAGGGATAAAAATAGCCAAATCAATAATAACAAAAGACAAAATAGACTAAAAACCTAAAATGCAATCTTTTGAAAGTAATGAGGTGGAGGCCACCCTTACCCTACACTTCAATTTGGAGCAGAGCATCATTTCTTTCCTGCAAAAAAAAACCTTAATTACGAGTTAATTACAAGTAAAGCAACTTCCCTTGGTGTACTGATTGAAATGTCTGATTGAATTCTGGATTTCACTTTTGTCCTTGGACATAAAATCCTTAAGTTAAAAGTGATTAGGAAAGACGGTGAAATTCAATCTTTTGTTTCAGTAACTATAACATTGCAATGTAATAGGGCAGCAAGAGGAGATCTCTCAGCTGCAAACACCACTATGAATGTGACATTAACAAGACAGGAACACAGGACAAGTTCGGAGCAGCCAGGACCTAAAACAAACCACAGCTGACAGCACAGAGAAGGGTGAAAGCCAAATCCAGAACAATGATAACACGTCTGTTCTCCACCTGAAATGATTCACAGCAAGAGGAGAGGGACCCCACAGAGCGCAAACATGACTACAAGTTCATTTATTTTACTTCAGATTTGTTCAAATATTTGGAAATGTTCCCTGTTGCCCAAATGCCCTCTGCAGCTGTCAAATTAATGCAAGTGTTGTTTTCCAAAAGGAGCTTTAATCAAAACAAAAAAACTCCAGTCCGTGTAAAGAATGCTAGAAATCTTTATGTGAAACAAGTCACATTTGAAGACCTTGTATATGAAGATATTCTAGTTTGAAAGCAAAGGGAATGCCCCAGTGAAAGAAATTATTTCCAGTTACACAGTGCCATTGTACCTTGAATACATACAGTGATGTTTAATTGTATGGAAATATGGGCTGTGAACTTTGAGTCAGTGTACTGATGTTTATTGACAAAAAGGTTTCGCTTTTGGTTTTGAGGATTAGAAAGAGACTGCAATTTAGTTTGAGGAGCTAATCTTAAGGTTTAATCAAAGCAATATTGCCCTCGGATTCTACATAAAAAAAACAACCTCAGTGCCAGAGATTAAAGTACAAAATCCAAACAAATCAAGCACCTTCTAATTTCCATCATAACCCAATAATGTTACAGAATGAGGAACAGACGTCTCTGTAAATAAACACAAAACAGTAAGAGCTCATGGAGCTGATATTGCACTGAGAAAATAACAGGACAATTCAGGTCAAATCCAATTAATTGTTAAAAAGGATCAACTCTGAATTTACCCAAAAAGATCTACTCTGCCCATGGCAGCAGAGCCCAAATTTACCAGGCCCCAATTAATTCCCTTCAGAAAGTGTCAGCTTCTCTCATCAATCACTAAGCCAGTAAATGTTGCAACCGTGAGGTAAGGGCCAACCAGAACTCCTTTTTCTGTAATTTGATCTGCAATTTCAACTTTTCAATCTTAAACTACAGAGTTCCTATTTACATACCTAAAAAGCTACAAAGAAATAGTCAGGAATCTCAATCATCTTGAAAACAGGAAAGGCCAAACATTGTTGACTGATCCAATCTGAGACCTAAGAGATGATTTCCCATGTTATTCATGATAACCTTGTGTTTTTTATATGAATGTGCTTTCCTTCTGATAGAATGGGACAGTAATCTAGTAAACATTTCAGAGCACTAAATAACATAATATTCTTACTCGATAAAATACCTCAGATAATATCATTCAGGGCAAAATAGTAACCTTAAGTTACTCTGGCATTAGCCTGACAGATGTTTTTTTATTCATGAAATAAATCGGACACTAAAGTTTATTTGTAGGGGTGGAGACAAGGTAGTTTTTTTTGTGTCTAACAAAGTGAGAAAAGATTCAAGACAGTTCATTTAAAGTGGATTATGTCATGTTTAAAAATTTGGGAATTTATTAGAACAGAGTGGCAGTGTGGAAGTGCCTGAGGTGGCCACCAGGTGACATATTGCCTTGATTTTCAATAACAGTCAGTCATATTTAGAGAAAGTTCCAGAAAGTCTTCCAGCTGAACGCATGTTTATGAGCCAAAATAACTTGGAACGTAACTTTATCGGTGAAATATTATTATTACACTGTCTGAAAAGGTAACCAAAAATAGTCTCGTCCCAACTTACATATCTGACAGCAGATCTTTACGAGCAAATGCAAGCAGTACATCAACATTATACAGGAATAGCAGGCAAAACACAAGCCCGACATCCTCACAACTGACCGAAAATAAAAATAAAAATGTAATAAACCAAATTGTTTTAAAGCTAGCTAATTTGACAGCAAACGGTAGCAAAGTTATTTTGACTTGAGGCAAAGGCAACCAATAGCGAATAGCGTTACTAGCTTAACATTAGCACGTAACCGTGCTTTCCTTCAAGAAGTCTTTAAAAGACGCCACTTCACCAAAATGTGGTGAACCGGAGTTTACACATCCCTGAGACAACCGACAGTAGCGGGAACATGTCACCGTAACACCCCTGCATGAGCTCCAGAGTCCGCGGCAGGAGAAGAGACGTTTTCATCGTTCTGACGCCAACTGACACCGCGCTCACCTTAACGTCGCTTTCGTCCGATTTAAATTATGAGGATCTTACCGGTTCGAAAAAAAAATGTGCGTACTGACCTGGAGGCCTGCTGTTGCTGGTTTCCCTCTGGCTCTGTTCTGAAGCCGTGGCGAAGCTTCCTCAACAGAGGGTGTTTGGATGGCGAGAGCTGGCCTGGCCCACAACTGCCTGTGCTGCGTTCAGGTACCGTCGGGAATTTGCAACACCCAACGGGCCATGAGTTCTATTTAAATCAAACACAGTGAAAGACCTGGTAACTTGCATTCATTTAAAACTTTTTTGAACTTATTAAATATTGGACAGTGGATTATAAATATTGCAACCTCCACGTTAACCCTGGAAAATACATTATTGAAAATAACTCCTGGCGTTGTTTGATAACTGCGAAATTATAAAAGCCAAAAGTAAAATTAGAATAAAAAAGCTAAGCTAAATATAAAGTCTGGGTTTGTTTGGTTTGAGTCGAGTGGCTGGTTATAGGACGTATGGGTGCACAAATTGACATGGAGGGAATTTATTAGTTTTCTCTTTTCAACAAATCCATGTCTTGTTACCTTTTTATTTTACAAGCTCGTCAGACACCTTCGGTTGTTCTAAACCAAATTATATTTGCATTGTCTGATAAGAGAGGGTCTGGTACATTTTAAAGGTCAACAAAGTTTTGTTAAAGAAAAAATGTTAATTTTATCACAAAACAACGACCATACGATTACATTACATCGATTACGTTGACATTATTTTCACGGAGGAGAATTGAATGCAACACGTCTTTGAACGTAAACACTAACAGCGTTCCTCGTTTTATTTATTTACTCATCTTCAGACACAGCTGGTTTGGGTCAGAGAATTCTCTTTGTGCTGTGGACATACATCACAGATAAAGTATTCTGAAATTTAGACAAGCTTTACCAATCAAATAAGTTATTATTGTAAGTAAGAACTGTTCAAAATTATAGCACACCAGAAAAAAGAAAACACTGCGCCATCTGTCGTCCGCTAAGTGGACCAAACAAGCTAGTGTTGAATAAGAAGCAATGACGAAATAGGAACTACGATATTGATCCTTTAATTGAAAAATCTTTAGTGTTACGCATACTAGGTCACTTTCTTTGCGTCACATTATTACTGGTACCAGTCCAAACTATAAAAATGTAAGCATAATTTTTTACTTGCTCCTTTATGTTACGAAATATGTACAATTACTTCTTTTTTATTATTATTTAAAGGCAACCTCTTTTAACAGGCTCCAACTCACAAATCCATCCCTACAAGAGCTGTGTAGGGATGGATGGATGTGTAGCTATGAAATTAAAAGCAGGGGGCTTAACTCATCTCAACCCAAAGGAGGCAGCAGAAATTTTTGCTTAATGCAGTTTTGAGGAAAACTAAACTTGAAATCAGGCTTGCATTGATTTTAAAAAGACCAAATGAAAAGGACACCTAGCAATCAGTTATGTTGAACATAGTCAGTCAGGATCTAATCAGACTTTTATAGGGAGAGAGAGAGACATCAAAGCTGTAGGTATCACACACAGGTCAGTATCTATCAAACAATAAATGGGTGTCTTTAAATGAATCATCATTGACTTTAATTCTTCCGTCTGTTGAGTAAGGCAGCCAATCCCATTTCACAACAATTCAAAGGTAACAAATGACTCTACTGATAAAAAACTTATTAAAGCGAACAAGCCCTATTTTTCAAACCCAGGACATCGACTGGACTACTCCCTGTTCAAGCCCTGACAGGCAGAAAAGTGTGCAAAGCCCCGCTAAGTCACAAACTGTTCCGTTGTGCTGTTAGACCACACAAAGACAACTGTGCATTTATCCCTTGAATTGCATTTGAGTTTGTGCCACACCAATAAATCCCAGTTAAGTGCATTTCTTTAATTTATGTTCATTAGCGTATGTAGGAAGCTTGCAGAGGGTGATCAGCCTGGTATTTTTTGGTCTGCTCTAAATAGCAGTGTGACTGGAAACACCACTAGATGGCACCGACACATAAGAAAAAGTGGACAAATGAAGCAAAGCCCTCCTGCTTGAGCCAATGACTGCAGTTATTGTGCTCCACCAGCAAAGCGGTTTAGGGATGATCACCTCATCCGCTCATCAAAATCCATGTAAATCATTTTGTTTCAACTCAAGCATGCAGACCCACTTGAGTATGATACTTTTTGACCACAATCCCTAATCAACCACAAGTGCTTATTGATGTTCCTGTTCTCCACAGCAAGATAAACAAGGCTAAAAGCTTCAATTAGCCCTTAAAAATCCTATGAGCAAACTAAAGTATATGAGGCACTGAAGATGATTCATAACATCCTGCATTAACGTTGTCAGTTACAATCGATCACGAGGTAATAGTCTAAAATAAATCTCATAGTAATTGAGATGAATCCCTCATTTCAATGACAAGTCTGGTTTTTAAGACCCAATTACCACTATGAATTCTCCTGATGTGCGGGGTTCCTGCGTCGACACAGAGGAGAGGGTGGTCGTTTCAGCAGAGGAGAGAGGACGGAGAGATGGACTCGGTCCAAAGAGGGATGGATATCTCGCTGGGCTACACTGCATTCCAGGACAGGTGGATTTATGGCCAGCGCACACAATCTTAATTTGTGCTCAACCCGATAATGCATCTCAAGGCCAGAATAGTTCTGCTCAGTGTTTCTTAACTGGATGTTTCTTTAATTATATGTCAGAGGCCGTAAAACTCGAGAGGAAATTTCCCCACAAAGCACTGTTTTATGTCTTGGTCATTACTGTAAATTACAAGCAACAAGAAACTAAAAGACTAATGGAAGGAAAATGCAAAAAGAAATGTGGGTTTATTCAACTCCATAGACTCTTTTCTCACCCTCTTGGTACACCGATCATTTGAAGGCCTTCTCATCATGACACAAAAACATGTGCTGATCATGGAAGAGATTGTTGACCTTAGAGGACACGTGGAAACAAAAAGCCTCCATATGCTACACAAAGAAAAGAGAAACAAACCTGTACAAATACTAAATACACGACTCACTGAAGGGCAGCTGTAAACATGTACATATTCACATAACCATCATCCTTTAATTCCCCTATTCAGAAAGATCAGTCTTGTCCACATTTTGGATGCCATGTGCACACTTATGGTATGGTTATCAGACATGAGAGTTATTACTAGGAAAGATAATATTTGAGAAATGACAAAAACTGGAGTTTCAGTTACTTCTACATGAAAATACATGATAGCAGTTCATAAAAGCTCCTCTGCAGCCCTTGGCACACCACAACGTGGCTTCAGAGTCCGACGGTCCGTCCCCATCGGCTGCTCTATTGCCTTTTTCACGTGATGCCGCTTACTCTTTGGTGATCGACTCTCCGTTTATGTATAGGATAATACTGCGAGTAGCTGCTACTCTTGTTTTGTTTTAGCGCCAAATGTTTTCTGCAAAACTCAGCGACATCGCCGTTTTTATGAAAGATTCTTATAAGTGATTACACATTTAAATTACTTAAAAGCAACATGTTTTTTTTGTTTTTTTAAAAAAGGGGTCCGAGCACACTTTGCCTCTCCAACCCTCTTCCCAGGCTGTGGGAAAGTCTTTTTTTTTTTTTTTACCCCCAGCTTGACACTCATACACACACACACACTGAAGCACACAGTAAATCACTCAGTGCATCGTTTGCTTTCCTCCTTCTTGTAGAGTCTTTTACTCCAAAGCCACCGGGGTGGCAGCGAGTTTGTTGACTTAGTGACACAGAGGCTCAGCTCAGCTCAAATCCAGCAGAGGACTCGATGGCATACAGCAGCTTGTTCCTCATCAGGTGTTGGTCGCAGAACTCGGGGAGCTTGAGCAGGTTCATGCAGGTGCTGGCGGTGGGCAGGCGCTCCAGGTCTGAGCCCCCGTTGTGAATGCAGAAGGCCGGATAAAGCTCCTGTTGGAAAAGGGTTGAAGGCCAGACAGAAAGGAATCAGCACGTGTCTGCCATGATCCCAGGTTCCAACCCAATCCTGATTAAGCACTAAACGTCAAATCTCACCGGAAGAGATGTGTTACAGACACACAATGAGAGCTTGGCTTTAGGTATAAATTTAGGAAATCTGTTCAATGCTTGAAAGGCGGCGAGGCGTGAACCCGGCCCACAGCGTGAACCCTTGGATGAGACGCGGGAGGGATGGTCATTTCATGTTGTCCATCTAGCATTTTTTAAATCAACCTTTGCAGTTGATGAGCCGCCTCATCTGCAGACTGTGACCAAGAGAGTTTCCATCATGGACAAGCTACTCCCCCTGATTTCATCCTGCTTTTTAATGTTAGTGTATAATGCTCAGTGGCTATACTTAGCCGATTAAATGGCTCTTCGGGGGCTTTGCCATAATGACCCCATTTTTCTAACAATTACCGTATTAAACTATCGTTGCTTATTGAGAAAGTGTCATTACCACAGCTATCATTTAGAGGGGGAAAAAAGACCGTTTCCATCATCTTTTTTAAATGGGTTCTCCTGACAGAACTATTTCTCCTCTAATGAATCCTGGGCCGTTTCACGACAGCTAATTATGGCTTAGCTGGCTGGAGCTGAGGGCCGGGTCAGGGGCCACTTCCCTACGAATTACCGGCCTTTCAGGCCCAGAGAAAAGGCTCAGTGGGAGGGGTGGCAAACCCACAGACTGGCCAACATCTAATTCATTAAAAGAGGAGGGAACTTTTAAACCCTGAGAGGAGGATCTATAAAATAATTTAAGAAGGACATTGTTCACTCAGAGAAGCAATAAAGTTTTTTCCTAAATGATGACAAACAGGATATTAAGCAATCATATCATGATTACAGCCCCACATCAGACAATTCCTAAAACACAACATTTTTCCTTTTTCACTAACAACTTAACATTTCGCAAATGAAATGGCTTTCAAGTAGAAATTGTTTTAGAAAACGTCAGCTGCAATGACTCAACACTGTTTAAACTGAACTCAGACGGATGTAGTCTGTTGGCATACTTTTAAGAAACTTCTACTTTGTGCCATGTGACACAAAAGATAGAGGTGAAAAGTTCAATCCTCTCTGAAGTTCTGAGTGGAAATATTTGTCCAGTCAAGGTCTCCAACAAAGTGTGCAGATACAGGGCCACAGACAGACTTCTTCAACAGAGAAGGTCATGAACTATAAAACGACCGTGAGGGTGGAGATAAGACTTTACCCCAATGCTGAATTCGTCTTTCTGGAGAATGATGTTTTTAAGGTTTTTATCAGTCTGAGTATTTTCATTACAAGCCCATTAGGAGGGAACACTCCCTTCTGTTGAGTCTGGAAAAGCAGCTGATAATGGCGCATACCGGCAGCATGCAGAGTAATCACAGGGAGGGGAGGGGAGGAAACATGGGTAAGACAAAGACTCACCTTGAAGCCCAGAAGTGGCGGCCGAGAGCAGCTGGTTACGAACTTCAAAAGCTTACGCTTTTCTTCTTCTGTGAATCCATCCACCACCTGCCAGAAGGTCTGGATGACGGGGTGAGTGGCTGTGTACCCACCTAATGGAGATATTTCCAAACAAAACTCTGATTATTCACCCTGTGCTGATTCTAACCACCAGTCTTTGCATTAAAGACTCTTCAGTCTCTGCACAGCCATACCTGAATAGTTTGTGAAGTTTTTTAAGTCATCAAGACTGATTGGCACATGCGCCCCAGATATCAGCACCTGTTAGGATGAGGGAAGGAAATTCTTAGTTTTCACAGGTAATAAAAACATTGTTATTCTTCATGTTGTTTATTCAGTGCATACCTGGATCTCCTGCTGGTCAAACATGCGCAGCCACTCGAGGTTGACCACATTGGCCAGACCCTGCCTGAAGGCCAGACAGTGAGGTCTGATCTGCTTGTTCAGCCTGTAGTCGGCCACCAAATGAATGTAGGCTATCCGGTTTGCTGTTGTCACAGGAATATCTTTGCCTCCCAGCTTCAGCTCAACCACCTGAATAAAATTAATTAATTGGAAAAAATACAAAAGGGGTTTATATTCAATTACATCATTGATTAAATGTGATGTGCTCCGTAATAAACGCACAGTCCGATAATCCTACTGTAAAATGCATTGTATACACAAAATACATTTTATATTCTGGTGCTGGATGACCATGTAAAAGGCTTCAGTGTGCCAGATGTCTTTGAATCAATCAGAGGTTAAAACCTATTCCAACACCAATTTGATTCAAGGTGAGAAACTCATTGGTTAGGAACCTCTCACCATTTCTAAATGTGGCATCATCACTGAACATCTGCTCCAATATCATTTGGCCCAGGGTCTCCTGTTCATTAGCTTTAGAGCAGTTACAACTTGATAAGATGTGCACATCTCCGTTCATAAAGCAGCGTGTGTGATGACATCATGGCATCAACGGGAGGACAGAGCATCATGTTCATCTTTATCAATTGCAGTTCTGCTGTATTTGGCCAAAATGAACCTGTGTTTCTCTGAATTTATGATGAACTCAGTGCAACTATGACTTAGTGAATTTCGGAAGTTATTCACTTTTCATTTCCAAGTTCTTTTTATTAGATTAGATTTATTTGATTAGAAAAAAAAAAAGTTGCTTCGAATGCAGCCATGTTTTTTGTTATCTCAAGGTGAAAGAACTCTCACCAGTAACTGAATTTAAATCTCTAAAACTTGACTTCAGGTTTAATGCACTGCAGGTGCAATTGTGTGTGTCCCTGTTTTTCTCTCCTCTCCTTTCTGTGAACCTCTGCAAAGTTATCTAAGAACCGCTGCATCAACAGTCACTAACAGGGATCATCCTCCCCAAATCTGACTGATAAAGACTTAATTTAGTTGCACACTATGGTTAAAGACTGCCGTAACCATGAATCAGCACCTCTCTGACGCAGCCTTGACAAAAACTGTGTGATAAACTTCACAAAAGGCATTCAGCACAGCGGCATTGAATTCAGATTACAGTATAATGTAAGGTCTTATTCTGAACAGAACCTGAGCGCTGTGTACCCTCTGGTCTTACTGGCAGGTAACAATTTTCAGCTGTTGCCCTCCCAGATTGTGATTATGTGCTAATGTAAGAGAATTACTGCTGTTATCTTGCTTGTTTTGGCTATCTCCTGAGGGCAAATGCAGGGCAGATTGCTCCCGGGGGTGTGCCTAATCTTTCACAAATTGTTTTCCCTATCGTGTTTGCGAAGCCCTATTTGCGACCAGGAGGGCCACATTGTAACTCAGCCGTTTCAGGTGTTGTTTGAGAAGAGCTAATAAGTTGCGTTAAGGCCCCTTAGCAAACAGGGGCTCCATGGAGAGTGCAGGTCTGGGCGCAGGTGACTCAGAGTGGCGGTGGTGGCTTGGTTCTGGAGCTTTGGGGGGGAGGGGGGGGTGCTTAACAGCGGGTGGCTGCTCCCGTCAGGCGTGCTGTGAGATAATTTCTGGGAGAGAAAGGCAGGTGGAACGGTCAACAGAGCTGCTGTGTTCCCTGCACTGCTACAGGGCTTAGAGCGACAGTGCCGACGTGCTTTATCTCTGTCAGAGCTGAAAAGTGGTGCATCAGGCGGGAAATGAATTATTAACGCCACACAGAGAAACCAAACAAGAAGACGGAAAGACGGCTGATTGCAAGGTACTGACCAGGATGGAAAGAGAGGTGAAAAAAATAAATACACAAGAAATAACTTATCTAACAAAATCCAACATAGTCCCCAGCCCCAGTCACCTGAGCTTCTCCCAGGTCGTTGTTCACGACGGTGAAGTTGAGCCCCAGCTCCTCCACATCCCCCTCGTAGCTCTTAAGGAAGAGAAGGTTGCGATACACCTCAGGGTCCAAAGAGGCCAGATGGTGAATGTCCACATCTGCACTGGTTCCCAGAAGTTTGGATAAGAAGAAACTGGCAAAGGGCAGCTCCACCAGCATGTTCTCATAAAGCGCCTGTGGAAACATGAGGACGTTTGCTTCAGTGCTACTGAACCAACTGTTATTAAATGCGCCAGAGCGGCATCGAGCAGCATGACGTTGATGAGGATATATCCAAAGGCCTGATTAAAACATTCATAATAAAACTTTACATTTGCTTTGTATCAAAGAATCAGGGTGCTCACATTGGGGTGAGTGAGATCAACACACAGAACACAAAAACACAAGCTACTTATTCGCTTGACGTAAACTTTATAAATGCAGACTCTCACCTTGACCTTAAATGCCATTAAGAACCACAGCCAGGCAGGTGACTCATAAAACCCAAAGCTAATGTACTGGAATAGTCAGAAAAAGAGCCCATTGGACACACTAAAATATACAGGGCTTTATAAATGATAGCGCTAAAAACCCTGACCGCATCAGCTAAATGGATTATAAATCTAAAGGATTTCCATAATGTATGCATCTTAAACACACACAGATGCATAAATCACAGCTATTTTCTAAACACAGGTTAATTGCACAACTTCAAACATTGTCTATTTTTTATGCAAAATAATCCACTTAGTATTACTCTTGTGGCCGGTGCTTGTTTCAAACCATATGCGCCGCGTGGCCCCTTGAAACCTATCAATAACACTCGTGCCGGGAAGAGGCGGCAATAAGTATATGGAAAAAACCTGTAGGCTTATTTTTTCAATGCCACTTACTTTATTTATGAGTGTTTATTGCCAGAAATTGTGCCAAAATGACTTGGGTTGGAAAGAATTAATTATTATGGCCCAGGCCTTTTAATATAAGTGAGTGCAGTGGCAACGCAATTAAAGCAAATCGCGGCACCATCAGGTGGAATAAATGCCAACAGCACTGCAGGTGCATTCTGTTAGCTGCCAAATAAATTCCTTAATTTACAACATTAAGAATCAATAAAATTATAATGCCTTTCAGACGCATCTCTATCCATCAGAGGTGCAACTCTAAAGGGGAATCAGTGAGAGGGGACTGTGCTAAAGGCTGAGGTTTAGGCAGAAAGGAGGGTCGGAGCTTCATCACCTTGACAGTTTATGGAGTGAGAAGGCCACTGTTGATGAGCCTGGAGGTTTTCTGCTAATGAGACCAATGACAATCTTTCAGAGGCTGCATTACATAATGAGAGTGGAGACAAAATGCTGGCAGACACTTGCGTCTTGATCAAAATAACTTTTTAATCTTTAGGCTGTAGCCACAAATGCAAAATAACCTCTTCTCATGTTTTCCCACATGCATCTTAAATCTTTCGGATTGTCAGCAGGGTGGACAAGTAAGGAAGAAGGATGACGACCAGCCTCTATTCTGATGTTCAATCCCATTTCAGTGAGTACCCCAGACAAGCCACTCCTGCCTGTAATACATCACCTCCACAACAATGGCACGCCTCTGACATTAATTAACAATATTAATCTCCTGTGTCCTTTGGGCTGCAATGTGCACCGTGCTCACTGCACCAGTGGTGATGCAATCACGATCCATATAAACGGTTGCCTTTTATCTAGGCAATAACGGCACTAAACAAATATCAATACGCCTCTCAAATGGCCACTCAAACGTCCATTTTTATGGAGAAAGGGGGACTTTAGATAGGGTTAATTGAAAGTCAAATTCAAATTAATTTCCTTCAGACTAATTGCCTGCACCATTAGCTAGAGAGAGTACAGTACTGTAAAAGCCAGAATGGGGAAATTGTAGTTGCTGATTGATCACTTCTCATGCTGAAACTTAGGAGAAGAAGAAGGAGAACCACATGAGGAGGAGGAGGAGTTATGATGCTTTGATAAGTGGACTGGACAATCTAAGGCTGAGTGAGAAAGAAGGAAGAGCCCTGGATGTTCCTGCCTGTAAAACAGATCAAAATGCTATTACCACATGCTTTGAACGCTTATTTATGTCCTGTCTTTGTGGGTCTGCTGATTTAGTGCCAGCCAAATGCAATCGCTTCACAAACAAGAGATAGGAATCATCGGCTAATGGAACTCCTAATTGAGAGGCGACCGCTTGTCATGAGGTAATTCTTCTCTGGGCTGAGATGATACCCCCACAAGAGGGAGGCATCTTGATAAACAATCACCACCATATGCATTAGGGATGATTTAGAAACATTAGGCTCTAATAAATAGCGCCGTCTAAGGAGGGAAGGGGCAGACAAACAATGCCGTCAACAGATTAAGTACAGGGTTAATTAACAAATGCTTGCCTGAGTGCTAGATTCAAGTTGAGGCCTCAACCCTGAAAATACTCAGCCTGAGGTATTCATACCAGTGTATACAATATGAGTGCTTTTATGTCAGTGACATCTTTAGGATAACTGACATTTTATTTTGGACACTCACCTTCCCAAGGATCCTGCCCAGGAAATAGTAGTGTCTTGTGAAGGAGTCTCCCACGAGCATCTCTGCGGTGGGGCTGGGGTACAACAAGCCCTCGTTGGATGTCCTGAAGAATCCCTGGTTGGGGTTGAAACCTGACCTGAGGAGCTCGTTGAGGAACTCGCGAAAGATGCCCCCACCATCGATGCCCGCCTCATCCAGACCGTGAGCGTTCAGCAGATGGACACGAATCCTTTTCTTTAGATCTGGTTCTAATAGAAAGACACGAGGAGGAATTCATGAGGGGTAAAAGAAAAAAAGAGGAGTTTTCAAGACTTTGCCATAATGTTCACGATGGCAATAAACTAAATTTATTTTCCCTCTATAAATGCCATAAACAGCCTCTCCTGGATCCCAGAGATTTTAACTCTGAACTTCAGATATTTCAAAGTCATTTCCAGCACAGAAAATTAACAGTGGCGAACTGATGGTTATGTCCCCCATTTATGATGACTGCCAACCCATTTTCTTCACTGCACTGGATAGGAGTGCCTATAAAGTAAGATTAATCTCACATTTTAACAGAAAAGCAGCTGTTTTTACCTCATAAAAGATGCTTTCTTTATTATCACTATGACAAGTAAAAAGACACTGTTTCATTTTCAAAGACGCAGAAGTTGAAAGATCATATTCAACACTGTGATGTAATATTTGGAGGTGAGCAAAAAGCACACTTTGAGCTCATGGTGCTCACATTGTGAGCCAGTAAAACCTAATCTGATCAAATGTTTTCCTGATGGGGAAAGTGTAATGAGAAGGGAGCTTGGCAGAAAACCTGTCCAAAGAAAAATCTGATTAGCTTGACTCCCTTACCTTACATATATTCAAATTTAGAGGGGATCTTAACTTTTAAGATCTTTGCTAGACTGACACAGCCACAATTAAGATGTATCTCATCAATCAGTGGCTTGAAATACCCAAAATTTAGCTAATCTTACTCATTGTATTTGCTTAGTCGTGAAAGGATCACCATGATTGTCTATATCAAATCAAGAACTGAATCTTATTTCAAAGAAAAGAAAAGAAAAACCAATCTCCCACTATTTAAGCACATTGTAATATTTTTGCAACAAATATGTTTTGCAAGAAAGCCGTTTTTTTACCTGCAGAATGTTTAAATCCAATTCTACAAGAGGTCATCTTTCACAATAAACAACAGAGCAACGTAAATCAAGGCAGCTATAACTTGTAGACACACACATGACATAGATCATGTCTTCAGCCCAGGTCTCCTGCTACTCTTTTTAATCAGATTGCCCCCACCGCAGAATCCTTTCAAATTCAAAAACAAAAGAGGTGACTTAAAATAATTGATTCTGTCTTTATGCTATTCATTATAAAGAAAATTGGGAGCCCAGTCATGCTTTGCTGAAACTGAGCACTCAGCATGTGGAGAGAAACTGGAACTCCGATTCTCAATTCTGAGATTTTAGGGAATGAAACAATCGCCACTAAAAGTGTCGACAGGTACAACACTGTGCTTTCACTTGTGCTCATCATATTGAGACAACTGGAGGCTACACCGTTTACCAGACAGCAACATGTAATGTGTGCTGGCTTCTTGAGTGTAACAAAGCCAGTTACACACACCAAACCGTGCCAGTATTGAAAATTCAGGGATGCTAGTCACCGTTTTCTGGTGAGAGTTTATCGTAGGCGTCTTCATAGATGTAGTTGCGTCTGATGGTGACATTGATGCCATCAGGGAATGGCCCATCCCCTTGCACGTCCCGTTTGTCAGCATAGATTAACCTCTGGAAGATCTAGAGGGCACATGTAAACCTGGTCAGTAATAAATCAAGTGGGTAAAAAAGCATTTTTATTTTATGTATGTATTTTTATCTATGAAATTAAGTGCTACTGGACCATGTGAGCTTATATCTGATTTTGTTTATCATAAATATCCAAGACAATAAGCATCACGGATCACTGATCGAAAACATCTCCAACAAATGTCTTGAAGGAAAAACTGCTATGAACTTGTTGCATGTCCAAACAACTTTGCAATGCCTGCTCTAGATAGAAACAAAAAAAACTTCTGTTGCTCTTGTGTGCCTTACCTTTACTCTCTCTTCAAAGGGAACCACAAAAGGGAGCTCTGTCAGGATGGCCAGATGTCTCTCTTCAGAGACGGACAGCTGTGGAGGTTCTGAACCAACTGCAGAGACAGAAGACATAAAACTAAAGGGTTGGCTTATTAAACAAGATCTTTCCCACACACTCAAATTCACACATGGATTCCTTTCGAACAAATTATCCACTCATGCCAAAGTGATCCATCTCAGCATTGTCTGATGGCTCATTAAAGTGAGTTGGACTATCTCAGCAGAGATGCAGCCCTCTGCTGGCGATTCCTTCGTTTTGGCTGTCATGTTAATACATGAGAACTAAAAACTCAAGAGAAATTTAAAAAGGAAGCATATTAAAAAATTTACTGGATCAACAAAAAGAGCAAACTAGCCGTTTAGTATAATGTCTTGCTTGAACTCTGGGTGAACTCTGGGAACGGTCTCAGAATCTACATAACACGCTGACATGAACCGAAAAAACTATTTTTTATTTAGACAAACCAAGTCACTGCTTTGATGGTGCTGAATTATAATAACACAGAGATGCTCAAAGAACACAGTTTGATAGAAAAACTTAGAGTGTAAAGGATCCACAATAATCACTGGGCTGGATCTCCGGAAACTCCAGTTAAATTTTCAGAAAAGCAGTTTAAGTCTCCAACATATGTCTTCCTCTGGGCGTCACACTCATTTAGCATCATTCCTCACTTTAGCAGAGTGATTAAGGCTGTGTCTACTGTTTACAGACCAACCATTTAAGACATATCCATCCTACAGCCTTTTAATAACACCCTTTTAATTAACTCATCTGTGAGATTCCCATCCACTTACTGGGATTTACCAATTACGCTGATGTTTGTTCTGTATCATACTCAGGAATCACAGTGTTTAGCTCACAAAGAAAATTGCCACAAAGCTAAACCGCTATTCACTCTCCTCTGCTTGACTGCAACTCAATTATTCTGCACAATTAGTCAACCTGATCTGCATTTTCCCATCAGGTTTCCATCTTTGAGGAGAAATATGGCCTCGAAGTGGTCAATACTTGCCCCATTCATCAGCTATGGGCCTGTCCATTTAAGGAAATGAGAAAAGGCCGGACAAACACATGGACCAGATGTGGCTGAGTTCATCAGGTACTTTCACACTAATTGAATTTATCCAACACAGCCTGTGAGCGGCGTTAAGGAGACCATATGCACATTGTTATCAGCTTGTTTTCACACCGTACTTCACAGAAAAGTGGGATGGTTCAGAGCGAGGCGGATGAGGACCTACATGCGTCAGTCTTTTGGACTCTGAGTGCCTAATTGAGTGAGTGAATTGAAGATGTGGTTAACATATGTCTGTGAAAATGGGGGGTGGTTAATGTATATTCCCATGAGTTTTATTTAGATTATTTGAGACAACATGAGTAAATCATGTCTTGATGTATAATAACAAAGTCAACAAAGTGTCATTGAGGTAAAAAAGAATGACTTCACCAAAAGTCTGAAGCATGACAGACGTTTAGACTCAGTGTGAACAGATGAACTGAAATCGGGGATATGACTTCTAACAATCCTATGGAATATAAATATAAATGCAAAACTGCACAGAATATGAAAAGCAAACACAGAGAAGGTGACTTTGGACAGCTATTACGGTGATTTCTTGGGCTATGCATCAAGCTGACATAAGCATTATCCGATTCTAAATTTTCATCCATTGCCAAATGCCAATGGAGCGGGCTCTGAGCCGTACATGAAATACAGCACCATTCATAAGAGGCTCGCTGCCCAGCTGTTCTTGTCAATGATAAACACACAACAGTCTAAATGACCAATATTGTTAAGAAGGCAGAATAAATATGATGATCAATTACTGTGAAGGATTCAACTATTCAGCGTCATATAAAAGGTAAAAGTGCTCCATAAAGTTAAGTGGGCATGCACATTCTGAACTCTTCTTCTCCTGAAAAAGGTGCTTTTGTGAGGAAAATAACCCCATAATAGAAGATTACAATACCATCGAGTGTAGACTGTAGAGGCCCGATGCGGCCCATCCTTCGTGTTCTCCATGCGTGTCTCGCAGATGGGACGTACAGCTGGGTGACCTACGGAGGAGGCAGACAATGAGAAACTTGAACATCTCTTAAATCAGCTCTAAAAGTCCTCCAAAAAACTACAAAGACTTCTATACATCGAGAAATCCGGGTATGGTTTAGAAGCTGCATTGTAATAAACGAGCATAGTGATAATCTAAGTGATACAAACTTAGAAGTCCCGACGTCGGTTAAGCACCTTATCAGCTCGGATGTTGACCTCCTCAGAGAGCCAGTGACCCGCTGGGCAGAAGGGTCGCCTGATGTCGCGAGCTTTCACCATCTTCACCAAGTTAGTGATGACCTGGGTTATAGATCAAACACACACTAGCAGTTCTATTCCCACATGATTAAATAAAACCCAGTGATATTACATTTAGTAGCAGAAAACAAGAGTAATTAAGTTTTTTTTATTCTGTACAAGAGGATGAGGCACTTTCTCTTGAAAGCAATTTTAAAATTCAGCCATTAGTGCACCATTTATGAGGAGCATAAACGAAAGAACGACCTGCAAGGTCCAGCCCTCTTAATTACCAGCAAGGGCTGCTGACATCAGCCACCGCACAGAGGATGAAAAGGCCTCACAGATCTCTGCTGTGCAGCTTTTCTCCATCTTGTAGGAGGTTTGTGGCATCAACTTTTTACTTAGACGCAACAACACAACTGGTGATGAAAATCCAAAGCCTCTATTAGAATGACAATGACAGGGGCAAATATTTGGGAACAATTTTTTTCAACGGACCTCGTCTAATAAAGGCTCCCTTGTTTCTATGGTAAGTCCCAGCTGGAAATCACACATGTCACTGATGTGATACATCTGCCAGAGTAGCTACAGCCAGTCCATTTCCATATAATACCCCAGCAGGATTGTTCAAATCGAAACGCTCTTCACTATGGCATGTCATTTTCATAGAACGACAATAAATCTTGGCCAATCACCAGTGGGCAACCAGAGTCTGCAATAATGGCAAGTGCAAAATGCTGTAAAAGGTGCATGGAGATGGGTTTGGAGCAGACCTACCCCCTGACTCTGGGAATGAATAAGCATTCCTTAATTAGCCCATCGGGTTAAGTGCAAACCTTAATGGGCCTTTCCCAAACTCCTGCTTGACATCGTTCTCCAAACATGGCCAGGAAGAAAGTTCCATTAGCAATATTAATACAAGCTTAGTTGATCATTTTCATTCAATTAACTTCTTTCAATTAAATAGATAGCGGGACAATGGAGGTGATAAAAGATGGGAGGGACGGCTGATGACACGAACCAAACATTAGCGTGTTAGGGGTCAGCAGCGTTAAACTAACTGTAAATCCCACCGTTCAATTTGGGAAATGCATTTCCCCTGCTCCCCACTTCTTTAATGGGTCGTTTTAGCTGACAAGAGGCCTTTGAGCAGATCTTTTATGAAAATTCCCCATGTGCTCTTTGCGTTTGCCACCTTTGACAGAACGGTCGTATTCACTTTAAAATCCTCTTAACAGCCAAAAAAAAAAGGCCCTGAAATGTTGTTTCCTTGAGGGAGGAGAGAAGAGAAACAGGAGAAATAAAAGGAATGAGAGGACAATTAGTTAATGCTGTTTTCTGCCTCATTTCCTCTGGGTAAATAACCAATGGCCCACCTCAGTGGCGCTCCATCCCGTCTTTGCCTGCTCATGCATATACAGTTGACTTCCTTGAACACGGATGATCATTAGGCTACTCTGCCTCAATGCACAGACTGCACAACAATTACATCTAATGCTAATGTGAGACAGATAATGGTTAACAGCTTTAGGTATCTATAAAAAGAATAAAGCAAATGAGATAGGACATGGGGACTCTTTAAAAACTTTTTTTTTCACTGTTTTTTTTCCATTAGGCGAGATTTATATTTGGATTCATTTAAAGCGCTTTAAAAAGTACTAATTTAGTCATTTATAGAAATACATTTGATCTGCTCCTCAAATCAGGGCAATGAGAAGCAGATTTCCTCCAGCTATTCAGTGCTGGAGGAAACCTGCTTTCAGATTTAATTGTAATTTCTTAGCAGAGTTTGGGCAAAATTATTCCAGGGATTCTCTGCAGCTTGATTTCAAAAGTTATTCATGCCACAGAGGTGTGTGTTTCAGCTGGTTTTGAAGAGCGTGCACACATACAAACATTTTTTAAAAAAAAACAACAGACCAGACTTCCCGCTTTGTGCTGAACAACATTTTACGAGACGTTCCTTGGATGAAAGTGAAAAGTTTCTGTAACATATCCTGTTAACACTGAAAATACTGCCCATGTGGTAATCTAATTCATTTATTAATCTTTCTTTATTCGAGAGTATGTGTCAAGTTTTCGAAGGTAGGGCAAGTGCAATTTGTCATTCAAAACCAGATGCTAATAAACCCCAACTTCTTTTTTAAAATAACCATAATATTTTAGGCAAACTAGAATGAAGAATTAAAAATACCTTGAAAAGTTGCACCCAGCGCTTCTGCTCAGCCTGGATGCGCAGCTGGACCTCAGTGTTCGTCTTGACGCCCACGCTGCGGAAAGCAGCCATGTACTCCTCTCTGTGCTCTGTTTTGGTCTCGGGGTAGGCCAGCTTGATGATCCCCAGACATGCGTCCCTCAAACAGCGGGACAAAGTCACCAGCTCTGGCACGGTGAAGGGCATCATGGAGGACTGTTTCTGACCTGTTGAAAGGGAGAAAATGTACATAGTCTTTTAACAGATATTGATCTTGACATTTTAATGGTAGGAAGGCAGTTTGTGGCGACTGAAAACAATTAATATTGCTGTTAGCTTCAAATGAGGGGCAGAGGAAGGCAAAAGAGGAATTAAATCACAACAGGACCTAAACAATGTCTGCCAAGCTATATATACTCATGAGTCATGCAAAGTTCTAAGAGGAGAGCCGGCAAAGTTCATCAGGAAATCAAACCAGTTATGGTCAAATTATCTGGTTAAATTAAGATCTGCTTAAAAGGGTGGATGAGTCAATTACCTTCAATTTCACTTCCAAAAAACTCGCTGTCGTGGACAGAGATAAGAGAGTGGCTGAATAGAGAGCTGAAGAGATAGAAGAGGGGAATGATTCGATTCGAGTCCTCAAATGACAAAGGAGACCCTCGAGAGATCAGCTGCAGTAGAGGCACCATGGACCTAAGGGGGGCAAACAAAAATGCAGACACCAATAAAAGGCACGTATTGTCTTCACACAAGGATCCAATACACAGGCAAGATAGAAACATAATCAATGTTAACGAAGCTCACCCTGTGATCATCTTGGTTGTCATGGATGTTATCAGGTGCCACAAATGCCTCAGGAAGCGTGCGTTGAAAGCTAAACTGTACAGAAGTCTGAGGACAGCAAAAAGGCACAGAGAAAATAAACTTTTGTTTTGTTTTGATGAAGCACACTTTTCTCATCAAGAATCAAGACTAAATGCATTAGAGCCATTTCCAATGACACAATCATTGTGAGAAGCTATAAAATGACTCTCCGCCAAACTGTCTGCAGAGCTGAACCTGTTAACTCGGCCTTATGTACCAGGCGACCCGCAGAAACGAAGGGAAAACATAAATGACACTGTTAACCAGCATTTCAGTCGGAGAATTTTTTGGTCTTTCTCGACTTTTATCTTCACAAGGGCCAAAAGGAGATTAAATGAGCCATTAAGCTTTATTTAGGTGAGGCACCTTCCATTAGTAAACTAGTTGCTGGCGAGGATGCCCAGCTCGGGTCATAAACAGCCCTCTGGCTTCCTGCTGGAGCCCCATTTAACTTAATGGCCAGGAGAGCAGGACAATGGTGGACAGAGGAGGAGGGGCCGGCTGGTCCTTGCTGTGACCCTTGAGCACTAACATGCTTCCACACTCACAGTGAATTACGTGATAACACTGACAAGGGCCCACATACCTTCCTATAGTCACTCTGCACTCTACGGGCTGTGGCACCAAGGTGTGAAGGTGTTCTTTGTTCAAGTGTGTGTGTTTGTGTATACTCTTAAATTGTATGGCTTTTCACACCGAGTGTAAGTACAGGTGACGATAATGTGGTAAGTAAGCTAAAAAGCTAAATAAAGTGGTCCTGCGTATAATGGGCTCTTGTCCATGAGTGACAGTACAGACAGCTATACGGATGAATGCTTTTATGAGGGCAGCATCACGTTTTCACATTAGAACACTAAAGTTCAACAGCGAAAATGAGCTGAAAAGAATTAGAAGATAGAAGGTTGAGTGAGAAATGATAAATCTTATGTTTGCTTAATATTCTCATCTCAATGTCAACTTTCAAATTCCCTTCCCACCATCCAATATACCAGAAGCCATTCAAAAATCCCAAAATGGAAATGAGTATTAGGAACAGACTGTCAGACTAACCTCAATAAGGCTTGAAAAATGGTTTGAACCGAGCACGGACCATCTGTCAGGGCAACAAGGCTCAGGAGAGAAGCACAGAGGAGTGCTGTGGGCTCATAACAAGTCATGTGGGTGTTTGATTGAAATGAGAAACAAAGCACTAAATGCCAGCTGACATGCTGATTTACAGCCCGAGAGAACCCAAACCCCCATTTCAATCAAGGAATGAACCACTAATAAACAAAGTCAAGACATCAAAAGGAGTGTGTGTGTGTATGTGTGTGTGTGTGTGTGTGTGTGTGCAAAGCAGTTTGATGAATAATGTTCGCATCATTTCATTTTGCTGTGATGAAATCTTTGTTCAGCAGAGGAAAAAAAAATAGCCCGGCTCGGGTCAGGTTCCATACCAAGACGCAGGAGTGAGTTTTCGCCTTGGTGCAAATTAGTTTTTTGGACTTTGATTTAACAAGACAAACACTGTCATTTCAGGACAACGCAAGAATTGCAGTGACCTCTCAAAAGTAAATGAAGATCTTTCATCAGAACCCTGTTAGCTGCGGTGTTACATTGGGTGAAACCAAACTATGGAAGGAAAATGACAACAAATATCTATCCTCAAACAATTTAACTGGAATAACACCGAACTTTCTAAAGCAAACCGAGGCTTAGTGCAATTAGCAAATCAATTAGTTGCAAGAATTAGTGTTGCTCTCCACTGATTGGATTTTTAACTTACCCTTTATTAAACAGCAGGCAGAGTGTAATTTCATGAGATATTTTAAATTTTTATTAAAAGGCTGTGTGCTGCGTTGGCTGCACAAATGACCGGCCACTCCTCTTTTTTTTTGCAGTAATAGCTGTAAATCAAGACGGGGATGCAATTTGCTCCCCTTAGCCTCTTGTAAAGCTATCCCGTCCACTCCTGCAGTGATTAATCTTTCTCAGTGAGCTAATTATTTTGTACAGATATCCAATAATGATGGAAGACGAAGGACAGGATTTATGGCTAAAGTGGTGAAGAGGAGGAAGCTGTAAAAGGGGAAGGGGAGGGATGGGATATCAGGTGTGATTCTGCTAAATTCCAACTTGACCATGTCTATGCAAAACTGGCTGGTAACAGAGCATCATCACTATAAATGGTTTTGAGTATGCTCCCTTTTCCAGTCTGAATCTACATGCTCCCCAAACTCCACCCTCACATTTATTTAAGCTGACAGGCTCTGGCTCCACTAATAATTAACTCGAGCAGGTTGACCATACATGAAGCTCAGTCTGGATCACCTCCTGTCAGTCGATGCACCATCCACCCTCCACCCCCACACCATCTCTGGCATCCTAGCCCTAATGTAATCAACCTGAGAAGGGGTAATTGCCCTCATCCAGAACTGACAGCTTCCCTGACATCCCTGCTTCCTCTACCGGTTGTAAATGCCAGCGAGTGCGGGCCACTGATAACTGCCTGCCTCAGTTCACTCTTATTTACATTACTGCTTACACCGCGAAAACACATCAAAACACAGGTTTCTTCTCAATTAAGCAGATGTGTAAATAAGCTCTGAGGACGCAAAGCTAACTCTGACAAGTGTAATAAAAATTATGATGTCGAATTTTTTAAAAATAAGCACACAGGCATTGTTTTCCTTCAGGAAGAAATACTTTACAGAAAAGATTTTTCCCAACTTTTTAAAAATAAGTTCTCCTACTCCCCCACACAGTGGAGCAAACAGAAACAAAGCAGAACTTCCTTTGTTTCCCTTGATTGTTGAGATGCTTCTGAAGAATTGGCCTGATGTTGTTTGTGTCTTCCTACCTCACTTTTGGCACCATAAGGCGATGCTGCACCATGAGAGTGTGGCAGATGGATGCCATCATGGTGAAAACTTCCTCGCTGGCTGAATCCCTCCACACCAGGTTCAGCAGGGTGTTCGTCTGCTGTTTGGTGTCCAGCTTGCGGACACATTCCTCTGTTATCAGCTGCACAGAGATCCGGCTGTCATCCTGTCAGAGAGGCAAGTAGTCCCTTTTTTAAAAGCTTTGTAAATGCAAAAACACATTCAGAAAGATCATATGTCATAGAAGTGTAATAAATATATAAAATTTTACTCACCATGTATTTGGTGACAGACTAGTTATATTCACTGTTATTTGTCAGGCTTAAAATTAAAGACTAAAGATGGAAAAGCTCAAATTTTCTTCTTCCAGAACAAGAACTCCCAACACAAAAATCTTTTGTTTTAATGACAAATATAACAGTACATTTTCAAATCAAATGAAAATCAGTCAACTATTAGAAGCCCCTGTAAACATAAAATGCTCATTCTGCAAATGGGAGTTTCAGTTTTTATTCTTATTTTACTTATATGCTTATATGAATTTCGTAAGAAAGAAGGCACTGATCTGATGTCACAGCAAGCTTATTTAGAGGAAGCATAGTTACATTAAATTTATGAATACCTAAAGATACTTTTTCATTGTTTCATTGAACTTACCCCAGGTTATTTATATCACACTATAACTGTTTAGACATCACATACACACAGCTGACCAGAAGTTCTGAAGAAAAGGACAAATCTGGAAAGGTTTTTTTTTTTAAAGATGCTGACTTTATACCAGATAACTGAAGTGGGAAAGACTACAGGTGGAGTGAAAGGAGGTGTTCAGAGACACACTAAATCACTGGTTTTCCTCAAAAAGAACTTTGGAATGTACTAAACAAATACTTTAAGTGTAACTGCCTTTGCTGAATGTACCTGCATGGGAAGCGCGTGGATGCCCGCGTCATCCTCATCCTCCGAGTCGCTGTTCACTTCTGGCCTGCTGCTGCTCTCAGACACTGGCAGCAGAGGCAGCAGCGTCCGAAGAGCTCGAAGGTACAGCAGCAGCCCTGTCTCTGAAAGAGAACCTGCCAACACGCACCCATCATTACTGAACACTGGCACATAAATCAATAAACAGTAGAGGCGAAAAAAGCTACCCAGGTGCACAGCTCGTAAAAGCCTCACCCACCTAAGCAGTTCTCCCCTGCAGAGAGGACGAAGTACAACAGCCACGGTGCCTGGCTCTGTGGTGCTGAGGAAGAGTCGATGGTGGCCTGGAGGGAGCTCAAAAAGGCCTCAAATGGGAATGAGAGCCGGCAGTCCGAGAGTGCCGGGATAAAGAAGTGAAAGATCTGCTCGGTAAACGGCGCAGAGATGAACTCCTTGGTAAAAGCCGCAAAAACAAACTGCCTGCAAGACAACACACAGATTTACTGTCAATCAAATGTAACAAAAGCTCAATAGGCTGTTGGTTCATACAGAATTGAGCCAGGAGGGTTGGTCATTTTAACATTCTGCTTTCTCTGGACCATGAGTTCCCTAATATTGTCTCTCCAAACAGACCTGTTTTGTGGGTCCCAGTCACACACATCTGGTGGGCCAAGCCAGATAATTAGCTGTCAGAGTCTATGTGTACACAAGTTTCTCTCACTCCCGCCTTGCTTTTCTCCAAGGAAGAAAAGAAGTCCTCTTGTCGTTTGCTATTAAGAACGTCTCAAACTAAGGGCAAACAGGCTGATATTTTGCACCGCCGCAAGCAGCCGAGACTGGGTGACTTTTATGGCTTGTTGTAAATTGGTCTGAAGCAATTACTGCTTCACCATTGACCAGAGGGGACAAAAAAACGCTGCCATTTGTCTGATCAATTTAATGGATGATTTTAAAAGAATTCACAGGAGACAAAAACACTTGGTTCCCGACATTATGCCTTCACATTTTACCTGAACGTTTACAATAGATAACGGGTGGTCTACAAGTTCTACCATGAAACATGTAAGCGATATTCTAGAAAAAATACCAGTGATTCAATTTCAACACCTGTAAGAGGGAAGTTTTCCATTTAACGGCAAAGCACTAAAGACAAACCTAGATGTTTCAGCCATGTGGAATAATGCTCAGTGGGATCATTTTTTTTTAACCAGACAACTTTTCCTTCATGCTGTACCTTGCGCCTGTTGTGCAGGAGGAGTAGATAAAGTGCAGAGGTTTGAGGATGTGCTCCAACAGTGTGCTTGCCATAGGGACAGAAGGTGCGTCGCTGTACTCCAGACTGGGGGGGAGCCTGTGATTCACAAGAATATACAGCGACCTGTAGTATCCTGAGGGGGTGACAGACAACAAAAAAGAGAAGAAATTCAAAACTTCATACAAGAGGGGCCCTGGTTAGCTCAGAGGCTTGAGCCGGTGTGCCATGTTCAGAGGCTGTCCCCATTTGTAGCCACAGGTCAGGTGCTTTTCTGCATGTTGTCCCCCCCCATTTTTTGCCCTCATTCCTTTTTAAGCAACTTTAAATATAAAGCGCCCAAAATACACGTTAAAAATTTGTAAAAATGGTGCAAAATGCATCAATTTAATGTTAGCAACAAAAGAAACCGCAGTGTTTGTTTGTTGACTGTAATTTTTATAAGACTGTTGTTAAATGAGTTTGATAACATTAGATTATATTTTGTCGGCAAGCCCCTAAAGTCTTTGTACAGCAGGAAGTAGAAATTGTTCCCATCTTCATCACCATAAAAAAAAGTTATTTCAAAGAAAATTTCACAAATTATATAAATAGTTAACTATTCAGTCCAAATTTGAATAAATACCAAATAAACCAAACAGTGTATACCGCTTTGAGTAGTCAGCTCAACTGGAGAAGCACTATATAAGTGTATGTACATTTACATAAAGCAGAGAAACCTACAGTTAACTTACCTTTTTGTACCATATAGTGCAAAATCTGCTCGAGTATAGAAGCTACATAGTTAGTATCTGGAATTAGAGAAAGAAATGTTTTCTCTGAAGAAAAGACTTCTAGCATCCGCATGGGAACGGCAACGTTTAAACTGTCGTCTGTGCAATTCTGAAGAAGTCTGGAATAAAAAGAGAGAAGTGAGCAAACGATCCCTTCAGTTTAATTCAATATCCAGCTAGTTTCTCCTTATTTTCATGTATCCATCAATTGTTAATCAGATGTCGAGAGTACTATACCTGCAGCAGAAGCCCAACATCCTTTTGATCTGAAACATACATGTTTGCTTCTGTGATCCGACCAATAGCTTCACAATCTGACTGTTGTGTTTCACCAAGTTTTGGCATAACCATATCTGTATAAAAACAGTCATGAAGTTAATGGACATACACTAGCCCTCTGGTTAAAATGGCAGGATAACTGGATGTGAGAGCAACAACTGAAAAGCATCAAAGTCCTTATACCATCTCACCAATCTATGTGCGTCTACACTCTGTCTGTAGAAAAATATAAGCCGTCTTGATAAAAGACAGAGACTGGCACCATCCAGGACATGCTGAGGTCCCCCTGCCTGTGTCTGGCTGGCGCAATCGTCAAACTTTGCCCTCTGAATGGCATACTGGAGGGGGAAAAAAGGGGAATAAAGATCATACTTAAAATTGAAAATAAAACTAGATATTGAAGTAGCTGAAAAGGAGAAAAATAACACTGCAGTAAAAATCTGATTCATTAAAAGCATAGAAATATACAGTGTTTAGGATGTAGTAAAATCCCAAAAGTGGAAGCATTTTTTAAACAAATGTCAAAAAGTAGAGCCAGTTTAGGCAGAAATCCCCATCCGAATAGACACAGTTAATGTATTTCCATTTGATTATAACATTTGGCAGATGTGACCTAAACTTTTGAAAAGCATATAAACAAGTTAGTTCGACCAAAGTACTGCGAGACTGAAGCCATTAAAGCCGGACTAATACACTTGGGTAATGCAGTTGAGTATCCACATGCATATACTCAGATGGGCTTAATGCCCTGCACATATTCAAATATTCCCGTTCAATACACAAGAACACGGTAAAAAAAAAGCTTGCAACAACTTACAATCACAAAAAAACAGCACATATCTTCTAATCCAAAACAGGGATGTACCAGTGGAAATCAGTCCAATTCACAAATCAGTTTCTATTTTCAGGGCTACATACATCAGACTGAAAATTAGTCCACTGAAAGTTTGTGTTGACTCATGGCTGCTTAATGCATTATCAGACTGTGGCCCTGTTCTAATAAAATCCTATCCCATTAACATGGTCAAAAACTATCATTTAAGTAATATAAAGACAATTTAGTTATTTCAACTACATTTATATATATGACAATCTACTAAAGTCAGAAGCAGTAGAATGTCTTCAACATTTGCTCACATAGGTCACACTGTAGCAAATACTTGTAATTCATTAGTTTATAAACATGGATATCCTCAGTTATATTAGTAACAACACTTTCTCTAGAAAAAGTTCCCTGTTTGTTCCTACAATAACATCAGATATATGCCATGAAGTTTAAAGATATACATAAAGTTAAACTTTATAGAATGGAAAGAAGAGGATGTTTATGTACAGCTGGTTGACATACTTGTTGTTTCAAGTCCTGGTAGCCACGAATGTAGGACTGAATGATGATGGCATTCTTCAGTCGTTTTCTTTCATCCTGAGCAAAAAAACAGCAAGTATTAAAAACCGATGTATGTATGACTCAACAGTTTACAAAACAAATAGTAAAGTAACATTTTATCATTTAGGAACATTGTTGATTGTGAATTAATTGCAGTCTCATAATGAGTCCAGAGAAAGCCTATAAAGGTAACTGTACCTGTGTGAACAACATGGCTTGTAACAGAAAGTGAAAATAAGCAGAACACAAACAAAACAATCTTCAAAAACTTTGCAACATCAACTGACCACATCACCAGTGTTTTTCTTTTAGTTGCCACATACTTTACATACTGGTATAAACCTAATCCATACCGGAATCTCAGCAACAAAATGCATGTTTCCTTAAGGCTAACTTATATTTACAAGTGTACAGGGAACATTCGTTTTCATATCAGCATTCACAGAGACACACACAGAGACAATACCTCTCTTTTTCTTCTTTCTTCTTGAGTGCGGTGCAACAGCGATGCTTTTTCTTCCTGAAAAGAGCAACATACAAAAGCTTAACAAACGCTCAAATTGATTTTGTTTCCAGCAGTATACATGTTGGCACCGTTTTCTCCATTAATTTCCCTCCATGATGAAACGATGATTACCTTTTTACTGGCTCCTCCAAGTGACACCTTGGGTCTCGTTTTGAAATCTCCTTCAAAGCTGAACATTGTTAGATTTTTCCCATTTACTAGTTCAGAGCCTTACTCCGGTTTCTGAAAAAGAAAGTGAGAGCTTGTTAGAAAGTCCAAGTCTGGTGTACCAGCTCCAATCAATTACGAAATGAAACCAAAATAACCTCACGACTCATGACTTGGCACCAACTTATGAACAGCTTCAGATAATATAATAAGCACCAGACCAGCTACGCTTCTGGTTATTTAGACAGCTATGAATGTCAACGGGGAGAACTGCTGAACAACTGGACAGAAGATCAACTTCAGCTAGTTAACCGGCTGATAACCTCTATGGCTGCAACAATAGTTCGCTAGCCGGTCAACTTAGCTAGCTCATGACTCAGCAGCTGTCAGGAACCTAAGAGGGCTAGTTGTGCTTTCTGACGCCACACAACAACAGAGACAAAAATACAAAAAACATTTATTTATGACAACCAATGGCAGGGACTCAAATACGTGTATGAGGAATGATTTTTGTTGACGTTAGCATAGCAGCTAACTAGCCACCAGCTAAGCAATCACACAGGCAGGCAGGCTAACTTTACGGGGGAGTCTTCCTCGCCGTATGCCTGCCCTGACATCGTTTAATTCATAGGACGCACAACTGAGAATAATTGAACAACGCAGGAATTGTTTACCTTCGACTTTTGAATTACAGAGAGAAAAGGAAACAGTGACAGAGAGAGAACGTTGTTCAGGTGAATCCAAACGTCAAGTCTTCTTTTCCTCTTTCTAGAAATCAACACAGCACAGGGAACAGTTAACTCAACTGTATCCGGTTCCTGTACATGACCGTCTCCTGATTGGTTCAGATCCATGTCAGTTACACGTTCACCCCGCCCTCCAGCTAGATCTTGAGGCTAATGTGTGCGTGCGGTTGTGAATTACCTGTGTTTTGGGGACATTGTGCTGGAACTGTCATTTTGAAAATACTTTTTTTTTTCATTCTTCTTTATAGATAAAGAGTATGTTTTGGGTTGAGTACACTGAAATTCGAGGGGAAACAGATGTATTTTATCTCAGTAACCTTATAATAAAATTCTGAACATTGTACACACAAGTTATTATCTATTTCTCTCACGCATTTTCGCAGTCTCTATTAAGTACAATAATTTTGCTGCACATAGTCATTCATATGTGCGCAGGCAGTTATCTGCCTGTGAATGTATCATTAAATGAAAAGGAGTGGTAAATACTAAAGTTGATGTCTATAATTTATTCAAAATGTGTCTTTTCATGATACTTTTTTCTACTCCAAAAAATTCTGAGTGTTTGTACATTGTATATTTTTCACAAACCAGTGGAAATTGTTGTTTATGAAACAATGTTTTTTCCAGCTTGTGCTTAACCATTAAAACTAACCAGATCTTCTGGAAGGTCAACAATGCTACATATTACATGATTTTCTTGTGGCGTTCCTCCAGGTCTATTACTGGGACCTTACTGCTTCTTTCCCTAAAAAATAAAAAAAACAGCTGTCCAGTCTACATTAGTTGCACTGTTCACACAAAATGTTTGATATGAAATAAAATCAAACATAATAAACACATAATGAACACATATACCAATACAATTATATGTTTTTTTCACTCACGATTTTCAACTTAATTTAAAATGACTGATCTCTTTGTGTGTGATTTATACATATTGATATATTACACTCATATCTTCTTTTGCTGTGAAGCTTGTGATTCTGTTCTGGAAACTGATTGAAAATCATAATTAGCAAAATATGTATATTTAAACAATATTCTGTTGTTTTAATGTCCTTCAGATAGAATGATGTCGAATCAAATTAAAAAACATAAATTATGTCAATGCATTTCTCTTTCTTTTTTATATAAAAGTCATAAACTATTTCCAATGTCCATTACATCATATTCCAATTTGTGTGGCCTCCATCCCCAGTGACATATTTTAGTTCTGGAAATGACCAGTGCATCGTTCTGATAAAAAACGTTTTTTCATAATAATTCAGGTAATTATTAGATAACATGTGTGCCCCAGATCTGATGGATTCTTATTCCAAGAACAGACGAAGATTATCTCCAACTACAAGTCCTACCAGATATATTGCTATATATTGTCATGTCTTCCTGCAAGCATTCGTCTAGCTGTGATCAAATTGACGATTGAATGGCTTGGCTGAACTTTAGACTTTAAAAATATGAAAATCATGAACTGGTGCACGATTAAAATAAGCTTTAATAATACAGCTTTAATTGCATGTGTGCGAAAGGGTTCTGGTAATGCCATCACGAAAAAAAAATGCTAGTATTCGGATTTCATTATAGTATTTGAATTTCATTTTGTTTTTGTTTGTTTGTTTGCTTTCTTACCTTTGAAATTATTCTAAAGGCAACATTAAGACTTTTGTTCTGACAGAGAGCATCACGAGGAATGACAATTTTTATGAGCCGTTAATGTTTTCAAAGCAGTTTTTAAAACAATTTGGAAAATCATCAATATGAGCCAGGTTCAAGGGATGGCATTTTTCTGCATTAAAAGAGAGGGAGCAGCAGGTCTCTTTACACCACCTTCTCATAATGAACACATTTACCGAGGGTAATTAATATATAAACTCACCCAATTTGTCACTTTGATTTGTATTTTAGTTAATTGTGGACGCAATTACGGGGCAAATTAACAGCTTTCTGGAAAGAAAGGGGTTTCAGAGTTCGGTTTCATCTAAGGCGTCTTATTAATTTTCTCTCTCCTAGATGTGATGAAAAGAAGCGATAAATCTGTGTGATCGGCGAAGGCCAATAGCAAATGGCTCCATATTTCACCACTGCTTTAATAGAAATATTCATGTCGGGCCCTTAATGAAATTAAACCCGTGGCAGAGACAAGGCGTAAAACAGGGGTGCGACCAGGAGTCCGGCTATTAGAATAATCATGCATGAGGCTAACAAAGTGGGTTCAGCTGATGAGGGAAATACAGACGTGGACCTCTGGCTCCTTTCTTTTTACAGATTTGAAAACGTGTATTTAGCACCATGAAATACTCCGAAATTTTTCAAGAAAATGACAAGTGCTCCTAACCAATATCGTGGGTGCGACTGGCCGAGAATTTGAACACTGACAACAAAGGACCAAAAAAAAAAAAAAATCTACTTAGGGTTAGAGTTGTTTCTAAGACATAATTTGAACATATCATCATCAGCCAATAGGGGCCATGTGTTACTCTTTGATACAAAGCTGTAAATGAATTAAATCCGTATTCTCTTCTGTATTTTCTGCAGGCCAGCAGCCCACACATCAATCTCGCGGTTATCATTCTGTAATTGGTCATGATCATCAAGGTCCACAATTAAAAGGCGATCCTTTACCAGAAAACTACCCGGTGACTTGTTGATTTCCCCTGAGCAAATAAACGTCCCAGGAGCGCGCTTTGCTGATGAATTGACAAAAACTAATCAGCTTTATTGGTAGACAGGTTAAGGGCAACGGGGTGTCAATAATTCTCGTTTTGACCTCCTCTTCCATTAACTTTAAGAGGCTTATTAGACCGACGTCACCCAGAGCCACGAGCCTATTCCATTTCTCTCCTATGGCTTTCAATAACATAAAAATAAGAATGAAATGAAATAGAAACGGCTGTTGGGCGATGCTCAAAAACTGCTTTGACTTGACAGAATTCTAATAATGTGTTTTAAAAATATATATACGTATACAAATAGGATAACGTTGAACAAAAAACAATAGTATTTATAGAAATGCTCAACTAAACGTCTAAAAGCTCGTTCAATTGCTATTTACAGGCTAGAAATATTGATGTTGTAGAAAATAGGATGTCCGGTTGGGGGTGACAGAAGGAGGGCTTTTAGTTTTCCTCTTCTTCAGGATAAAAAAATGCCCCCCCAGACCCTTCGCTTGATGACTTTTCTCATACATTAAATAAGCTAGATTTAGTTCAATAATACGCTTTAATGTTATTCGACATTTTCGTCTTGTAGGCTGTCACCGTCCCAGGAATAAAGGTTGAGGCAGCATCTTGAATTACAGTGATGGGAGCAGGAGGCGTTGTTGAGCCCCCCCCCCCCCCCCCCCCCGCGCTGGGACAGCCCCCAGCAGGACCGCTGCACCAATCCGCTCCATCTGAGCGGGATTAAGTGTCAAACCCAGCTCCTCACTCACACTCCGGATAACATTATAACTTTTGAAAGGTGGGAAAACGTCGCTGACTGCTTCTCTAGTTTAACGGCCTCAGAAGGCGACGCGGACAGGCACCTGGTGACCAATGGAGAAATCCAAAAACTTTCGCATCGACGCGCTTTTAGCAGTCGATACACCCAAGGTGCAGACCTCACCGCTGGCCCTGGTGACTTCTCTGTCCTCATCCTCCACCGCCTCATCCTCCTCCTCCTCCATCCAGTCCTCCGGGAGCGTGGCGGCCGCGGAGCTGACCGCCGGCGCCGAGGCTTTACGCGCTGAGGCTTTACGCACCGAGACGCCGTCCCCTCCCAGGATTTCCACCTGCGGCCTGATTCCGAAACCAGGTTTCCTCAACAGCCCGCACAGCATGGTTGGATTACACCCGCAGAGCACCGCAGGGATCCCGGCTCAGGCTCTCTACGGCCATCCCATGTACACCTACTCCGCCGCCGCCCTCGCCGGCCAGCACCCTGCCCTGTCCTACTCCTACCCGCACGGCTCCCATCACCACCACGCCAGCGACCCCATCAAACTGACCGCAAGCACCTTCCAGCTGGATCACTGGCTGAGGGTTTCCACGGCCGGGATGATGCTTCCCAAAATGTCCGATTTTAATTGTAAGTAATATTTCCATTACAGGATATTCGTATCAAGCCCCTCTGTTAACTCCAATAAACCTAAACCCAGTCCATTTTATGGTAAATGTGTGTCCTTCATATATATTTTTAATGATAAAAAATGTGATCATTTAGCTTAAAATGTCATAGGCCTCTACTCAGCAAGCATCCTTGACTGCGTATAACCACTAACACTATATTCATTTATCTTCTTAATGTGTGCTTCAAAGTTCCTAACACATTTTATCGTCTGAATGAAGAGGTTGTCGTATATTGGCGTTTTTTTTCTTTTGGGAGAGGATCTAAAATGGACAGATAATGGACAGTTGGAAAGTGGCAGAGGAGTGTGAAAGCCACAGTCGACATGCGATTTGCTCACCAGATACTGCCTTTTTTGTTTCTCCCCGTTTTAACAGATTTGTTCAAAATGAAGGGGGCAAATAGCTCGTCTGTAGATATATTCATATGTGGACTCACTGTCCTAATGCTTGAGTAAAAATATTGTACTCTAAGAAGGTTGCAGATTTCTGAGGTTGAAGACTCATCTTCCTTTCACAATATCATTGTTTGTGCATATTTTTAATTTAATTTTTATTTTCACTAACATAATGTCTTCTTTGTTACAACATGTTTGAGCAATGCACAACATGTCGTCCACTGTAAAAAATAAAATAAATACTTTTCAGGAGTGTAAACTAGTGTTTTGCTGTCGTCCTGTTGCAGCTCAGGCTCAGTCCAACTTGCTGGGGAAGTGCAGAAGACCCAGAACTGCTTTCACCAGTCAGCAGCTGCTGGAGCTGGAGCATCAGTTCAAACTGAACAAGTATCTGTCACGACCCAAGCGCTTCGAGGTGGCCACGTCCCTCATGCTGACAGAAACCCAGGTAACACATGTCTGCACACATAACAGCATTTTTTTAAACCAAAAGGAGTGTAATAAAAACTTACAATGAGAAATTAGGCTGAGATAAAAATAGAAAAAACAATGTTCTCATCGTGTGACTTTACGCATGGAAATGCCACAATGGGTTAATTCCACAATTAACCCATTTATTTGAGCTTTTTACTTGAAGGAACAAAAAACAAACTCAGAATTGTACTAAATGTAGTTTACGAATGTTAACAATCTGTGTAAAATTGCAGTTCTACAGTGTCAGGTGGATGAGCGAACTTTACGCACAGTCTGGCATCGTTTTCGCCTTTTTAAAATGCCATTCTAACATATTATAAAAATATTTACTCATACGAAAATAAATATTAGAGAGGACATAAGTGAGAAAAGGGTGCGATGATTTTTAAAAAATAATTTGGGGAAATTTTTAGATAGAACCTGAGGCTGATATCTCCATTTGTCCATAACAGGTTTTTTTTGTGTGTTTACTTTGAATTAATACATCCCATTTCTCTGCAGGTTAAGATCTGGTTCCAGAACAGACGCATGAAGTGGAAGAGAAGCAAGAAGGCCAAAGAGCAGGCCGCCCAGGAGGCCGAGAAGCAGAAGGGCTCCAAGAGTGGCCAGGAAAAATCTGACGGACTCGATCAATCGGAATACCACAGTAAGACGGACTCAAAAAACGGCAGAATAAGAGACTACAGGGACAGTGACGACGACGAAGGCGACCATTTCCTGTACAACTCGTCAGACTGCTCGTCGGACGACGAGCGGAATCACAACAGCGACGTCAGCCCACAGCCATGAAGCCCAGAATAACGGGCCCAATAGGTCCTAAGACTTTAGGGATTTTCGCCGTAAAACCCAACTGCATGTTTCAAGGCCTTCTATCACCTTAACGGAACACTTACGATTTTTTGCTATGAAAAGAATATGCTTTCGTGTCATAAAAACAAGCAATAAAGGAAGAGATTGACGTTTTGTTTACTCGTATAGGGCATCATTCGCTTCTCCTGGGCAGGTGCCACACTGCATGACGCTGTTCACAGGCTCAGGATTTGCTCTTTACCCGTTGTGATGGTTGTTTTTTCCCCCAGCAATAAACATCCAGTAATGTCCAATAGCACATACTTTAACTCATTTTGCAGTTGTTTTTTTTTGTGATGTCACACCTCCACACAGTGCGTCATGTGAAGCAGAAAAATCTTTATTTTTCTACACTATATTTATGAAACGCTCATTAAGTGCATGCTAACTTATTGTTTAGCGTCTCTCTTTCTTCAAACATTGCTAAATAAAAATGTTTTATATGTAAAGCCCTGCCTTTTACGCATTCATTGCTATTTTTTTTTCTTTTGGAGGACTACAGTCCCCGGATTGATGACTTCCTGGCGGGGCTTGAGCCTGCATGCGGACACAGCCGTGTGTTTCTTCTCTTTGCTCTGACAGCTCGAGTCATGGGAATTACTGTTAATAGCGCTGTCGGATCCGTGCAAACGTGCAGTGAGAGCAAACAGCAAGTAGGCGGTCAGACGGAGGAAACATTTCGCACCACACTAGCAATGGGCGCGCATTAATAAACCGTTTAAAAGGCCCGTGGAGCTCAATTTGGCTACTGCAGACACTATTTTCAGGACTGAAATCATTTCAAGGTCACATCTCATCACAAACCCCAATTAAAAAGGGCTGACATGATAGTTTTTTTTTTCAAATCTAACCTTCATAAATAGAAACCTCTCAGACTGAAAATTTTAACCTGTTTGGATGAGTTTATGAAGAATTGCTTTAATGTGACGTTTGATTTTAATACTTCTCATTTTACAATAACGCAATCATTTTCGTTCAGACTAAAGGCGTGGGTGGGCGATCTGTTGATTGTCATGCGGATCACAGGAACGAACACATTAGGTATGATGTGTGTTGATGGCCGTGTTTCCTTTGTGATCACTGTCCATCCACCGTAATGTCTCAGTCATTTTGTGCCATTTCTGACCGGATCACGGAGGGATCTCCTGTTATCGCCTACTGTTTGCTTTAGCAGACTAAATGAAAGTTCATCCGAGGGTCACTAGGCAAATCTCAAGTGAGAGCTCTGCCTCATGGCCACAGACAATAGCTCCTGTCTGAACTGCACAGGGAGCCTATTGATGAAAATTCATTTCAACTAAAAAATTAAAAATTCTACCGGATTGTTCTACAATTGTCACTGAATCCCCATAAAGTGTTTGTGTCCTGAGGTGTTGCACCCTGAGAAGTTGCCTGGAATGAAAACAGCCCGGGGCCGCTTCCTTTGTGAAGCACAGGCGTACGTTTCCTCTTGCTGACTTTATGGCCGATTCCTGACCCCAGACCGCCCGCGCTTCGCCCTCAGATTGATACAGGCCACGCCAACGGAGCTAATTAATAGGAGCAAGTATCAAATGTAACAGAATGACTCTGCTATGCTGACCATGCGGGAAGATACTGGTGTCAATGAGCAAACAGAACAAGTCGGATTCAGAGTCCCCGGGTCATTTCAATGGAACGAAAAACCAGGGCCATTTATTCTCACCGTCCGTCAGTCTGTTTCTCCCACACACACAGACACACCAGCACAGTGGAAACGTCTGGACGCGAGAAGAAGGTCAACACTTACCAATCAACAGAATGAGGAGGCTGATTTAAAGGCGCATCATCAGGTGTTAATGCCACAAATGACAGCTGCTGGTGTGTCTGTGGCTGCCTCAAAACAAATGACTGATAATTCAGAAGGACAATTTAGATTTTTGGGTAAAAGAAAAAGAAAAAGGCTTAAAAAATCTTTCCACTCCCCATTTAGTTACGCACGGTCATCCTCTTTTATTAACAAATATACAAATACCAGCACTGATAAAAGACGTGGAAGAGGAAAATATACATTAATGGGCAACTTTCCCAAATCATCATCAAAAGTAAATGTGTTTGGTTAATAATAGCATACAAATAGGCTCAAACTGATAAACACTGTCAAATATCATTCATGGTTGTATTTTGTTGAAAGTCAGTGTCAAAAGTATTTGTAGTTTGTCTCTCCGAACAGACCTGCTGAGAATAAAAGTGGTCTGGGGGATTGTGTGTGTGTGTGTGTGTGCTTTACAGTTTGAGCTTGGCCTCTCTGGCCTCCAGGGCTTTGGTGGCGACCTGGGCACGCTCTGACAGCAGCGCCGCTTGTTCAGCTGCTCCCTGCGACTGGGCATTCTTCAGAAGGAAGTGACTGATAAAAAGCTTCAAACCCTCCCGCAGCATTCCTAACTTGGGAATTCCTGAAATCCTGGTGAATGGGGAACACAGAGGGACATTGATCTTTAGGCATTCATCAATCCTGAATCATAACTAAAACCTCACAGTATAGCCGTGGACTCTTTCCCCCCCCACATTTTCTACTGCGTTTAATTAATGTAAATTTGGATGCTGGATAATAGGTTGTGTAAAATGGAAAAACAATGAAGCTCACCTCCCAAATATGCTTACTAGCTCCTCGGGCTCAGTTTCTTTTAGTAGCTTGGTCAACACTTGGCGCAAAAAGCGCACCGTGGCTTTGTCTAGTTCCCCAAACTCTATCACCTGCAAAGAAAAAGCTGGAGGTTAAAGCACAGAACATGTGGACATATATCTAAAACGTGAAAAAAGAACACTAGGGACGGCAGCGGACTTCACGCGTCACGATACTCACTTTGAGAATGGACAGGGACAAGCACTTTTTCTGAAGGAAGTGTGTAACCAGCAGGATCAGATTGCTGAAGGTGCTTTTGGAAAGGTTGGACAGATCCCTAAACTTGTCCCACAGGCTGAACTGGAACGTCATCTGAACATTTAACAGAAAAAATGTAATACACATAAAAATACTCATTTAAAGATCATTAAGAAAATAATAAATTAACATTGCAGTGAAATCTTGGTAGGTGATGAGGTAAGGGGGGAATAATAAATACAGGAACTCTAAATAACCTTTAACACAGACAGGATCTTGTGACCCATTTACTTTGTTCCACATGTGCCCACCTCAGCCTCCTTTTTTTCATATTACACAATATGACAAAGAGCACAAAAATATTGCTTAATGGAAAACAACCTTTGTTATAAGAAAACAATATATAGAATAATCTATGCAACACAGAGAGGACACAAAAAAATATTTTAAAGGTTTTTCTTTTTGGTTTCATTTCAGAAAAGCTGTGTAGGGATCAAACATCCTTTTGACATGCTAACAAATCCCCTTTCATAGTTTTTATACGTCTGATAAAATAAGAGACGATTCACTCAGAACTGGATAAAGTGTGGCCGGAAAAAATCAGGAGGAGGCACATTAAGTAATTGACTTCCCTGCAAAGACAACACACTCATCAAGGAACACTTTACATGTGAATTGCAAACATTCCCACCGGCTTCGTTTCGAGTTCTTTTATGAGAACAATGGTCAGCAGTGTCCGTTTTGAGCTGCTGGTCGATGTGACAGCAGAGTAAGAAATGTGTGTGACCCATTGTTTGTACTCACAGTTTGAGACAAATCAGAGGAGAGAGGTGTTAAAGGCTCCCACACTGCAGAGGTGAACTGCAGGCCACACACACACACGCACACACACTCAAACACACTCACACACGCTGACAGGGTGGTCACACAAATACACCAGGTAATTAAATGCTGGAACGCACCTTTCATCTATGTTTGCAGCAACTTCTCTGACACCAAAACAAATTAAAGCTCATGTAACCTATCTGAGGTGGCTTCATTCTTTCCCCCAGCGGGTGTGAGTACCTGGAAGCGGCGATCGTGGCAGCAGAATTTCTCTCCCAGCACGGCGTAAAAGGCGTTGAAGCTTTTCTCCTGCAGGCAGCAGTCCATTAGGACATGGACGATCTCTCGCTCCTGCTTGTCCTTCAACCCCATCCTTAACAGAGCAAACGGAAAGAAAAGGGCTTGAAACAGGTCAAATGTGTGAGAGAACAAGTGTACAAGTATCTTAATACAGTCTTTTTAATCCAGTCTGCTGATTTCATTAATACAAATAAGGAGTAAGGCGAAACGAACCTCAGCAGCTTCTCGTAGGCATCCAGGTAATCCTCGCTGGTTATGAGCACACAGAAGATGTTTCTCCTGACTTCTGTGTTCATCCTCTGTTTCCTGGCCAGATCTAATACCTTAGCACTGAACTGAAAACCAATTTAAAAAACAGTTAAGGATGCTGGATCATCACAGACACTGTGAGCTTTTGCATCTGATTCTTCGACAGCAATGAGGATTTAAAAAAAAAATATTATATGACTGGGACAAACATTCAAATGCTACACATGATCAGTGACGCGTCGCAGCCAAAACTGAATTTATTTTGGATCATTGGGCTGCAGCATTTTTTAATGCTGAGACACAGCTGACAGATTACAAATCTTTCCAGTTTTCATGTCATCCCTCCTTTACGGTGAATATCGTCCCCTGGCCTAAAGTCTGTGTCTGCGGCACATCTGGGTGGGTTTATGTTTCTACCTGTCCTTCAGCAGAACTCGTCTTTGTGGTTCCGTCGCCTGGTTTGCTGATCATGGGGGCGCCGCTCCACGACGAGCCAACGATCCACCAGCGGCCCACCTGCTCTGCGGCCAGGAGGTTTTCCAGAGAGACCCTCAGCTTCATGTCGCTGCCTCCAGCCACCCGGCTGACCTGTCCATCCACACACGTGGATTTTGTTTAAACTATAACAGCCATACAGAGACTCCTTTGCTGTAGTTTATCAGGAGCTCTGCTGTCAAACTTTAAGGGCAATTTTAGGAATCGGTGATGGTGCTGTGGGGCCACCTGGTGGTACTTTTGGGCAGTTGCCATGAAAATAGCAGTAATTTTTAGCAATGACATGCGAAATCCTACAAGAAACATCTGATAAATCCAATATGGTCTTCACCCACCAGAGTCCTCTGCAGCTTCTTCAGTCTTTCCACCGGCTCAGGATCGTAGCCAGGGATCTTCCGCATGTCATTGTTTTTTAAAGCCAGCATGGTTTCCAGCATGAAACGCACCTGAGGACACAAATGTTACATCTTACACATAAGATGATATAGCATCAAGAAACCAATGGGATATTTTAAAGTCGATGAAAGCTTATTTGTAATAAACTTAGTCAAATGAGGGGCAAAAAGCAGTCCTGTTTGGTGTACCCTGTTCTGGTCCTGAAACATGGAGCCCTTGTCGCCGGCCTTCCTCTGGGCTTCAGAGATGAGCTCCTTCAGAGACAGGGCATCGTCTTTTCGCAGGGTAAAGCCCACGCTCCTCAGCACAAACAGAACCAGCTCGATGTCCCTCTCTGTGAACGCTCCCACCAGAAGTTTCAGGAGGTCAAAGACGAGGACCGAGTGCACCACCTGGAAGTTGTAGAGGTGTGCGACGATGGCGATGAGGTTGTTGCACTCCTTGCTCTCACTCGGGCTCTTGTACAGCTCGTCGAACCTCCGCACAACCGTCTCCAGAAAATGAGCTCCAACCTGGGAAAAAGATGATACACGATTGCAGTTGTGTTACGTATGCCAAAAGCAAAAATACACACTTAGCTTAAAATAAACAAGCTGTTCTCAGATACACATTCCTGACAGTTTTATTAAAAACAAAATGAAGGGTTAAAGACTGTTGACTTGCCTCCAGCCCCACAACGTGATGGAGGACGCTAACCAGCAGCACGTGCTCCATCAGCAGCCGCTCAGGCATCAGGGCCGGGGTGACGCAGGCCGCGAGCATCACCTCCGTCAGACTGTCGTTCATGTCCTTCCTGCTGCAGCTCATGTACAGCTCCTCCAGCTGACCGCACACAAAGGCCATGTTGGGCTCACTTAGCCTGAAAGCATGGCATCGGTCAGCATGATTAAATATTTCAGATTTATTTAGATATTCATTTAAATGGTTTGACTGAAAATCACTGTTTTCTGCAGACGTTACATGAATGAAAATTCGTGAATTTCTAGGAATTTTAAGTTTCTCAGAAAGTTGAAATCTATTTTCTTAGGAGAATAAATATTGATTGGACCTGAATAGTAATGAAGGCATCAGGAGTGTACTTTACCTAACACAACAACAAGTCAGCAGCTTCCATTGCCTTAGATGTCAGAGCTAATCTTATTCCAAAAAACGGAACTTATTATTATGCTGGGTACTACCATGTACTGTATGACTTATTATTTTGAAGTGTCATGGCTGAAAACCTCCACTGAGGTGGGAGCCTTACCTGTTCAGCAAACCTTTCACATTCCTCTTCAGTTTTCCCAGCTCAGCTTTGCGTCTGTCATCTCCAGTGTCACGAAGCTGAGGAGGCACGTACTTCCCAGTTGTAGCGGTAGCCTAAACACCAGGAGAATAAGGTCCTGTCACTTTTCCCATCGGTAACACAGCATGCAGAATATGAACGTAATGACAATTAAATGTTTAAAAAAAAAAAAATAGAATATGAACTCACTTCTTCTGGCTTTGAGCTGGGACTGTCAGCTTCTTCCTCTGTTTCCTCTTCTATTTCATTGGAAGATTCAGCTGAATCACTCTCATTCAACTCATCATTGTCATCACCCATTTCTTCTTCCTCAGCCTCTTCCTCCTCAACATCCTCCATTTCCTCTTCCTCCTCCTCCTCCTCCTCATCATCATCATCACTGCCGTCATTTGTCATCTCACTTTCAGCATCCTCTTCCTCCCCTGACAGCGGAGAGTCGTGCTCATTTAACTTTTCAAATTTCTCTTTGGCAACATCCATGTCGTCGTCATCATCATCATCTTCATACGTTCCCATCGCTGATGAGCCAGAGTCAAGCACACCCAGAATGTAGTCAAGTCCATCAGTCACAAAGGATTGTGGAAGACTTTTTTTGTTTTTCCTCTTGTTTAATCCGAGACGTCGTTCCAGCTTCTTTATCTCCCTGTCCTCATCTTCGTTTGCCTCCAATAGTGCAATTTTTCTGGATTCTTTGAGCTTGTTAACTTTCTTGCCTTGTTTGGAGGCTGATGAACTTTTCAACTTGTCTGATTTCTCCGTGGGAGGGTGAGGAGATTTGCTCGAAAGTGTTTTGACCACTTCAGTCTTTTTCTTATCCATTTTCTTCTTCTGTGCAGGTGGCTGCTTTTCATCAATTACTGCAGAAGCCCCATCGTCACCGACCGATAGACAGATGCTCTTTTTGCCTTCGTAGTGATTCTTCATCTTGGCTTTTTTCTGTTTTCGCTTTTCTTTGCGTAGTTCCTTTCTACTTTTCTTTTTGACAAACCTCAGCCCATGGTCGTTCGCTTCCTCTGTAACACCTTTGCTTTTAATGAACTCATCAACAGACGTCATGTACTTCTGTAACACTGCATTCCCCTTCTTCTTCTTGCTGTTCTGCTTCCATTTGCCTTTCATTTTACAAATTCAAAATGTTTTAGCACGCCAGCTAAAGTGAGTTTAATAACGTTCACGTTAACTTACTTTCAGTAGGCAGAAAGGAACTGACCTTATTTTAATCACACACGTTCATTTGACAGCACAAAAAGCTAAATGGAGACGTTGTTTCCGAACATGTGGCTATTTTACCCTGGGTTGTCCGGGACTCGAGGCGCACAGTGATGACGTACTTTATTTTGGGGCGTTATTTTATTCGGCGCGCAGCCGCTTCCCTTCAATGTAAACCGTATTTCAGCCAGTCAGGACTGTTTCTGCGGAGGGGAGAGGAAGCGGCAGCTGTAAATGGAGCCACCAGCTGTAGCAGCTAGAATGTAGTAAACCCGTAGCCTTTTTGTATTTGCAATATGAAGTATGGAAGAAGACGATGTTACTATCAGAGAGCAGAATTTCCACAGCCAAGTTCGAGAGTACATCGTAAGTAACGAGGAGGCTAGCCGAGGCTAGCTGGCTAACGTCCTCTACTGCCTAGTAACGTAAACGTGAGCTAACGTTACCTTTACCTGTCAGTTTGACTTGGCAGAATTTACTAATCGAAGTGTATAGTATCAAAGCGCAGCACTATTGTAGCATTTAGTTTGTTTTAAGAAACGAACTTAGTTCATATAAAAAAACAGCCCATTAAACAGCTCAAACTGAGTTTCCGTTGACGTTAGCTGCTGCTAGCTACTTAACAGATATACTTTCTGAGATCATTTAAGCACTTGGGGACTTATAAACATACAGTCAGTTCCATAGAAATGTATTTTTCCTCGTTCAGGTGCATACCCCCCTCAGTATGGACTCATGTTATCATGGCGTTTTTAAGAGGCACTATCTGTGAATTTAATTTTCATATTTGGTTGTCATATGAAATTGCTGCAGGTCAGTACAATTTGTGGCAAGCTACCATAAAATAAAATAAAAATTGCTCAATTAACACACACACACACACAATCCACTTTGTTTTTGGAAAGTTACCCATTGTAACTTTCTAAAAAGTATTTTATTTATTTTGATTATAAGGTACAAAATTGAGAGTTGATGTGTTTGTGGAGGCTGGGACAAAGTTTGAATCACCAGTAGGCTCTTTTATGCTGTTTAGTACTACTAATTCAAAATAGTTTATTGTAATTTCATTTGATATAATAACATATTTACGCAATTGTTTGTAATGTTGCTTCTACACATTTAACAAATAGATAAGTTGCTTTGTTCCAGCTTTTCATTCGGCTTGATTGATTTGATTTAATGACACTCTTGTTTTCTGATGATTATTGGCATGAACAGATTAGCAGCTAATCACATTCTGAGTATTATTAGATACAATAGTGCACAATATGACCCGCTTCATTGAGAACATGGTTAAATTAAGTTGTTGTGTTACTCTTTTCCAAAAGAAATCAACGGGTTGTTGCATTTATACACAACACCGATTAATCTTAGTTCCCTTTTTGGTAATATTATTGTTATTAAGTAGCTGTGAATACCTAGATAATAGTTGTTTCTCATCTCTGGACATAAATTGTGTTTTTATGACATATTGATATCCCTGCTGCTTTAGGAAAAACAAATTATGCAAGTGAAACATTTTAAGGAGGGCACTTCATCTGACAAACCTGACAGACTATCATGAACTATCCGATGACTATCTGACCAGTAGAGACACATTTCACCTTTAGCTTGCACATTTTGTCCTGAGCGTCTCTACATCTGCCTCTCAGTATCCCATGTCAACATAATCCTCTCAGAGGATAGTGTAATGCCAGTGTGTAATTTAACATTATTGTATCGTGTTTTCTGGATGAGGTTTCAAGTTGGAAAACGTGATTCCCCTGCAAGATTGTATTTGTGTAATAAACATGAAGTCTGGGAAAATATTTCTTTCCTAGTGCAGCCAATCGTGCATAATTATTCAAAGGTCTTGTCTGTTTTTGCCGTGAGCACAAAAACAAGGTTATACCGAAAAATTATGTTAAGTCAGCATGAAATGTCACAAGTGTGGTGTGGTCTGCAATTACACACACTTGCTGCTTTTTTAACAAGGCCGTAACATCTTTATCTGTCTTTCACATGCTTTTCTTAACAAAAAGTTATTCTGTCAAGCAGGCCAGTTTTTGCAGTCATGATTGAATTTTAGTGACACCTTGTAAACTTTCCAGGTTTAAAAATACACCCCAGTCTATTACATCTACATGCACACCTTTAAAACCAGTACACAAACAATAAAGTGTATTTATTTGGGTGGAACATGTTGCTAAGCGAGCTTAAACCACTTGAATTTGCTCCCTCTGACCCTGTAAATGTGTATGGAAAGCCGAAAAGTTTGAAAGACAAAATTCCACACAAAAGCGTGACGCTTTTCTTTCATATTGAGTTCATATAACATAAACATGTGACATACTGTTACTAAAATTGGTCTTGCAGTGTGTATGGCTGTGAAGTTGGCTGGTGTGTCTGAAACTTTGCTGTTATCACCTTGGGGACTGTCGTCTTTCTGTGTGTGCCGGTTTATCAGCCCTGTGCACCTTCTGTGTTACTCTGGGTCTGGCTCATAGTGGACATCATTTGGCTTCAGCCAGTGTCCGCGCAGGGCCTTTCATTTAGATGGGGACTGTATATAATACAAAAACAGCTATTTTGTGGCTGATGGATAACACTTTATATTGATCATTTCTGTCTATGTCAGTGGGTCTGAACATATAGAGCCTGCATGACTCATCTGTTAATCGCAGCTCCACCACTGTGATTTGTGTAGTGTTGACAGGGTGCAAAGTGCTGATATGGGAGCTTCTAACATTAGTTACATCGCTGTGACTGTCCCAGTGGAAAAGGGGTATTTAGAATATGATATTTCTGTAAGGATATCCAGCTTGTTTTGAGTCTGTGAATACCCAATTAGTGTGATCAGACATGGGACAACAACAATGCCTTTCTCATTTTTCACAGTTGAGAATATCTATCACTGCATTCCGAATTATAAAAGACAAAAAAATCATTGAAAGATTTGGAGTTTATACATCTTGTTTGAACCCAAATATCTTACGATCTCCCCCAGGGGAGGTTATTTTGGCTGTCGTTTTATTCGGTAAGAGACCAGGCTTGTTGAGGCGGACTTGTAGAGTAAACATACTTCACAACAGGCCTCTGGCATGTATGACTGTTTGTGTTGTTAGTTGTCTGGTGTTAATCTTCTGTTGTATGTGACACTGATTCACACCTATATTTGCTATTTGCTCATTTAATGATTGTGCAGTGGGAGCAAAACCTTGAACATACAACATATCCTGTTCACCTGTAAGGCAAACCTCAAAATTAGCATAAGTGCTGTTCAGTCTTATAACTACTGCATTGCATTCTTCTCTCCCAATAAATCCCATAACGTTTTGTGTATTTTTGTTGTTCTTTCAGATTTGTTTCCTCCTGTTTGCTGTCCTTTACATTGTGTCGTACTGCATCATAAACAGATACAAGAGGAAGACTGGTGAGTGTTTCGTAAAACACGATCTCCTGCCACAGGAGGGCACATCACACCCTTATTGCATACTTGGACTTGTCCTAAAAGATCTGTTACACTTGCACAGCAGAATAATGTAGGCAGTGGAACAACTTCTTAGTTGTCATATCGGATTCTTGGTTATCTCCATTTAAGCTGTGATTGCTCACAGACACAGCGCTTCAGTGTGTTTGGATTGAAAGGAAGTCATGCCCAGAAAGGCTTAGAGTGTATGTGTGACAGGCCAAAGCTATGCATGTAAGGGAATTTGCCACAGTAAGCTCTGTATCTGTATGAACTGTCTCCACCCTTAATTGCTTTTGGGGCTGGTAGCATGACTACAATTGGTCACAGCAAAACTATGCAGTTAATGCTGAAAAAGCCTTTCCTGTGACAAACGACGATGAGTCAAGCTAAGTCTGAACATTCACAAGATCTGTTCGAGCTTTTCTTCCTTTGTTGAGTTTGTTCACTCTTGGATCAGAGGTAACGTCTTTGTTTTTGTTGGTTGATCTGAGCTGAGCACCTTTTCTGTATGCTATTGTTTTTGTTCCTGAGACGTTTTACAGTAAAACCAGAAAGATTAAGCTACCAAATAGTTCTTATGGCTCGTATTTATCTGTTTCAAATGGAATGAAATGACAAATGTGTCAGTTTTCTTTACCCTGAAAACCCCAAAGGTGTTTAAAGGGTCTTTTCAAATTGGGCATATATTTTTTTATCTTCTCTAAAGGGCACTTTTTACTTTAATGTGTTAAACAAGCAGGTCCTCTTGAGAGCACACTCTCTTTTTAAAAGGACCAATATAGTATGTTCAGGTCACCTATCTCAGATTGAAAGTAGAGTAAAGTTCCCACTGAAGATTTGGACAAACTAGGCTCTTCTTTTCACACCAAGATTTATGCTTAGTGCAAAATCATCATAACATCTAATGTGTCCCATGTGTTTTTATACAAACCTTTTTGTTGTCATTTTAAACAAGTCACAAAAAACAGATTCAAACTACTTGAATTTGGACACATTGGCAGCTGATATTTGCCAACGCAGAAACGATGAAATAAAGATGCAGTGATGTACAGTTTTCCCATGAAAACATCCACATGTGCCAACCTTCTTGGCCCGGTATTGGATCATGTTGGTAGTAATTGGGTTTAGAAATGATTGATGTATGACTCGCATAAAGGACACTACGTAATAAAAAAGCTAAATATTGAGTCATTTTTTGTTGTGATATATGGAATTGTTTACACAATATCTGCTTCCTACTGCGTTCCTTTCAGACGACCATGAGGATGAAGATGCTGTCGTCAACAGGATATCGTGAGTGAAGCTGATTCTTAAGCTATACAAACAGCTTTAAAGTTATTTTGTTGACATTGCACTGCAGTTATAAACAAATGAACACAGTTTGTTATGATCAAAGAATATAATAAATCACAAATTAATTAGATTAAATAACAAGCTAGGCAGCTTAACAGAGAATACTTTTGAAACTAAAAGCATTTTTAGATGCTCTGATTTCAGATACCTTCTTTGGAGTTAAGGAATTTGGATGAATTATCCCACAAATTTCTAATCTACTGTAGTTTACTAATAGGTTCATGCAGAAAGTTGTCAGAAAGCTGAAAAAGAAAGGGACAGTGCTATTACTAATGGCTATTAAACAGCTGAAAAGGAGAACACTGTGCGACTGGCTTGGGAGTTAAACACTCCAGATGACCGCTCCAGGCAGCAAAAGTTGCTGCACAATAACTAAAACAGTTTGAAGCTAACAGGTTTTTTCTTCTGCGATGTGGTGACTCTTTGGCTGCCCTTTGAGCAGATGGTGAATCCTCTGCACATCCTCTGAATGTCAATAAGCTGCAGGCCCTCAGCCAGTCTGCCTTCAGATCTGTTCTGGGACCATAGTAAAGCTGGAGCAGAAGGAGCATTTTAAACATTACAGCAATATACAGTGTGTTGTGATGAAAATGGCTTCTCACATTAGTGTGTTTTGTCACTCTGTTGTCTCATTAAGATTTAGCATGTATTTGTTTTTTGTTATTTTTTGCTTTCTTTTTACGCTTTACAATTCAGTTTTTGTTTGATTTTACTTGCAGGATGTATTTGTGCACCTTCACCCTGTCCGTGTCGGGCGGGGCAGTCTTCCTGCTGCCGTTCTCAATCATTAGCAATGAGATCCTCCTCTCATTTCCCAGAAACTACTACATTCAGTGGCTCAACGGCTCCCTCATTCATGGTCAGTAGTTCAGCGTTCATTAATCTATTTTGAAAAATGTCTGATGCACTCTGAGTAAAGACTAATAAATATATCTGACATATGGTAAATAACCTAAATTCAAACTGTTGAAATCAACTGTCTACAGATGTTCTTCTCGAGATGTTCTGGATATTGTTTTTAAAATGTAATTAACCAGATGGAAAAACTGTCTCACCCCATTCATGGAAGATGTGCTTTTTTACAGCACTGTGAGAAATGTAAAAATACATCCAATCCATGACACCTATATTAATAGTCAGAAAGGCAAAGCTTTGATTGTCTGTCTATCAATGTTGTTTCAGAAGACACCTCAGGAGTAACTTCTGTCTCCCCCTTCTGGCTGTTTGTATACAAACACTGTTCACGTGTTTGATCGTGAAAACTTAAGTTAAAGGCACACCAGCAGTTTGCTGCCTGTGTTTCTTGTTCACTTATATTTTTAATTAAAAAAAAGAATTGCCCTACAGCTATTTCTAAACACTTCCAAAAATGCTGTTGGGTAAACTTAGTGTCCCCGTTTGTAGCTCAAGTCTGTTGAGCTCTAGGCTGTGGTTGCTCCTCGTTCCATCTCTGGCAAATGTGTAAAACTGAGTGGATGTCATGATTCGCACTCTTGGAAGGTCTTGAATGTAACGGGCATGAATATGTGATTGAGTCGTGATCAAAGAATGAGACAGTGTACAACCCGAAGGATTTATATAATGAATTATTGGAACTGCAAAATATTTCCTGTTTTATTACAAAATATTGATATGTTTACATTGTTATTGTTTATCTCTGTTATAAAATCAGTGGGGCTTAAAAATTAGATATTTTAATAGATATATAATATATTAGAAATACAATATTATAGCCCTAATAAAACAAGCTCATTTGTGTCTTTAAAGACAAAAAAATCAGACCATCTGAGGAAATAAATCTAAGCTGTTTCCCCTGTATTGACACCACAAATTTCAAACATGAACTTATTCTTTGTTTGCTGATGTTCAAACCCCCCAATACAGAGTTATAAACCACCTTTATTGAGGCTATTGGATGTCTGAACATCCACCAGGTGGCAGCAGAGTCCACGACATTAAAAAGTGGCGGGAGATAACCTCACTACAGCTTTATAAGAAACTTTAGAAATCAGTAAAATGAAGGTCAAGTTGTCACTTTAAAATGTAAATGGATAATTTATGCATGAGACTGTTTGCAGGTCCTGACATGTTTTTTTCCTACAGGTTTATGGAACCTGGTGTCACTATTCTCCAACCTCTGCCTCTTTGTCCTGATGCCGTTTGCCTATTTCTTTTTGGAGTCTGAGGGATTTGCAGGATCGAAAAAGGTACAAATCATAGATTTAATTGATTTAAGGAAATCTGCATGCCAACCAGTGCTGTTCATGAACAACCCTACAAAACCCTGAAAACACGATCGAAGCTCTTGAAGTTGTTACATTGTGTTGTTACACACTTGTATGGATACATTTTGATAAATGGGATTTAAAAAAAAAAGTTTTTTGATCGGAATGAGGCTGAAAGTTTCCAACCAGAGCAGCAGCAGGTGCTTAGTTTTGCCCTCTCCTTGACTCACGCCACGGACTGTAACTGCCACCGCAGAAAGCTCATTAACCATGAAAGTCTGAATCTGGTCTTCGCTCAGTGCCACATCCTGACAACCCCTTTCAATAAGGCCGTAGGCTGCAAACGCTTCAACACTGCTGCATCGGCCTCCCTGATTTAAAGCCTGATTCCTTGTCACCCGCTCCCCAGCCCCCTAAAATAAAACTTCAAAAGCACAGGCTAATAATCGAGTTGTAAGGCTCAGCGAACTTCCTCGTTTAATTGATTACCCCCCAAAAAAAACGGAGGCTGGGGGCTCGTGTTGCAAAAGTCCATAAAGTCGCAGCAACATGACGGGACAATAGAGCCTTGCAAAATGGAGGGGGAAAGATTTACTTTTAATACACCTCTATCCCGTGTCACAGTTTGAAACCTCTCTGGTTTATGTCCCTCCTGGCAAAAGCACATAAAAATTAGTCTGTACTGTAGTATATGGCCAGTTTCTTTTCTTCCTCAGTCCTCTAATTTGTTTCGCTTGGATTTCTTCTGTAGAGGGCAGGCCCTGATGTGTAGGAAGCAGGATGAGGGCCTCTTTCACATTTATCCTTTTTGTTCTTTTTCATTACAGCAAGACTGTTTCTTGCTACGTTGCTTCCATAAATTTGCTGAGAGGAAGCACTGTTCAGTGTTTAGCTGCACTCCAAGCTATATATTGTGTATGTGTGCTAAATAATGGAGAGAAGGCGGGGGTGACAATCCTGCTTCGTCCGAAGAAAAAACAGCCGAAAACTCAACTGCATGTAGAGGGGAACAATGTGGCACACAGCAAGAGGAAATAAAACCGAGACCTGAGATTTTTTATAATGCGACGTTATCCCTTTATCCAATAACAGCATTAGACCACAATGTCATAACGTTTTATGTGGCATTTTAACCTCCTGAGCTAATGCTGTGACACTGTGAGCTCCTTTTGACTGCGGAAATGAAGTAAATGATGAATTTCACTTCTAACGTTGTTAGTCAGCCTTTTCATGTGGCTATGTTTACGTTTGACGATGTACTAAAAGACGCCAACAGAATAAGGATGGAAATGTGGATGTTTTTTTTATTTAATGTTCAACTCTTTAGAGGCTCTGTCACCTGAGTGATTAATAGTTAAACAAATTGTCCAAATTGTGGATGAATCAGAGGGACTTAGGGTCTTGATGTCGGAAGTTATGATCTCTCTTTATTTGCTGCTGTAAAATGTCTCCCACTTTATGGGTGCAGAAAAGCCGCATCACTGAGGCTGCCAGAGGTCGCGGTTGTGTGTTATGAGGGTCTGATCATATTTAGAAACGACTATACTGTGATGTAGTTTGCCACTGTGTGTTGCATATGAAAGATATTCTCAAGCCAGCATTTATCTTTTTTAGATGTTTTTAAGTCTTTAATAGGTTTTTAAGACCAGTTCCAGTCATTTCCAGGCTGCCAGTAGATGGCATGGTGATCAGCAGCTGGGTCAGCCTGATGAAGATGACATGCGTGTTTTTGTTCAGTTTGTTTTTTAATGGCATTTAATCATGTGTGTGAGATAAATTGAATCTTTGGTCAGTCAGACCAGCTGGATGAAGTTGAAAAGAAAAACAGGGCCTTGTTTAAAATTTTACACTCTCCATCCCAATGAATGCTTTTAAAGTGGGAAAGCTTCCAGTTATAGTGGTTCTGATGTAAGGATAAAATTTTGTTCAAGGATACAATTTAAACTGTGGAAAACATACTTCTCAGTGAATAGTCTTTTGCTCCTACCCAGTATTGAAATGTGTTTGATCCTGAAACGAGTTGGAACGAGTCTGACCCCATGACTGACCCAGCAAAGGGCCAACAGGTTTCATCTGGTAGTTAAAGAAACTCCTCATCAATCTCATCCTAAGCCCTAACCCGCCGATGATGAGAAGTGTGTTTATTGTGGAGGAGGAGGAGTGGAGGGAAGAGAAAACGTCTCGCCGGGCAAACCCGTTTGGTGTTACTAAGATACTCCTCTTTGTTGAAGCTCCACAATAGAGGCCTGGATATTTATTTCAAATCTCCTGCACATGCAGACATTTTTCCCAGGCCTTCTCTTTGGCAGGGCCAGCCAGAGAATATAAAGTGGTGTTTACATACCTTCCTTTAAGGTCACAGTGTCTCCCTAAAGCTGCCTGTTACAATGTTCGTTACCACAGCAACATATTAGCTTGAGCGAGGAATTTCTAAAAGAACAAGCAAGATTTTCCCGTCCTCTCATGACTCAGTTTTTTCGAAACGAAGTGAAAAGTAGTGAACCCTAACTGGTTCTGTACCGGATTTGCAGCCAGCTTTGCTTAGAATAAGATATCATTTGCAAGGAGTGGACAACACCCTTTCTTTCACAAGACTAGAACCCAGCTAGAATAGATGAAGAACATCATTGGACAGCTATGTGAACTCGGTCATTACCTGTTGTTTGGAAAAATAAAGGCAACAGGAAGCTGGGTTGCGTTTATTTATTATCTGAAGGCTCAGATTGGCTGCCTGCTTACATCATAAGCCGATGTCACTGCACGACAACAAATGAGACTTTGCAAACACCAGAAAGGACTGAAGCTAGCTTCTGCATATGAACAGTGTTGTGTTCTAACTTGGGGTTAGAAAGCTTGGGATGAATACCATTCATTTGCCGTGCATGTCATTGAGGCTTTATTAAGAAGTCTAAAGAGTCTTTAGAAGTTCACTGCACAGCTTTACAGGGCACTGTCCCTCCTTTCTGCTTTCTGTCTTTGACACGGTCATTGCATTGCGGCTGACTGGTTGAAGGATACGTTAATAAGGTCCCTGAGCATCTGGCATGTCTTTAGCAAAGAGAGCAGTCTTTTGCTAAGGAGTGAGAAAGGCCCTGCCCCCTTCCTCACTTATTACACTCTTGGCCCTTGCTGCACGCTTCCCTGACAGTCAGCAGAGGGATGGTGCACGGGATGATCTCTGCCACCACCTGCTGACCCGCTAAGGATAGATGATAGCAGCCATGAGGCTTCTGTGCAACCCTCTGTAATTTAAGTTTTTCTTTGCAAGTATAATTCTCACAGTTTTTTTTGCTTTCAGCTTCCAGAGGGTTATTGTCCGAAACACGATAGAAAAAAGATGTGGCAGATGCGGCGCTTCGTTTTGTTTGCAGCACAGGTTGAAAGAAAGCCTGAAAAAACACTTTATAGTCCCACTCCACGTAACTGGTTGGGTGTGGAGGTGGACTCGTACACCAGCTCGTACATGTATGTTCCCTGCTGCCCGTGTAAAGCCGTTTAAACTCTGGCCCTTTCACATTTCTTGGAAATCTCTCCTGTTACACGTGCAAATCTGCAGCCCACTGGATGCCGGTGTGAGGATCAGGGGGTGCTGAATATTTTAGAGCTACTATATTTAGAGGTAGTTACACATTTAGAATGGCAAGAATAGAAACTTTCAGCGGGCACTCTGGATGCCAAGGCACAGAGCTTTTTTTTCTGTCTTTCTTTCCTTTTTTGTTTCCTGTCATTGTTTAATCACTGACAGTGACTCATTTGGACTTTTGTTTATATATATATATATATATACATACATACATATGAGATAGAGAAATAAATAGACAGAAATATAAAGATTCTATTTCTATATCGTATCTCTATTCTGACCTCTTGTGATCAGGAACAAAAGCCCAAGAATAATTAGTGCTACCAATCCTATAAATGTGTAACATTTTGGATGTGGATGACAACCCAAATGAGGATCTCAGTTCAGTGCCCTCTGTCTTTTGTTTAGCCAAATCATCTCACAGAAGAACCAGAGATGATTGTAAAGGAGGTGATCTGAACTGAATGCCTTAAATGATCTGAATGTGGAATGATTTGAGTCTTATAAATGATTGAGAAGCCTATCTAAAGGGAATATACCTTCAGCATGGCATGGGCAGCTTGTTAAGGTGGACTGGTGTGCTTGAGTGGACACTTCCTGCTTGTCAGTTCTGCTTTTTCTGATGCATCCTTAAGAGAGCACGGGTGGGACGCAGCTGAAGTCCCTGAAAGCATTCTTCTCTCACCTCCTTCACCTCTGGGAATGAGGTTTGCTCAGACGTCGACTCCTCTCCTCCTCCACTCTCCTTCCGTTTTTCCTCTCTTTACTTCTCTCTTTCATCTCCCCCCATCTCACTTTAAAAAGAAAAAAAAATCAGCGATATTGAGTGTTTCCACCTTGCACACTTTGAACATTGCTGCAAGATTGTAGCCTCCATCTGATGTGCTTAGCGTGCAGACTGACATGAGGCAAAATCCATCATTCTCAGATTTGTGCTTGTATGAGAATCTGCAGCGTTGAATTCATTGTATGACATAACGGCAAACTTTCAAACAAGTTTTTTTTATCATGGTTATAACTGTAATGACCATTAATATGTATTTATTTATTCCCAATACTTACCCAGAGGAAAGCTCCCTCTAACATTACTTATCAGGTGGATGCAGTGTCCACGATTACCACATCGGGGCACTCTAAACCCTGCTGGTTTCCCTCTTTTTTTGTGCTAGAAAATTCTGCACTGACTGTGGCTTTTCCAGAATAACCCTGTTAGAGGAGGTGAGAGGCATGTAATTGCCTAATAATAGTAAATGGGCAGTATAAAGGATTTTGACTAGTGTGAATAAGCCAAAATGTTTATATTCTTCTACTGCGAACAGATGATTTGAATGAATCAAATATGTGATGCTTGTAAAACAGTGCTCTGTGAAGGGGGCTAAAAAAGTTGTTAGCGACGAGGTCTTTAACAGTGACACAACTTGAAATGCATAAGCCGGAGGAGGACAGGTGTTTTGGAATAGAGCTGGAAAAAAAATCAAAACCGTTTCCACACTAAAATGGCTTCATTACTAACTGGAGCAACATTCAAAGAAGGACCCCTCCATGTAGTTGTTGGCAAATACTGAGCAAAAACCACACAGCCATTATGTTAGCTGGTAACAAATTACTCACATGTACCCAATTTAAACAACGCTCAAAAGGCAGAGAAGCCTTGTTATATCATGCCAGGCTGCATACCTGACGTGTGTGTGACAGCGCCTATCTATCTTACAGTAACGGACAGCTTGGGTCTCCACCATGGGGAGGGAGGTTATGAAAACTGTGTGAACAGGTAGAGAAGGACTTTATTAACCACTCAGCAGTTTGTGACCCGGAAAACCCAAATTACCCCAAAAGCCTCTCGTCTGCAAGGCCTGGGACATGATCACGGTGCAAAGGGGAGCTCCTAATCGGCCCCAGATGGGAGGTCTGCTCATGATCGTAGACAGTGGCTGACCCAGCCAGGCTTCATGCTCCTTACACCCCACCCCCACACCAGCCACCCTCGTCTTTTTAATTTCGCCTCTGCCGCTGCCAGCCTCTGTTAGATCCATTTTATAGACCGCAATATGTGTGTATAAGAGCTGTTTTACTCACAAATCCATGGGAGCCTTTATGTCATGTTTGTGTACTGGGTGGAAATGATGGTGTTTTATAGAAGTCAGGCGAGATGAGAGAGGAGGGCAGTTTCTAGCAAAAACAATTTTATTTCCTGTTTAAGGTTTGGGTCATAAATGCCGGAAATTTATACTTAATACTAGCTAACATTTTACCGTGAGTCAAGCCTGTTGGAAGTACTTTATTTTTCTTCTTCTTCTTCTTCTTTTTTTAAATTTCTGACCTATAGTTGATTGAATTTGAAATAGATTCCAAGATTGATTTAGTTTACCTCCAGCACTTTTAATACTTTGCTCACAGATTTGAAGACAAAAAAGCAAATGAATAGAGACCGATTAAGTTAAACAAATAAACACGGGTGATGCTTTATCTCTAACCTTTACAGCAGAATCACTCTGATGCCAGTAATAAAGTTTATCAGTCCAACAAGTCAATGTATGTTTGATTTTTCTTCACTATTCAGCTTTAGTTTTAATTTTCAGATTGTTCTACCCTTTAACTGTTAAGCTTCACACATTTAGTCAATTAACACACATTTGTTTTCACCGCGGTGCCTGTTTTAATTATGAAATGATCAATAAGAACCAGATCACCACTGCTAATGCCTCAGACATGTCATAATCTCAATTGTTTTTTCAAAGGAGATTGAGTGCTGTAACGTGAATATCTAACACTTTTCTGTCTGATGTTTTTACTTGTCTTCATCAGGGCATTAGGGCTCGTATTTTGGAGACTTTTGTGATGCTCTTCCTGCTAGCCTTGCTCATTCTGGGTATCGTGTGGGTGGCGTCAGCCCTAATCGACAATGATGCAGCCAGTATGGAGTCTCTCTATGGTATGTAACTTAAAAGATTTAATTTGATTTGTAATCACGAACATCTTTTATTTTCAGAGGAATAGTTTCAAACTTTGACAAATCTAAGTGGGTCTTTTAGTAGTCTTAAGGTCAGAGATGTGTCTCTTCTGTTTCTGTTATAACTGTGAGACTTCAGCTGTGAGAGAACATGCAGTTTTGCATAACTGGATGAAAGCTAAAGTTAATAAATAAACACACTGGCCATTATTAATCAGACCATCTACAGAATGTGAAAAATGAACTGCCTCAGTTGAACAAACTAAAAGGATCTCTTTCTGTTCTTCCCGTAGATCTTTGGGAATTCTATCTGCCATACCTGTATTCCTGTATATCTCTGATGGGAGGCCTGCTTTTACTGAGTAAGACGGTTGATTAAATTAATACATACTGTGGCCAATGGAAATTCACATTAGCTGTGGTGCACTGCCATGATGCTGTTTTCTATATGCAGTGTGCACACCTGTTGGATTATCCAGGATGTTCACTGTCATGGGCCAGCTACTCGTGAAGCCAACAGTAAGTGTTTGTTGTTTGTTATTATCTTTGATAATAGCATGCATTCACCACGGCATCATTTTGATAAGCTCATGCAGAGTCACAGTGCTGCTGAATGCCTTTTCCAGCACATCCTAAACATTCTAAATGGGGTTAAGGTCTGGACTGGATGGCGGCCTATCCATGTGTGAAAATTATGAGTCATGCTTCCTGAATCCTGGCATTGTCAACTTGGAATATGTCCAATCTATAAGGAAAGACAAAAATCTGTTGATGGAAAAACCTAGTAGATGTGTTGTCAGATAGTCATCTGACCTCATATTTACCCTGACCAACTACAACAAGCCCATATTATTCGCTTAGTTACAGTCAAGTTCTTTAAACTGTTAAGTTTTATCTGGATTGAGCCAGGTTTTTCTCATTTGTTTATTTATTTTCTGACAGTGTTGGCTGCAAGCTTAAACCCCAAAGTATTACTATCAGATCTATGACACTGTGCCCCTCTGGTCTGAAAGTGGTCTCAGTTTGTCATTTAAATGCATGACAGAAGACCACAAATACATCACCAACTCATCCTTCCATCTGCTATCACTCCAGTCCCACTTTGGGCCTAATTATAACCCATTTCATCTTTTCCTACCCTGCTCCCTCCCCTTTAGATCCTAGAGGACCTGGATGAGCAGATTTACTGCATCCATTTGCAGGAGGAAGCTCTTCAGAGGAGATTAAACGGTATGTCTGTGGGAGACGTGTTGGCACATTACAGGCAAGGGTAAGGCTTGACAGCACTATTGGGTGTGATAAAGCAGGCCACACTGGAATCAATTAGCATTGAAAATTCAGCTTGGCACACGCAGACAAAGGCATTCACAAAAAATTCACTCACACTTGAAACCAGCGTGTCCAAACACTGTCTCACTGTTATAACTTTCTGGTAAAGGTCATAGCAATCACCATGGCGCAGACCATATATTAGGTTTAGGGAGTCTTTCCTAAGGATCCATTTAAGACACTTCAGAGCCACTGTCACTGCTGGTGAAATGATTGCTTCATTTAAAGTCAAGCCCAGAATGGTGGGCTGGTTGAAAGCATGGAAATGAAATCTTTCAAGGAACTTGTGGCTTTCTGCTGCGGACATTAAAGCACCACTTTTCACAGCACAAGGGTGCCGTACACAAAGGGGGGAGTTTAAAGAGTTAAAGGATGGCGAAAATGTTTTTTTTGTTTTTTTTCCACCTGCATTTCCGCCTCATGTGCAGCCTTCTGTTTTCCCTAAAATCCTTGTTTGACGTTGAATTATTTCAAAAAGCAGGAAGTCAGTATCCTAAACCTACTTTAATATTAACTCAAGCACGCAACCAAGTGTAAAGATGTGAGTAAATGCAGAGGACGAACGTCCTTTCAAACCAGGAAGGTAAGGGAGATCACTGTCTGATAGCACATGTTTTTGAATGCTACGCCTGCCTCCTCCATAGACTGCCACCAATGCGTACGGTTTCTTAGGGCTCATTCCACACTGCCTTTCTTTGAACTGTTTGATGGAATAATTGTAATCAGTTCCTTATCGTGTCCGGGACTGTTTGATCTTTACAAGTCACTGTGAGCAAGAAAATAACAGTGGTCAACACACGTCTGTGTATGGACTGAGGGCCAGGCTGCCCGTGACAGAGGTGGGAATTTAAGGTGAGGGAGGATTTTGTTCAGAGGAATTTAAACCCTCGCTTATCGGACAAAACTTTTTCTATGCACACACGGCGTGCTAAGCACATGCAAATACTTTCTCATGCTCGTATTTAGGTGAAACTGAAGCTCAGGCGGTGTTCCTCTGATCTGAGAACAGTAAGTAGAAAACGGTTCAGGAACAGTTCACTGGACACACTCCAGGGACAAACAATGTTGTCTTCTTGCTTCACCTCTCTGCATCAAGCCTTTCTAACAGATTATCCTCTCACTGAGTTTGTGCTCTGTTGATGTGGACTGTTGATGTGCTGTTTATTTACTTGTCGGGCTCCTTTGTTGTCCTCCTTTACATGCCGTTTTCCTATTGCGAAGGAATGCTGGGAGTTTAAGTCATAGGAATCTGTTCATTGTGGTTTTCACTGCCTTATTAGCCATGCATGTTTGCTTCATTTGATGAGAAATATTTAGAGGCATGTCGTTTTAGAATTTTTACGTAAGCTGCAAACTTTGTTTTCCAAGAATTTTTAGCTTTCAAGTGGAAAATTACTATCCAATAAATTGGCTAATTATTCAGATTTTACGCATTTTACAAATATTTACCAAAATGACTTTTGTTAATTTTTTTTTTAATCTGCCACTAAATGACGGTAGACAAGCAGTTCATGCTTTTATGACCACTCTTTTACTCTTTATATTAATTTTTATTACCTTAAGACTAACACCGTGGGCATAAAAGCGTGAGCTTGCACGTGAAAATTATGGGTTGAAAATGGGACACCATGAGAAGATTTTGGGCGTGCGGCTTGTTTGTGTATTTGGTTTCTGACAAATTTTCCAGAAAATTGCGCCTAAGATCTCTTTGCATGCAGGATGTACCTCCCCCAACACAACATCAACAGTATGGCTTTAGAGTTAATAGCTTGTTGAAAAGAACAATTACAGCACGAGTGAAGTGACGCAAGTTTTACAGCTCATGCATGTCCACAGTTTAAACTTCCACATCGCCACCGTTTGGACGTGCAGATTTCTGGCTTCCGCTGCTCATACAAATAAGCAACACGACCGGACTTTTTTCAGGGCGACTATTTTCCTACTATACACTTACGCTACATCCTGTGTACATCCATCCTGTTGCCTTCAAAGCTCGCTATAACTGGGTTGTAACAAATAGCCTTTATGCTAAATGCTCACATCAAAGTCTTATTTTTTGTCTTAATTGTTTGAATATATGTTCACAGGAACTGTTTCAAATTTTCGAGAAACTTAAGCTTTATTGGTCTGATATTGCATATCCGTTTTTGAACCAACCCAAACCTTATTGGAGAAAAAAGAGACATTTATCTTTTACTGTGTCATCACGTCAAATGTAGTTACAGTTGTTTCGTTTTAGTTAGCCCTTCCAGGCCCCCTGACACTGTTGAGTTTTAATCTGTGTTGTGTTGGTGAATAATTGTTGGATGGCTTCAGCAATGTGACAGACACAGACACTTTAATTCTTCATAGACTTAAGTGTTTTTTTTGTTGTTTTTTTTAAAGGTTTATTTTTGGATGATTTTTTAACGTTTGATCTTGTCGTGGAGGTATATAAATATACAAGATGCTGCAGTACAGGCGGCGTGATGCACACAGTGGCTCACTCTGCCTCCATCAAAACCTCGATCTGCTGAAATCACAGCGCTTGTCCAGATGCTATGCGGCACAATGACCTTGCCAGTGCCTCTGTTGTCTCAGCATGGTGTTTAGCATATTTGTGGATGACGTAATTTTTTCACTTGGAGAGGATATGTTGGATTACTCTGAGCCCTCCTGGTTGCCAGAAACCTCACTCAGCATCTCTGCCTCGCTGTAACTCAGTCTTTTACTTGACGGTGCCAGCAGAGGGAGGAGAAGGATATATGTAACTTCAGTATGGAATGATGTCATTGAAGATTGTGGAGCTGAAGTTCTCATCGTCTCCTTTTACTGTCTGAACCAGTGACCTCGTCGTTTAAGAAAAAATACGTTTTTGTGACTTTCAACAGCCTATTTTTTGTCTCAGCAAAAATTAATCTCTCCTGGTGTCATGTGATGCCAAGTTTGGATATACTTTGCAAATTGGTGATGAATTAGTCAACTTGTAGCTTTGCAGATCCATCGACCCTTAGGCACCGTGTTGAGTTTGTATTTGAAGAAAAAGAGCGATTGAACTCTTCATGACATTTCCTGTTGTGTTCCGACTGTATTTGCTTTGAGGATTCAAACTTTCCCTAGTTCAGATCCTGGGACCAGCATCTGCCAGGGCTTAAATGCCGACTGTTAAGTCACTCCCTGTCTATCTCACCTTTTTAACCTACTTAACCCCATCCAGACAGGGTGTGTCATAATAACGGCGGGAAGAAAAAAGGTCTGATCAAAGTTATTGGTCCTTCACTCCTGTGACAAACATGAAAGATGGTATTTTTATTGCATGCTAGTAACGATGTAACGCTGAACTAATTGGTCCTGATCTGCCAATCACCCTAGGGGATGCAAATGGATACTCTTCTACTATGGCTTGAAGGAGCTGGTATGCTGGTGTGTCGAGCTGGAAGGAAAACAGAGTAGAATAGATAAATTAGCCTTAAATGAGCTTGCCTTGTGGTTTTCCTGGAGAATCCCTTGCCGTCTTATCCAGCCCACTCAACCAGTTGTGGCATGTGCTAGACAGTTCCTGACACAAGAGATTATTTTTACCTGTTGGAAATCACATGTTGTGTATCGAGCAGAATTGCTTGTTTTGAGGGATTTCTTCATAAAGATGAGTTAAATGTCACATGCAGAGGTAAGGCAAAATAGAAAAGTTCAACATCTTTAGTTCAGGGGGAATCATGTACTATTTTTCCTTTAATCTTAATGAGAGTTTCTTAAGTTTGGTGTTAACATTTTATCTAAAAAGTACAGTATTTGATGTTATTGAAAGATTTATCTGTTTCTGTTTTTGGATTCTACTTTGGGCTAAACAAAGACACAGAACTTTTATTGTCAGACTAAAAGTGGTGGTATATGTTTTTGCTGAAGTCCTACACAACTTATGAAAAGCCATCCCATTTAATTCAATTTTGTTTCCACAGGATCATCCTCACACAGTTACATCCGAGGAGGCTTTACCAACCAACTCAATAAAGAATTGGACAATATTAGAAATCAGAGGAATAAATTGGGTAAGTGTTTGTGTTTTATGACATGGTTGATGTATTCTGTTTTAAGACCTTGAATTACCTTGGAAATATATGCCAAAGACGTAAGCTTTTTACATATTGCTGACAAGCAGCCGCTCCCTCTTCATCTGCCTTAATTTCTAAATTTGGACTTAGATCAAAACTGCCTGATAATTTTCCATCCATTTTAGGATATTATAAATGAGGCCTGAGCCTTTTGGGGAACAGGGTGGGAGGAGGAGAGCACAAAGGCACTTAGGATATTGGACAAGATGCAAACTTTATATTGTTGCAGACCTTTTAGTGATGTCATTAATTTAGAAGGATGGTGCATATAAAGTGCACTTGGCAAACTTCTCGGGCAAGCGGACTGGATACACTTTCACAAAACAGAGGACTAACAAGGTTGGAAATGCAGAAAGAAAGTCAATATGGCAGAGAGTAGAGGGCAGTCACATACACAATGTAAGAGAACAGTGGATGTCTAAAAGACATAGTGGATGTGGTTTACAAGCTGTCAGCCTTGTCTACAAACATGACTGATCAGCTGTTGAAATATGAGGTGGATATAAAATTGAAATGTTTCATCTGGCTTGGAGGAAAGAGTCACATTAGTTGGCTACCACATGCATACATATTCCAACCAAAGTATAAATCACTAGATTAATTTTGTTGCATTTCTTTTCATCTATGATTTATCACTGTTTCCACTAATTAAGGCGATGAGTGTGGCTAATTAAAGAGGAAGAGCATCATTTTTGAAGGTTATGAAATTTATATTACCTGGAGGTGGGATGGCTGCACTGAGTGGGGAGTTCTGTTCAGGACACACACACAATACATTTTAGAAAAACAAGCAGTACAAACCCTGTAAACAAACCAGAGGGCTTGTGGTCATGGCTGCTGTCTTTGATGAACGTATTTATTAACTGCTGATGGAACATAGCTTGCAACAGACTGAAGTTCATTTATTAAATGCTGTCACAAAAAAGTTATTTTTAATTTTTTTTTTTTTACATATTGGCTTTAAAACTTATACTGTGCTGTACTTGTAGAGAGAAGAAAAAAAGCATCAGGATGGGAGAAAAACCTGTTGTATCCTATAGTGATGCTAATCCTGCTCGCAGGAACGGTGAGTAGTGATGCTGACCCGTCATTATCCTCAAATTGTTTGTTCACAGTGTATACTGTCTGGCTTGTGGCCACAGGGCTGACACCATACTGCAAAACTCCTTTTTTCCCACAGATTCTGGGTGGTTTTCTTTTAATTTCTTTTAATAGCTGTTTAAGACAATGGTGAATAGCCACCTACAACAACTGTGATTTTCAATAAATTATAGTGTGGGAATGCCATTTATGCCTTCTGATACCGGTAGATAGGCAGAGAGGCCATGTGTGAGGCACAGCACGTGCAGAAACTCCCTTTTCCCCCTCCACCTGACGTTTTGGTCCTGAAAAGCTTCAAATTGGAGCGGGTTACAATCACAAAATAGTTATTCTGCTTAACAGCACATGTGAATCAGAAAGGCACCTGTGGTTCAATGACATCTTGTTGGGGGATACTAGGAGGATTTGATCAATTGTTTTATAATTATAAGATGCGTATCTAAATCTTTGCCTTCCTCTGTGTCTGCAGACAATCTCTGTTATTATGGTGGCTCTAAATATCCTCTACCTTCTAGTGGATGAGACTGCCATGCCCAAGGGATCCACAGTAAGCCTTCTGTCTAACTGCAGTACATTTTTAGCTCTCTCTCACATACTAACACACACCCAGAATGTAAACTGCAGAAGAGCCTGCCTATCAGACCTGCCGTGTCCCTGGCGGGGACATAAATCAAATTCCGGATATGCTCAGGTGCACGCTGGAAGAAAAGGCTCGACGAGATGATAATCAGGCTCCAACCATGTGCCACTGGTTTTGTTTTGAAAGCTCATTCAGAGTCATTTCACAGCCGTGTGCAGATTCAATGAGCTTGTTACGTGCCTCATGTCCACAGTGACCAAGTAAGCTGCCTTTTCTCTGTGTTGCAAAGGCAAACAGGGCCAAGTGAAGAGCTATGACTGAAGCACACTGAGCGTGTGCAGTGGCTCTCTGAGATTCACATCTCCATCGAGTGTCCAACTTGTTTTTAGCTCCCTGTATCACATCACATCTGCAAGGACATAGATGTTTCCATGTGCGCGCTTGCATGTGTGTTTATGTGTCTGAGTATGTGTGATTTTGTGGTTGCATTCTTGTCTAGAAAAGGGCAACATAATGTATCCTATTTCTCCCACATTTTATTTTGCATCTCGCGGGCAGCTGACGGAGCTGTCCTTGACATTCCAGTTATTTTATTGAGCAGAGATGTTTTCTTTGGCTTGACACATCACAGAAAATCCCCCACATTATGCTTGTCATGTAGCTTAAAGCTGTCCTCCCTGATAATATGGCCCCACTAAATGGTTTATGTGTTTTTTTGAGTTGGATGGATGCCACACCTCTGATCTCCCAGAACAGTGAGGAAGGGGGTCTCGCGCTCCTAAACAGTTAATGCTGATATGAAATCCATCCTTCTACTTCTTTAACATATGTGAATCCCAGACTCTGCCCCTCTGGCACAAAAACTCCCTCTGCCCACTTTCTGGGTTAAGACGGAGCAGAGAAAGTGATATCAAAGGGAGAAAGTCTGGTTTTCCGTCTGGACCCGCCACTACCAGAGCAGAGTTTCAAACTGTGGGAAAGTCAAATGAGGCTCTGATACACTGATTGTTATGGGGGAGACGGCACAATGGAAGTGCCCTGTCAATGTTTGTCTTCCTTTCCAACTAAACATCCTGCTGCAGTCCTTAAGCATACTGAGCAGTGTCCCTTTCAGCTTTACGGGGCAGAATAATTAAGAATACAGAAAAAAGAAGAAGAGGAGGAGAAGCAAGTGGATTGAGATCTGATGCCGGTGCTCCCAGCATTGTATTTTTTTATGCACGTACTTAGAGGGTTAATGGAAGGACTGCTAAAGGCCTTTCTTGTTGGGAGCCATTTTGCAAAACGGACAATTACGCATGGCTTGATGGGAGGTTTCCCCAATTACAGTGGACCCCTGAATACACACAAACTTATTTAAATTTCCCTTGAGCACCCATTTCATTTTAGACTTTGGTGTCATGAGCCTTGAAGTGAAAATAATAGTGGACGTTACTGCTACCATCACACCACTGGATCGCGTTGGCAGTGTTTCCACATTTAAACTTGCAAAGGCACAACTGCGATGTAATAAAAACCTTTGATTAATCTTGTTGAAATACAATGTTCTGGTGGGAAAGAAATATATCCCGACATTCACAGCGAGGTCATTTATACATCTGCCAAAGACCTTAACGTTTCACAGCTCCTTCACACACCCCATATGGCACCGTTACTCTCCAACAGAAGCCCCCTCCTCTGAGGGTGAGCTGTTCAACCTGTTTTCAAACTCCTCAGATACCAATCTCTGATGAAATCTGTGCTAAGCAGTCAAAATTCACTAAGATCACACCAAAAAAGCCACACGACTCAAAGAGGCTGCTGCTAACGTCCCAGAACCAGCCACCTCAGGACACACCGAGGGGTTCTGCGTGCATGCCCTGACTGGTCAAGTGCTGTGTTTTTGTAGAAAAAGAGGGATCTACTCAGTGTTACAGAGGTGATCCAATGTTATGGCTCTTCAGCCTAAAGTCTTTTCTGATTGCTTTAGTTTCATGCTGAGTGTCACTTCTCACAAACTAGAATAGCAGCACTGCAAAAATATAGCTATAAGGAGATATACAGGAAGCGAAATGATACAAAACAGTCAAAACGCATGTTTTCAGTTTTTTGTAAAAGTTTCAGTGTTTAACTTCTCTAGTTTTCGAGGTCACGTGAAGCCACCAGCTACAGGCATGCGTTAAGCCACCTTACAGCACACAGCCTCTTTTAGGAGTGCTGTATGCTGCTTTACTCAAGGTACACCAAGACGTACTTTGAGCTGTCCTCGTGCAATTATATAACCCATGACACATATCAATACCAGGTCTGAACAGGGTCCCAAGTGGTAGATGAGTGTACATACATTTTTTTTTTAGTTTTTTTAAGGAAAACACAAAACATGAACTCTGTCACCTTTCCTGCTACTTGAATGAAAAGAGGAGTTGAAAGGAGTCATGCACAGTGAAAGCTGGCTCGCACATACACACATATTGAGTGCACACTCTATCTTTAAGCATGCCCACCCTCCCTGCATTAATAAATTACATCAGCTGGTGTCTGCTAATTCTCCGTGTAAGAGAGAAAGAGCACTGCACCATTGCTCTGCAGTAAGCCTCCAACGATGACAGTTGCACTATGAGGCATGAAACAACCTGCCAAGCTTTCCTTTTTTCTCTGCAGGCTCTTTTAGAAAACAGGAGAGGCTAAGGAAACTTAGATTGGAATAAACTATCAAAGCATGGATTGTTTTCTTGTTATTGATATTGTAGGAGTGATAATCGTAATAATAATAAGTGGTTGTATTGGTAGAGGACTGTGCTTTTGACCCATGTATGTTTTTACTTTCACTCAAAATGATAAATAACTATAAAATCGCTTAATAAACTCAGTGCTGAGGCAATGAATGCACTGCGTTATGTTTCCTGTTGTAATGCATGTGTATGAAGTATGATTACCAAACAGATGGGAACTTTCAACACTTGTAAAAGGTTTTAAACAAGATGGTTCCATAAAGTACCGTAGGTGCTCCACAGAGTGCAGTGATTCTTAAGAGGATTAGTTCTAGTGCCAAATCCAACAAAAGCCAATATTTATCATTTGACAAAACAGATGTTTGGAATGTGCTGCATCTGTAGGTGTATGTCTTTTTCATGCTCTAGTTTCAAAAGACCTCAAGGTTAGGTTTTTAGGTAGGTACGTCTGGTATATTTGCTTAAGTATTTGTTTTGTTGTTTTTATGTTTTTGGCATGTCTTCAACCTGTACACTCGTCTTACCGTAAGCAATGTGCCGTTTTTGTTTGAACACCTGTTCACATATTGTATGATCGACAGTGATTTGCAAAGAGCCTCTTTCATCTTGTTCCATTCATTACTTAGCCAGTCTGTCGTTCTCAGGTGGGGGAATTCTTTGTGCAACATGTAGGTACTTTGCAGGATTCCTGTAATTGCATGCGTTCAACTGAAAGCACCGCGCATTTTTGTCATTTTCCATTTAATTTATCTATTTTTTTTTTCATATTTGTAATGCGTGATGTTTGGGAATGACACGTTTTTCCGTCATACAGGACCGAGGCATTGGGAATACCTCTTTGTCCACGTTTGGCGTTGCTCAGGCCGTGCTGGAGATCATCCTCATGTTGTATCCTTTTAAGTGACCCCCCCTTTGTCTGCGGCCAGAGTAACATGCATCATGGCCAAGAGCAACATAGTAAAGGCGCTTTTGTTTACCCAGGACATAGCTAAGCTGGACGCCTTCCGGAAAACGGTATGTTTCATCACCTTTTATTATTGCTGAAAAGGTGGTGCCCCGGGACACATCAGAAACAGGAGCCTTTGTGGTACCAGCACCAAAATGGTTTCGGTCCTTGATTGATTTGCTGAACAGCTACTTGATGGTGTCTTCCGTGGTTGGTTTCTACAGCCTGCGCGTCTTTGAGGGGCTCACTCCCAGGAAGGACGACACAACAATGACAACGGTAAAGATGGGTGGAAGGACGGGGAGAGTCCTGAAGTGGGGGCAAGGGTGCTGACACTGCTCCAAAGGTGCTGATGTGTTTGGGCCCCCCCTGTGTTTCATCTGTTTCCTCCTTTTTTCCCCCCACTACTGCTTTCCTTCTACTCTCAACTTCTACAGCTCACTAATGTTTTCTTCAGGGCCCCTCAATGGCTTTAGTTGATCTGTTCAATATTTGTTTGTGGGTTGCGTAAACATTGGCAAAGTGCAAGCTCCTTTCTTGTAGATCAGAGGGAGAATGGAGATTTTGGGGGTTGGAGGATGTGTGCTCTGTTCAGTCCATAGTGGCACCTATTCAGTTGGTAATGAGTTTGGGAGTGGTGTGGCTTGTTAACTAGCCACGATGCTTCATTGAAAGGACTTGAAAGGACAATAGGAGAAACCTGGTAATGAGCAACTTCAGAGGTACTAATTGTATAATATGCAAGACCAATTTAACATCAAGTGTTGGGAAATTGTGTAGGTACAATTCACAGTTATTTTGTTGTGGTTAATTGTTTTTTCATGTGAATATTGTACTGTACATCATGAAGTAAGAGAGATCTGAAAAATGTATTTAGACAATTTGGTCTTACATTTTAGATCATTGGTTGCTGCGTGTCCATTTTGGTCCTGAGTTCAGCTCTACCGGTGATGTCCAGGACTCTAGGTGAGTAGCTCCTGCCTGTTCCTGAAAGCAGGTGTTTGCTGTCAAACCATTTTGTGTCATGTGACGTTTACAAGTTCGGGAAAAGTTTCAATTTGATATAGGCTATTTAAAAAAAAAAGTTTTCAGAGTAAGATTAGAAACTAAGAAAATAGGAATAGACTTAATTAACTATGTTTTGCACAATTTCTAGTTTTTACAGTAACAGACACAAAAACAGGTGCCAAGACATCTTAAAATAGTTATTTTCATTTAACCAGGAAAACCTTGTTGAGTCAACACAGGTGCCTTATAACTCCTGTTTGTACTGAAGTCAGCGTTCTTAGCTAAAAAAGAAAAAAGACTAAACAAAAGCCCTACACATAGTCCCCTGCAAATTTTTGTGTGAATGTGAGAAACATGATATAACATGTTCATTGAGCTTTACCGGTGCTGGTATGTGGATTTTGTTGCACGTCTTTGTATGTATGTATTCGGACTGTGTTGTAGGTTTCCACAATTTTTAGACATTTCAGGACAACCTTATTGCAGGCGGTAAGTGAGGGTGAGTGCCCCTTCCCTACCGTCCCACTCAGGCTTTTGGGACTACTGTAGTTTCCCATAGTGACATAAGAAAGACACGCAGGCAGAAATTATACAAATGACAGGAGTGGCACCATCACAATGACACTAATAAACATTGTGCAGAGCCCAGCTGTTTAAACAACTCTGCACTGTGAGTATGCAAGTATGTGTGTGAGAGCCCGGCAGAGTGGGCAAGCATACAGTGAGTCACTGTGAGCTTTTCAGAAAATCAACAGGTTCTGCTTTGTGACGCTGAATAAATGAAAGGAATAGATCCATAAGACAGAGATGAAGAAAGAAGGCCTCCCCTGAAAAGATTTTAAAAGAAGAAAAGCTGATTGTGACTAAGTGAGATTTTAAGAGACAAGGAAGAGATTTGTGTGTGTTTTTTTTTTCCGAGTTGTTTTTGTATGCGTGGCAATGAAGGAAAAGTACTGTGTTGGAGAGACGGGCTATATGATAGCTTCACTGCTAAAATACTGACTGACACACAGTTTTAAGCACAGATGCAGGACCAGCAGCATCATTTTGCCTGCAAGTATCTTCGAATACAAATGCTTAGCACAATTTCAAATTCTGAATTTTTTTAATTTTTTTTAAACAAATAAACTTGCATTCAGATATTCTCAAATGAGTTAACAAAGATCAAAACCTTTGGCATTAGAAACAAATTTGGCAGGCCCACAGTGGCTAGCTGCATTGACTGGGGTCTCGGTCATTTCTCTCTCCGGCTCTTCACAGGCAATTTTGTTAAAGGTCTGTGGTGCCTGCCAAACTGCTTACTGCGGCTGTAAATACATCTCTCTAGACACTGAATCAATAGCTCAATCTAATTGACGGTTGTGAAGATGTTACAGGAGAAATAGTGTCCAGAGACTTAGGACTTCTTCAGTCTGACACATCTGAATATAACATCTGCATACTGATAAGAAGGATCAGACAAGAAGTCGTATGCCACTCAGTCCAAAAATATATTGTTTGAGATTTAGTTGATTTTGTTTTCATAAAAAAAAAAAGATGCAGTTTAATAACATTAAATATAATGGAACTTGTTACTGAAGCATTAATTATATTTATAGATGGATAAAAGATCTGTTTTCATTCTGACGTGTATGACTGCTGTTCAGTTGAGCTGCTAACCTGACGTATAATTCCAGAAAAAAAGGTGGATTAACAGGCCAGAGTGAATAAGCATGTTTTGATATCTGTGATTTCTGTGAATCATCTGTGACAGATGGTTTAAAAGTGGCCTAGCATTGTTGAGCTAAGAGTGATGCAGAGTTCTGGCTTAACTGCCAACAAAGACACTCACGTGATGAAATATACAAGCTTGGTCATTTGTTAGAAGAGTCAAACATATTACATATCAAGGTTCAAAGACTATAAATAGAGGAACAAAAGCATAGATACATAATAAAGACATTAGAATGATCAAGTTCAGGCTTCCTCTCTTTATGTCTTAGGCATCTTTATTTTAAAAAAACATCAAAATAGTCCATCCCAGCTAATCAGTTGTTAATGGTAGGGTTGTTTCAAAGTATTTTTAACATCTCAGGTGTTCAGATTATAACCTGTTGCACACAAAATTGTTTTTGTATGTAAGCCCTTCTTTCAAGTTGAGTTTTTTACTTGTTGAAAGAGACAGACTATTGGAGAAAGATGCATTGAAATGGCCTTACCTGCTGGAGCAACAGGCATTTCCGTGTTCTTCTGCTGCGCTCATCGTTTCATCGAGAAAAAACAAATTTTGCTTAAGAACACAATGCTTGTCCTGTCAAAACTGTCTTTCGCAAATAACCTATCTTTTTCCCTTCTTTGTGTGTGTGTGTGTTTCAAACATCGTAAGTAAGTGTGAGTTATTACAGCTTCGACTCTTCAGGTTGTCACAGCTCTGCATTAGAAAAACTACACACTTTTTAATGGTTTCTTTGATCTCGCTCCTCTGCAGGAATCACCAGGTTTGATCTGTTGGGAGACTTTGGGAGATTTAACTGGCTGGGAAACTTCTACATTGTTCTCTCCTACAACTTGCTGTTTGCGGTTGTGACAACTCTTTGTCTTGTGAGGAAATTCACCTCAGCAGTACGGGAGGAGCTCCTGAAGGCCTTAGGTAAAGCACTCCACCTCATTCACAGCTGCCGCTTCTCACTAATCCATTTCAATACTGATTCTAAAGTACTGCCCCATCTTATACAGATGGATGGCCCTCCTAAAGCATTCTGCCTGCTAATAACCCATGACTGCTTGATTTCATCCTAATTCTGTGTCTACAAAAGTTTGCTCTGAAACATTGACACCTCCAAGATCCAAGGCTCGGGCTTTAGGTAGAAATACTATCGATCTTAGATAGTGTGGCCAGGAGTGAGAAAATGGAAGAAATTGCTTTAAGATCCAAGGTGCTGTGGACGGGACATGTGACAGAGGATTGGGCTGGCCTCAAAGACGTGCCGTCACAGGCCCTGGATGCTTGATGCACAGGGTGGTATAGAGTTGGAAAATGTTAGACAGAGGCACTGATGGGAGAAAAGGACATCAATACCTCTGTCTAAGTGAAAGGAGGCTTTTTAATGAGATTTTTTTTTTTTTTTGCCTTATCTCTCCCTGCCCAGGTCTGGATAAATTGCAACTGTCAAACAGCCCCACAGACCCTGAATCTGGGAAGCTCTCAGCCAACGGGCATCAGAAAACTCTGTGAAACGGACGATATATCAACACACATATAGACACACGTTAGCAGAGCCAAAGGGAGATTTCAGCAATACTGACTGCTGAGAGGTGAAAAGGATTGGAAGGAACTTAATAAACCCAAGCAGTGTCTGACTGTCGCTGCAAATGGAGGCTGAGAGTAATTTAGCTTCGTGACATTCCATCCTCTGCGTCTCGGATGGAAGCTGGGACAGAGCCAGAGCTGAGACCAAGGAGTGAAATAGAGTGGCATCACTGCAGTGACCTTGATGCTAACCTCAACCACGACTGTGACTTCAAACCACCCATCTATTGCTTCAGGGCCGCTCTTCCCCTAAGGATTGTCACCTGGTCTACTTCTACAACCTTTACGCTGCTGTACAACACAAAAGCAGAATAAGCAACGTGACCTCTGCCTGGCTTCCCCCTGTCAAAGTCTTAAATTAGACTCTGTAATCAAAAACGTATGCATCCCCACAATTCACTTTTGTTTGTTTCAACATGTGTGTCAGTAACTCAACATTAAATGTGTGTAGTTGTCACTTTTGAATTTTTTCAGGAACAGATATGGGCATGAAAAGGTGTCACTTAGTGGGTTTTCACTCAAATTCAAAATGTGAAAATAACTAAATAACTTTCTGAAGCGTGTAGATTTGTCTTTTGTTCACACTCATTGCAGCCAGTATTTACCACTGCAGCACATCTGTGCAGTTCACAATATATGCACTGCTCATGTCATTCTAGATGGCAGGCCTCGGATTTTAGCCCCCAATTTCATTTGTCTTTTTATCTGAATTTATGCAAGTACGCTTTAACTTAATTGATGATGTCATTACTTTGTTAGACAGAAGTTGTTTTTTTTAGGTCTTCTAGATTTGACTTAAGCTATTCTGTTAAACCAGACTGATTTTTTAGTTTGATTCTCACAGGAGAATGCATGGAAACAAATCTGAAGTTTAATTTCCAAATATTTAATATGCACATGGAAAGAAAATGTCTTGCCATAATTGCTAAACTCCCAAAAATACAGGGCACAGAAAAATGGCCCCTAATGTAAATGTTGTAATTACATGTACATATTCTGTTTCATACATCTTTTATTTGCCTTTTCTGTTTTTTTCGGTATGTAAATATGTTGAACTCTCATTGAGCCCCGAAGGTCTGACTCATAAAACATTTTCGTTACGTTTTTCAGAGATTCCCCTCTTAATGTAATGCAAATAGACACAAATTTTAACCCAAACAATACATAAGTCAAGGATATCCAGCCTTGAAGCCGGAACAATAGACATGGTGACTCAGGCCCCCCTTAAGTGTTAGTGCATTGCTGCATAACCTTCTAAACTGTGATGATCCTTGTCTCCAGAAACACCAGTAATGCCTTAAATGACAAGCATGTCACAGGCGTAAGGTTGAGACCGCTTGTTTTGTGGAGTTTATGTACATTTATATTGAGATCCTGTCTGCTGTTCCACTATTTTGTTAGTCTAAAGAAAGCTGGATGTCACATTTCTTTTCACAACGAATGTTATGCAGTCGCTACATTTTCTTAAAAAAACTAAACTTGAGCACATTATATGATAGATTGACGTCATGTTTTTTTTATGGTGTTGGTAGATGTTTTTCTTTCTTTCCCTGTATGGCACCTTAAAATACAGATTCCTAGGATAAAGATGATGAAGGAAACAGAATCAATATATTCAGTGGAATATGATTATATAGAGTCTCACGTCAGGACTGTGTACAATTTGGTGGTACACAGATCAGAAAGACTGGATGTATACTTTAACAGAGCAGAGCAAAGACTTCATTTCAATAGAGAAGGTATACCAAGCTTTACGCTGCGTGATCGTCATTTGATTACTTTTGTCTGCAGCTATTCGCTTTACATTTGGATTTGGACCACACTGCTCTGTGGATACTGTGAAAAACAATTCAACACTGCAAAATGCGATATGGTCATTTTAAATAAAGGACCATATTTTAACTGGTGAAGGGAGACAGCTGGATTAGCTAATGAAATCCAGAGAGGATTTCATTTCTTAGTCTAGAATACCTAGTTTAACTGGCATGTAATGAAAATATTTCTATCCACGCGGAAGTTGTGCTTAAATCAGGTCGGTTACAAAAACTGGACTAATGATCAATAGCAGGGAATATAAAACGGCGCAATCATAGTCAGAGTAGTTGCTTCTTAGGTGAGAACTGTTGGGGTTTTTTCAATTTGAGCAGGCTGTTTCCAGTGGCTGTTGAAGTTCATCTGTGTTCTTTGTGGGGGGGGGTCATTCGGGTGACTGTCTGTACTGTAAGTGAATCAGCTTTCATTTGTGTCCAAATGTCAGTTGATCCTTGCATTTAACTTTTGGTACATGTTTTGTGAATTCTCTATTTTATTTTTACACTTTCAGTTTTTAAAATGTTAATTATTTTTGATGTTTGTGTGTTTGCAAATAAAAGAAAATGCTTCAACATCTGTACTGTTTGTGGCAATCCAAGAAGTGGGAGATAACGTTTGGGTATTTATTTATATTCAGGTTTATTTCCACCCTTTGCAAATGGATTTCTTCCAGGCTCTGTGTAATAAAAACCCTATGCATCCTCTTTTTATTTGTATTTTTTAGCTTGGATTACTTTCTACCTCAAATTTCCCATCAGGTAGACAAGAGAAACAGTGGTGTCTTCATTTGCACTTTTTGTACATTTGTTTAATGCGATTAATTTATTTGTGCATCAAGATGCCAAGAGCTAACTTGCGTCAGCTCTTAAGAGACATAAATTGTATAGGTTATTTGATCCAAAATCCCATCTATGCCTGGTTAGATCAGCTTTTTTTTTTAATCATTTTTTTTAAATTAAAACATATCGAACAAAAGCTTGTCGTGGTACATTACATACATAACAATGGAAAGGGCCAGGCATCAACAAGACACTAAGATTTTTTCGTCCTTGGTAGACAGAGATTAACAAAAATAATGTGAGGGATGGCATGCTCATACTAAATTAAATGACAGAACGGTTAGATGAGCTTTTTGTAGTATGCAGATCTGCATAATGGACATGTAGGTCTGCTATCTGTGGCAAAGGCTTCAAGGGCCTCCAGACAAGGCTGGTGGAAAAGATGGGAGCATGATAGGAGTACAGTGTGTCTAACTTGTTGAGGGTCCAGTTTTGAAGACTCTGCTGGGTGGCACAGAGCAGTCAGACAGATGGGGCACTCCCACACACCTCTCTGGATGACCTGTTCAAGTTTGAAAAAAAAATCTGGTAAGTTTGTAAGCCAGCAAATGTGTACAAAGAAATATTAGAAGAGTATTATAAAGCCTGAAGCTACTTGTAAGCAAAACCTGACAGGTCTTAATTTGATTCAAGGTGTTAATATTAATCAGCGATCAACACAGAATTTAAGTAGCACTAAACACATTCTCTAAAAAATAACTAATGGCAGCTTATATTTTGGATTTCATAATGAGCAGCACTATATAGAGTTTGCAGCCTTGAAAAAAGATGCATAGTATGTGCTGAGAGCACATTCACCATTTTATACTACATGTAAGGTTTGAGCCACTCCTGCTGTATGCTCAATCTTTCCACACAAGCTATATAAATATAAATATATTTAAAAAACAAAGACATGTTTGCACACACCCAATCCCCTTGATGGAAAAAGGCACTGTCTGCATAGATAGACAACAATTGAGACTCATGAAACAGCAAATCTTAATGTTCTTTCAGCTTCTCAATAGCTGAAAAGCCTGTCATGCATTATAAGACTTAGTCATGTTTTTAGTAAACAGAGGATTATTAGCCTCATGTATCATTCACATTCACTCTTTAAAGTGAATGATCACCACTGAGGAGATATGTGCTTTCTATATAGCAGCTGTTATGTTGTTGTGCCATTGCATGTATAAACAGGAGAGGCCGGAAAAGGAATCATGCTAGGATTAGATGTTTTTATGGGGCCTTGTGTCTTGTTTCAGACCTGGCTCTTTATTTGGACCCATTCATTCTCCCGCGGCTCAGAGACGCTCTTTCTTTCCAGTTGCTGGAAGACTCTTCTGCTTGATGACAGAGAGCGGTCGATATCACTCAGAAAAGCCTCCGTGTCGGTGTGACAGTATCGGACAAAGCTGTCATTCAACTCCTGCAACTAATTAGAAAAACCATTTTAGTGGCACAAAGGATGTGAATGTTTCATTCAGTAACACAATAGATTTGTGTTTTTGGCGGGGCCTAATTGTGTGTGTATTGTAATGGCTGAGGCATGCTGACAGGGTGCAGTTGTTTAAGAGCCAGATCAATACAGGCACATTTCCCTCGAACTTGGAGAATTAATGGAAACCAGTTTTTTTTTTAAGTACAAAAAACATGGAAACGCACACATTTCTTCTAAATAGTCGATTATTTTGATTTACAGACTTCTTTGTGGACAAGGAATGTAACATGCATCACACCTGGGCAGTGGACTGGTGTTTCTCACCTACACACGACATAGATCCAAAGAGGGCTTTTCCTTTTTGTTGCTGCCTCTGAAGTTGATTCCTTTAGGAATATGGACATTTTAGCAACCTAGTGTGGGTTTGCATTTCACACACAGAAGGAATTTTATGGACTGGTTATAGCATTTTAGACCTTGTGTTTCAATTGATCTACTTTCCAGCATGTTTGGGATTTAAGCTTTTTAAACTTACTTTTTTTATAAAGAAGGACCTAAGTAAAGTGATATGAACTCTAAAATTTCTATTCTTTGGGGTAAATACTCAACTACTCTCTGCTCAACCTAACTGCTTTATTTCTGCCTTTTCCATAACCAATACTCATTTATTTTCCCCCATTTATAGCAACTGTTGCTAGGCAACAAATAATATGGAAAAAATTGACAACGAAACAACAAGAGGCAGTCCATAGTGTCCATCAATCCATCTATTGTCTTTACCCAGAACAAACAAGATGAACAACAGTGTATATTCATACTCACTCCTATGGCCAATTAAGTACCATCCATTAACCTGAAGTTGTGGGAGGAGGCTGGTCACATAAAAGAACCCACACATGCACGGGGAGAACAACTCCACAGAAACCAGGACTAGAACCAGGCTAAAGGCTTGTACAATACTTAACCATGAGATGTGTCTGACACCTCTGAGATTACAGAGTCATTTGTATTTCAGCAAATGTTCAATTAATATAATTATTTTCTTCAGTAATTCGTAGTCTGCACTATCAGGTGAGAATAATGACAACACAGTCTGCGAGAGTTCAGAACTGTATGATCTTCAATTCCGCAAAGCATACAATACAGACTGTACATCAACGACCTGCTCAAGCTATATTGCAAAATGTTTTGGTAAAATATTTATTATTACATGATTTTGCAGCTCAGAGTAGCTTCAGCTTCTGCTTGCACACGTGCGCGTGTTTTCTCTGATGTACACACACACACACACACACACACACACACACACACACACACACACAAGCCCTCTCCCTTAGCCTGTCACGGAGACATCAGAATTGCTTTACGGCCAGGCTTTTATCACTAATTAAACAACTGTTAACTATTCCAATGGAGGGTTTTATGTGCCTGGCTGACTTTCGACAGTCAGGGCAAACAGTATGGCCTCAGGTGAACTTTGCCTCGTTCCACACTAGATGTGGATGAGAGAAGACGCAGACGGGTGGAGGTGGGAGTGTGGGTGAATGCAGAGGCACTATCTCATGGCAATCCATCGAGATGTCGGTACAGTCTCGTTAGAGTGTTGACTCAGGGTTGGACCACATTAACAGCAAAAACTGAAAACTGGGCATCAAGATGAGCTGAGAAGAATTCTCAAAATCTGCCAATTTCTTTTTATTTTTTTGTCATGTGAACACCTGTGAATTTATCTCTAAAGATGCGTTATTGCCTTCTACTATCAGAGAACGCTGACAGATCTGACTTCTCTGTCTCATACAGGCATAACACTAACACGCCCGTTTGTATTACAGTCAGCCAAGCAAAAAAAGTCTTCCCCTTGAAAATCACGTCAATCAGACCTGTCAGTGCTGAGCAACGCAGCTCTCCGAGATCATCCTCACTGTGGCAAAAAAAATATGAGGCAATCTCATGACCACCCATAACTATTGAATCACACAACCTGAATGTAAAGCGCTGACACGGTGTATGACCCCCACCAGACAACGTGAACCTGGACATGGTCTAACACGTTAGATCAGTTAATTGGCTCAGTAAATGCCGTGTCTTTGTTTATGCGACAGGTGATAGGCAGTTTATGAGCAAGATATTGGAGACTGACAGGGGGAAGGGTAGGACACTCTGACCCTTGCTACATATTGTGAGTCTGGCCCTCTTGCATATGTCAATTTGCCTAATCAGCTCCTTTGAAGCAACGAGCACTCTGCATGATTGCAACACTTCACACAGAATCAACTGACCTCTGCTCTTCACATGACATTGGACATGCATGTGTTAGAGTGGTGTCATTTTTAAAGAAGGGTAAAAGGGTGAGTTCTCATCAGAAATTAATCTGCATCTGTTATAATCAGGTGTTCGGTCAAGAGAATCGTTGACCAGTGCAGTCTTTGGTCATTAATGGCCTCAGCTGGGGGAGGTTCACTAGGTGGCAATGTTCCCTTTTCCTCTAAGCCACCATAAAAACACCACAAATTAAGGCAAACAGCCCCATGCACTGGTTATGTATAAGACCCATGGTCATACATATGTAAATATTTACGGTAATTCCAAGATGAACACCTCCATGAGAGAACAAATCCCAAAATGACAGCATGCATTAAGAATCCAAACACTTCAAACAACGTCTTCACCTCTTCACCCTCTTTCATCCTGCATGTGTGGACTCTGCACACAGACATTCTGACATGGATGAAGAAAAATCAGACCCAGACATGCACAGCAGACATGCTCTTGTTCTGTTGATTGAAATGCCCAGACTGTTTAAACTAAAACACAAAACTTTGTCCACATTAGTGGACAAACAGTGTTTGATTCACAAAGCGCCAAAAGGTGCTTTAGAGTCGAGAGCAGGTGAGGGTCGGTGTGAGTATGTTCATGCTGGCAACGAGGTTAGTGAGTCCCTGAAATCCATGTCTTAACCTTAAAATGTGGTGTTGATGTTAGTTATCATTCGACCAACCAAATCCTCAAATAGTATCAAAGTTATGTTAATATTAAGGGAAACACCCTGTTGTTGAGCGTTACTGACATTGTACACATATGACCGATAGGATCATTGCCTTTTCATACCAAACTCACCCTTTCCTCTAAGAATTTGCGTCTTAGATTTTTGTCCTTTGGGCACTTGGTTTTCTTGATTGTTCTGTACCATTTACGAGCAACATAACCACGCCAGCAAGCCTGAATCCTAGTCACACACAAAAAGATACATAAAAAAGTGAAAGATTAAAAAACAAAAAATAATAATATATTGCGCACACAATTTGCAGACAGTTATTTGCAGATGGCTGAACCTCTATGATTTGAATTAAATATTTGTTCCTGAGATTTTAAAAGTATTACATTCTGATTTTCTTATCTTTTATGCAGTGATCCATTTCTTTCAAACGTACATTTTCGTTATATATACAGATGTTTTTAATGTTTGAAGCAAAAGCAGAGTTTCTTATTGTAAAACATGTCTTATGAATACACTTGCATATCCTTTCCTCTCTGTTTTTAGTGCAGTAAACTTTTCGTAACTTTTTTGATAAGGTCCTTGATTCTGCAATCAAACAATCTTCTTTACTTAAATATTACTACTACACTAGAGATATCAGAAATCCTGGCATACATCACACACAGAGGACATATTGCCTATGAGCTTTTATTTAATGGTTTTTTCTTATGGTAGTTTTTATCACTATTAATAAGAATGTCTCATTTATTAATTCATAAAACCATAATTCTCACCCATTGTGTTTACCTTGTAGCACAAGCATGTCTGAAAAGGCGAGATGCATCATAGATCACACGCGTTTCATACTGCTCCCTTCTGCACATTGGGCACGTCTTCCTCCCAGAAAACCTCTCAAAGGCCTGCAGGCATGCTCGGTGGAAGACATGAGAACAAGACAGTAATACCTAAAAAAGAACGTGGAAAAAATATGCAGAAAATCAAGAAGCAGCATGTAAACTAATATTGGACTTTAGATTTCACCAAACTTCCTTCCATGGCTATTTACAAAAACCAAAACATGCTTAACATGGATGGGTTTTCCGTTTTTTGTTTGAAAATGTTTAAATAGAGTTTGCAGTCTGTGCACACAAACTGTTTATATGCAAACTTTAAGGCAGACCTAATCTGTGTGTATTTATGCACATATGTGAATGTCTGCATCTAGCTCTGACTTTTATTTGCCAAAGGGATAGAAGGAGTCAGCATGACCCCCAGAGGGCCAGACGGGGCCTGGACTATTCCCTCCCTATACCTGTAAGAGGGACACTCTCATCTAAAAGGATCCACAGCTTTGGGGCTTGGCACGCAAACAAATTTACTCAGACTTCTGGGGGCATGTGTGAGGCATATTGATTTCCCATTGTTTTTGGCCTGACCAACAGACTCCATCACCACTGAAAGCCCCTCCTGCAGTTTACAATTTCCAGGTCCTGGACAAACCATAAAAACAGAAGAAGATTTCTCATCTCTGCGTCAAGGTTACAAAGAGCAGTCCAGTTCAGACAATTTAGAAATTAAATAGAAAACTAACAAAGGCTACCTTTTCTATTTCAACCCAAGACCACTACAAATATATTTTGGTTGGTATTACAATCTAGACAAGGAATTGAACATGTTAGTCCATCAAACTGCTGCTGTAAGCGTTTTTAATTGTAATAATATTGTGATACAAGATTATAATGCAATTACATTGTCACATTATAAATGCTTGCAGAGAAATATGTGAAATCAACAAAGATACACTCTTGTCACTTTCCCTTGTTAGCAGGCTCTAATTAACTTTTTTCACCCCTGAGTAAAACTAATATTTACACATGCATCTATGGCAACTGTGCTTTGTGAGGCAGCCTATTCTAACCCACATTCTTGAGGAGATTGGCATCTTAAAAGGGGATCAGAAAGGTGTAAAAGACTGAATGACCCTCACAGTAACACACTGATTGCTACATCATCACGTCACAGTTGAGTTCCAAGGCAGTATGGGTAAATTTGTACAGTTGTCTACACAGATTAGAACATACAGGAACTGCAGGGGAGAGGGTGAGGAAGGAGGGCTGGGGGTGCTTTGTAGTGTTTGTATGCATGTGTCCATGTGTGTATGGGAACACAAGTTTCCTTGAGGACAGACTCAGAACAATGAAAACATATAAAAAGAAACTGCCTCACAGAGACACAAAAGTAGCAACTGTCTTGGGGGAATACCTGAGCCTGAAGGCGGAACTCCTCCTTGCATATTGCACATGGTTGTGCCGAGTCCTGCTGCAGCACAGATCTCTCTTTGACCTGGGTCCATTCATCCTCTGTCAACCCTTTTCCAGGGGAAGCCACCAAACCTAATTTCTGAGCTACATGTGTTTAGAATGACAGTTGTTATGCATTTATTAAACAATAATATCAATCCAAAAGGCCCATTGTTTGTGCTACCTAATGTCAAAGGAGGTGAAGCAGGGTCCAGTACGTATTCTCTCTCCTCTTGCCCATGTGGTATTTGTTGGCTTTTTACTTTTTGTCTTGCTCTGGGAGGTAGAGGTGCTTTTCTGATGAATCTAGACAAAGGGACTGAAAGCGACAGTTCCGGATGCAGCAGGTTCCGTATGATGTGGTCTTGAAATGCTGCTGAGGTAATCACCAAATTATTGCTTGATCTTGACTTATGGTTCTGTAAAAAAAAAAAAAAAAAAAATTCAAAAGGTTCACCACAACAATGACATGTTAAATGATGCATGACAACCAACTCAAATCATAACTTGAAGGTGATGCCTTCTTCATGCAGGATATATAGGGGGAATTGATAGATTTATGCTTAACTGTTATATCAGTTAAATGGATTTGAAAGTAGTACTGAAACTTTTCCCCAAAATGAATGAAAGCCTCATCTAATTCTGGATGTAAATCTTTGCCAGTAAATATATTGTATTTCACGGATTTTTTCCCTCGGAGAATTAGAATGCGCAGGTGTGTGCTGATTAATTCAATGACCGGACTTTTTTTTTTTTTATCAGACAACCTCAAATTGTACAACAGCACTTTCAAGTCAACATTTAATAAAGCCCTGACCAAATATAAAGAAAAACACCAATAATAAGTTTTATTTTCTTTTAAAAACGGGCCAAAAAGACCACCAAACCTTCTGCATTGCCATCCTTCCAAGTGTTTCAGAGGTTACCAGGAAACCAGTCGTCACTCCTACGTCATCGCCACTACGTCCTATCACTATTTCTGATTGGCTGAGATTACACCTCGCGGTTCCTTCGCTCATTGGTTACCGCAGATTTTATTTTTTTGTTTCTACAAATAAATACAATTAACTGTTTATTCATAATCCATTCATTTGCATGCTGTGTTTTGAATTATATAATAGCAATTTCCGAAGCAAAAAAAAAATTCATAGCCTGTAACTTTTAAAATGTTAACTTTTAACAGTTTTTAGGTAATGACGTACAATAAAGTTGGAATATCTGAGGAAAAAAACGCCGAATAGAACAAAACCGAATTTACACCAACAAAAGAAACAACATACAACAAAGTTTTAAAGTATGGTGAAAAGTACAGAGAATTTAATAAAACTGACATGGCAAACAAAACATCAGAAAAGTAAGGTGAGTAATATATCAGGCAGCAAGAAAACAAAACAGAATACAAATATCATAGATGTATTATTGAATGGTAGAGTATGAAATGTATTATTTTGTGAAGCAGATGTGTTTTGTTGCAAACAGGAATCACAGTTTTGCCAGTGCATTTAGTCAAATGTCAGATGTTTCAGTTCTGTCACCATTAGTGAAATATTGTGGCATCTTAGTGACTCATCTCTGTTATTTTGCCTTGGTTTGTTTGTCAAGAGAAACAATTCAATAATATTTAATAATGCTGATAGATGTGTGCAGTTCAAACATGTTTATTTTTGAGGATGTGTTTTGCTAATTTACTTTACTTTTTACAGAGTACATTTATAGCTTCTGATCAAAGTAAGGCGGATTTCTGCAGTCTGCCTTGAAAATTGATCCACTTCTCTCAGCATGCAAACACTATTCTACTCTTTGAAAAGTATGTATCACTAATGATTATTTTATTGTCAGAGAGTTGTCAGTGATCGGTTGGAACCTGACTAAAGAGGGTTTGTCTGTGTGTCTAGGTGACTCATCGACCTGTCGTCAGAGTGGGTGCTGAACAAAGCTAAGCTGCTCATACCTGTGCTGTGAGCTAAGGGATCCCTCCCAGGTCACTCTTACATGGAAAACCATACACACAAACACGCAGTACAAACCATCTCAATTGTAAGCCCGATGAAAAGTTTGCTTTATTTCTCACATTCAGGGCGGGGGTGTGTGACTTTTAAAATGCTTTCGGCCTTGAATGACTTTGATGTACTCAGTCAGAATCAGTGAAAACAGATGGCTGAGGAGAGGACTAACGGTGAGGCCTGTCAATCCAGGGAGTCCTCTAAGAAAACAAAGTGAAGACCTGGCTCTGGGAGAGGAGGAAACCCCTGAGCTTCTCAAGAGGCTGCCACATTCTTGAGATTAAGACTAGAAAAACCTAGACCACTGCCGTTAAGGCCCCGGACAAAAGAATGGAACAATTTATTAGTTAAGAATTCAAGCTCAGAGCTCAATCAAAGGCCTGTCGTCCACATTGCCAGACCTGAAGCCTTGGCTTGTTGTTTTAAGTAAATAATCACGCTTAAAAGATACGACAAAGATGGGGCTAAATCCCCCCCACAGAAAGCCTACATTCTTCCAACTGTCATCAGAATGGATTTTAGTGTGAGCTTTTATTTTCAGCAGGGACACTGTTTGCCTTTTTCTCTATGAATACCATTTTAAAGAGCTCTTTATTTAACTTTCGTCCTCGCTGGACCTCTTTGCCTTATCAGTGGCATTTTTTAAAAGACAGCTCACCTTGACATGCAAAGAGCTGATGACTTGGACAAAGTGCCCCAAAAAGTTATGTGGTGGACAACTTTACAAAATGCAATGAAAAGAGGCTGAAAAGGAAGATTCTCCACCCAAACTCAAGCATATAATTCTGTCTCTGTGACTTATCAAATAAAAAAAGAAACTTGTGAAGCTAGCCTCAGGCTGATTGATATTGGATTGAACAAACATCTATGCATGTGATAAAATGTGCCACATTTTCACAATATTAAGTTGGTTAATCCATATTAAACTGGTCTGTGTTCATACATCATACACTCTGATATACTACATTGTTGTCAAAAGAATAATTGCTCTGAGATATAGATGAGAAAGGGCAGCCCATAATGGCTAATTAACAATTATGTCAGCCAGTAAGATGACCAGAAGGCCAATCACTTTGATAGAAGACAGTGGAGGGGGACAGAAATCAAATTATTTTATGACTTGACCCATAATGCTTCCCTAACATGGCTTTAATCACTTCATGGAGCATAGGAGTCCCCCATGGCCGTCTGGGAGCGCACCAGTGAGGAGTGGAAGACAGCGGGCTTCTCTATTTGCTGTTGTGTCCTGCGTCATTGCTGAGTAAGTAAGCCATAAAAGAACACAGCCATCATTACAGCCGTTTGGTTGCTTTTCAGAGAGATGGAGCTCCTAATGATTAGACATGTCCTTTGTAAATGAAATACAAATCACCCCAGGCTTTTGGTTTTACTTCATTTACTAAGTGCTACATTACCTCATACTTTGGACCTAACAATGGATTTCCTATAAATCTGAGGGTAGTTGAAATGATGAAGGGGCTCACATATCACTATATGTGCCAGTTCTTATTAGCACTTGAGAAGTTATTGATCGGAGATTTTGATTAATGTCCGCTGGTGGCATTCAGAGGCCCATTGAGGCACCCCTGTGCAACTGGCTGCAACTTCTCTCAATTACCTGCAGTTTGTGCTGACTGCCAGGCTGAGCTCTGGCAAGGCGACAGCCACTGCAGTGCCCTATTGCCAGGAATAATAGCAACTTGCCCTCTGTTTCCAGATTCTTCTCCATTATTTACACATAAATATATCGAAAGCTGAGGAAGGCAATAAACGGTTTGCTTACTGTATAAAGTTTACTGTCTGGGTCATGACCAAAGTGTAGGAAAAGTGTTGGCTAATGAACAACTTACAATGACAAAGCTGGCAGATTTTTGTTGAAGTAGCATGTCAGTGATTTCAGACAATGATTGACAAATTTAAGACCCTCATTTCTTTCAGCTGCTTTTCAACTTTTTTATTCCAACTGCTGTTACTGGTTAATTAGCTGTAGTTTATCTTTCAAACCTTTAACAACCTTGTGAAATGATATTTCAATTCACAAATTCATTAGATTTAAAAGTTGTCATGTAAAAAAAGGAAGGAGTCATTTGAAACAAAAATAGGCTTTATTTTCAAGCACTTATACTGACAATATTCTCGATATTCGGGTTAATGGAAAGACTGTCAGTGTGTTAAGTAAAATAATCTGGCTTTGGATGGCGTGCACCCGTTCGAGCAGCCCGATCCATGGATCAGAGAAGGTATCCAGTTGTCACTCATAGATCATGACATTTAGTGACTTTTCAAGGCACCAGCTCTTTGTTTCATTTTCAGTTTGAAAGGTTTACCGTGATGGATTTGAGTAGAAACCCCTCAATGTCAAAAACAGATCTCAATTGAAGATAGATGAATGTACCTGCCATGGGAAAACGAGTTGTCTAACTCATAGTTGATCGTTGTTGATTGTTGTTGAAGTTGTATATCTTGACTCTAATGGTCTGGAACATATGCTCGCATCATTCGTGTTTGCCCAGATGCTAGTGATGCAAGGAGACCCAGCAGGGTACCTTTTCTTAGTTCTTCTCATCAGTTTGGGTGTTGAAGAGCCCCAAACTGCAATGGCACCAATAATGGAAATCTTTAATCCAGTCATGGGCCTCCAACTCAGAATTTGGTTCACCTCCTTGTCTGCATATGCAGATTTTATTGCCGGCTGCAAGTTCTCACTGGGTAAGATAAAGGTGAATGTCCTTTGCATTGAAAAAATATACACAGGAGTAACCAGCGCAGTAAAATGTGATGCCAAAGACTCTTGGTCCAATTCCACTGACAGGTTTTGGGTGAGGATGAGTTGGCTATGGGTTTGCTTTTAGCTTTGGCATAGATCCCCATTTTTTGCTATGCTTTTGTGAAGCAATTCTTGCAACAACAAAAAAATCACCTTCATCTTAGCTCAACATATAGAGCAAATTTCATTGTGATGCACGGCAGCAGAAACCAGTAATTTCTGGCATGGTTGCATGGCCATCTTTCTCCATAATGGACAATAATTGGGCAGAATTCATCTCTATAGCTAGGAATAGACCACCATAATGGCCATAAATTATGGCCAGTTAAGGCACTGAAAATCCAATCACCCCCGCTGTGCGTGAGAGGCATTGTAACCTCTGAGCATTCCTTTTTGTCCTTACATTTTGACTCCATGCTGATTGCATCCAATGCATGCACAGTTAAGTCAAATCACACCTTTTAAGCACAGAGTGCAATCACTTTATGTTTGTGGTGCATTAGAGGCACAATGTCTGTCAGTATTTCTGCACAATAGGATTTTCAGTTGACATTTGTCTTTAATAATATCCATCTTCATTGATGCATTTTGATAGTATAACATCAACACATTTACATGTACAGTCCTTGGACTGGAAACATGGCAAAGCGTTTCTCGCAGCTGTGGAATTTTTTTTGCCCTATTCATCAACCTACTCAAAGAGGAGAAACTGTAAACATAATTAACTTATTTCATTTTCTTTTTTGAAAGAGCACCTGAATCAAATAAGTAGGGCTGCCGGAGACTTTCTTCCAAATGCTGCCATAAATCAGCAGCAGCAGCTATTTCATCTGATTGAGCTGGTGCATAGAGCCTGAAGTTTGCCTGTGCTGTGGGGAATGTGTTTGTGGTGAGTCTCATAAATGCCAAGTTCTTTGGGTAATAAGAATAAATATCACAACCTCTCACTAGATTTACCACATAATTGGGGACTTTCCCCATCTACACAAGACCATGGTGTCTCCTCCCCCACCCTACATCTATATTAAGGTGAGGATGGGTCGGAATATTGTGGATTTTATATCTAGGCTGTTAATGCCTGCCAGTATTTGAAGATGTTTTTGATGAATACATATAAAATGTTCCTGTTCAAAACTATACTTTGTGTTCTTCAAAATGTGATGATTTTTACATGAACGTGGTTCTAAGTATATGTGACTTCACGACAGAAATAGAAAAAATGAAAGACATCAGTTTCCATAATTACAAA